TCAAAAAACGACTGATCTGTACTAAATTAGTTGATAACTATTTTAATAATAAATTACTTGTGATTTATTGATACAGCTTGTGAACTTGCTACAGCTCAATTTGAGAATCCACATGGGACGTCATTTTAGCAACTTACATTAGGTATTTCAGAATCAGAATCAGAATAATTTTTATTGCCACGTAAGTAACAGGAACACTTCAATGTAGTGTCTTGCCTAAGAACACAACAACAGTTCTCACGAGAGCCACAGCCATTTCACTACATACCAAGCTTTAACAAACACCTCTATTTTGGCCTGGAATGGCCACTTATCAAGAATTGGAACTGAGAGTAAGCGTCTCTTGACATCTAAACATACAATGTGAATAATTCAAATATATATTGTGTAAACTTAGTTGTGTATTCAGCAAAACAATATCACTGACACAAGAATAATAGGGAAAAAATAAATCCAAAATGTGCCTGGTTTCATTACATCAGCCATCAGAACCTGTCACAATAGGATCAAATCAACACATTTCATAATATTTCGGCAGAGCAATTGCGGCAATGTGCTGCATTATGTCGGCAGCTGTAATCATTTCTAAAATCTAATGTGTGTCTTGATCTGAAAGACTGCTTCTGTGTTGAGAACGACATGGGGATAAGGCCTCATATATGTACACAGAGGGAGGAGAGATCTTCCCTGCAGCGATGAGGGTCTGCAGGGAGGAGAAGAGGGTGTTAGTTTAATTATGCATAAGATCAGCAATGAACTCCAAATCTTCAACTCTCCAGGGCATTGGCTGAATGGGAACAGTCTTTTAATATGGCGGCTGTGAGCCTTCTGCACAATGGGAAAGGGAAACTATGTGTCATTTCTATCACTGATATAAAGTGTGTGAACAGCAGGTCAAACCTTTACTGAGAAATTGTCTTGTTCAATTCAACAATTCATTTAAAATTTAAGCATCAGAAAAGTTGTTTAGTCATTATTGTTTATTCAAAGGACAAACTTTTAATGATCTTGTGTATGGATGTTTTACATTTCATGTTTTTGTATTTAGTTTGTAGGATGAGATAATAAACCTACAGTATGGGCAGTGGTTACCACTCTTGCTTCTCAGGAAGAAGGTCCTCGTTACGAATCCCAGTCAGAACATGGCCTTTTTGAGTAGCGTTTGCATGTTCTCTCTGTGTCTGCAAAGGTTTCCTGCAGGTGCTCCAGTTTCCCCTACCACTAAAAACCTGTACAAAAGGTAAACCCTCTTTTTCAGCATCTGGGTATGGGCCCCGGGTGCTGTAGTCTTCCTACCACTCTGGCCACTTGGACGCAGAGGCCACTCTGATGCATGAATCAATCGACCAATCCATGAATCTGTCATTTTCTTTGATCATACAATTTTTCTATTTTTGGAAGTGCCTTTTGAACGGTCAAAGTCATCCATATCATTGCCAAATTACCAAATCAAAACACACTCATTTGCCAATGCTGGTCCCAAACACTGGAGTCCCTATAAGTACTTGGATTTTATCTCAATTTAAGTAGTCTTCCTTTAATTGGAGAAGACATCTGCGTTGACGAGAGGATGAACAGATCAGAAGGATTCATGACCCATTAGCCAGATTAGGCATTCCCATAATAAACCACCTAAACACACGATCAAAGCATGCTCTGAATATTAGGTTTTTTTTTCTACCACCAGAGGCACAGAAAACTGTGGTCTCAAAAAGACAATTTACTCTATCAGCAAACCAAATGAACCTCAGTCTAAATATCATTATTGTGGTTAAAAAAAAAAGAAAGAAAAAAGTGTAAATATATTTTTTTTGTCTACAGTGTCCATCCCTACATGTGCTGGTTTAATAAAAGATCTACTAATCAAAACGATATACTGTACTCTAGTACAGCCCAGTAGTAACATGAGTATCTGTTAAAGTCCACTCCTGCTTGATTCAATTTGAACAACAACGTAGTTTTCAGCCAAATATGGGTCTGATCCATCTCCCGCACAGACAAAGAGCTTGTGTATGTTTTTCTTTGTCTTTTGCAGTGACTTCATGCACTGTTACATGGCTGATGTGGTTGATTTGACCCCTTTATGCAGACATGCCCCAGGGCAGGATGAGGGGGGGTTATAGGATGTGGACTGGTCCACCCTCAGTGACCCTACATGTCCTCTACTGTCCTTATGATGCTATTGTCAGACTTGTTTTCCTCCAGATGGAGATTTCAGCATGTCCATTTAAACGATGGAGAAGATGCATTGTGTGTTTGTCTATGTACACCAGGGTAATTATATCTGCTCAAGAGGTAAAGTTTTCACCGGTACATGAGCAACATAACTAAAAAAATGATGGGAGGATTGTGGAGATTTTTTTCATTGGCCCAGTGAACAAGTCATTCCATGTTTGGAGAGATTCGAATCACCATCTGGATACAGAATTGTTTTAAGAAAAATTGTGCCTGGAGGCGGAGGTCTGCACTCTGAGTGATTTTGTGCTTTTCTAGCTGGTATATTTTGAACATTTGAAATGCTATTAATGATTATTAAAGAATTTAACATTAAGTTAGCACATTTTAATGTAAATTGCTATATAGACTTGAGCCTGCTCTTTGTCTGTATGCGTCACAAGGAATATCGACCAGAGTAGTGGATTTTGAAGGTCTCATTTGTTATGTTATGTCTGAACTAATGTTACAAGTGACATGCATAGTCAATATAATATTGATATAATATTGATAAGCACATAGTCAAAGTGAATTCATTAAAGCCCATGTAAGCTTTGATCCATGTTTTGAATGTGAAATCCTGACCAGTCTGCTCACATGTGATTTATAATTCAGTAGGATTTCACTTCTGCTCCACTGATGACCACTGTCTGAAAGCGGGCGTGGTTTTTATGGATCACTTCACACACAAACACAATCGGCCTTCTTACACCAATGATACGATTATAGCAGGTAAATCTTCTTAGCTGCATGTCTGAAAAGAATAATAATTATTATTATTTTGTAAAATGGACAAGCAACCATTTTACAAAATAATTGTAGATTTATTTTCTCTGAAGAAGTTCTGTGATGTAAAAAGGCAGTTCCACATTAGCACAGGCCTCTATATCGACTCCTAAATGTGCAAACGGTGCAATCCCTGGTGCTTCCTGTAAATTAGCATTTCTCCGCTGCCCCCTGTGGTTCCTGTGTGTTAGCAGCCTCATAAATGATCCGGGTTTAGCGCAATGATTTCTTTGAGCTAAGCTGCGATTACAGTGATGCCGTGTGTGCGTTAGTGGGCGGAGACGTTGCGGGAATCAGGAGAAGAACTAAATCTACACTCTATATAGAGATATATCAATATATTTATATTGAAGCATTTACAGCTAGCTAAAAAAACCTAGCAGCTAGTTACATTGTATATTTTGCGTGCCCTTACTAAGGTCCTGTATGTGCGCTGCAACATTTGAAATTTCCCTTCTGCAGGATCGCTTATCTTCAATAAGCTGCAATACATATGGAATAAATATCACAATTTAAACGGCCACAATTAGGGATGTTAAGATTATTAGGTCAATAAATAATGATTATTCACGTCACTCCACTCTCATTGGAGTGAATACAGTATATACTCGCTTTTTCACTTCCCAAAGATTTCACTGTTCTTTGGTAATTAATTGCTGATATGTATATTTTTTTTCCTCTAAATAATTGTCACTTTATAATTCTAACCAGTTACATCCCTAGTCCCAATTGGCATATCACAACAACTACTAGATCTGTTTAGGCACTTTAAAAACTTGTCTTACAATGAATGGAAGCTGCTAAACCGTTAAAACGTTTCTGAAATGATTATTATTATCACAATTGGAATATTGTTTATAATGTTCATATTGTGAATAGTTACTCCTTGAACAGAATCATACTATATATTTTGATCAGCTGTACTCTTCAGTGTCATTGTTTTGTTAAGCTCTGGGTCTTTGTTATGGTTGTTATTTTGGATTATTTGATGTCTTTACATAAGTAACAATTTGTAAACTATTCATACAGCTTGGGTACCAGGCTTTTATGAGTTTTGTTTTCTCTCAAAATATCATATTGTAAATGTGGCACTACAGAATGACAGATGATTTGAAGTAATAGGGAGATAATAAATTTGTGAAGGATCTCTGATCTGTCTCTGACGTGGGTTTCCAGCCTAAAGTAATGCATTAAGTCCTGTGTCCTGACCCAGTGCCCTGATCCGAGCACATCTGTGAGCACATGTGCAGAGGCCGCCTGTCTGCCCCATGTGTCTGCACTGTAAAAGCAGCTGCCACTCACTATCTGCTTATTACAACGTACATAGATAAAAACAAAATCATATCTAAAAGAGTGGTGGAACAAATGCATTCAGATCATTTCGATGTTTTACTCTGCTGAATCTAATAGAACTATTATTGATTAGGGTAGAGTTATCCATCACTTTCGAACATTAACCAAATGTCTCAGTTTAAGAGCACTGTAACTGTCTTACAAGAGTAAAAAGTAGGAAGCACTGCATTCTACCTGAAAACTACTCACTGCTACAAATGTAATATATCTCTTGGATATCTTGTGCGTGCGTGCGTGCGTGTGTGTGTGCGTGTGTGTGTGTGTGTGTGTGTGTGTGAGTGTGTATGTGCGTGGTTAGCTGGTGGCTGGAGGATGATCCCTGTGTGAATAATGGGAAGACAGCTGCACAGATCCAGGGGGTTTGCGGTCCCTGTTGACTGATGACGAGATCACTGCATCTGGATGTGACATAAGAATGTTTCCACTGTGAGAAAGAACCACTAAGTGACAGAATGTGAGGGATTTGAAGCTTTTGGAAGCTCATGTTGTACAGTAGTGTTGTAATAATAAGAGGAATGCTCACCATGATACAATTTTAGTAATACCATGAATCAAGTGTTGCTAATGATATGGTCATTTCAAATGGTTGCTGTTACAAGATTACTTTTCGTGCTAAATGTTATTGCTAATGTATTTCCTCTGTGCAGGTTTGTGCGATGGGGGGATCCAAGAGCAAGTCGAAGGACGTGGGCCAGCGCACGCGCAGCCTGGATGGCACCCTGGGCTCTGGGCTGGGAGGACCCTCTCTGAGCTCCACACAGACCTCCACTATCCCCACCCGCTCCCCCACCATCGATGGAGGCCTGGGCTCACAACACCTCAGCGGAACCTCAGATATCAAACTGTTCGGAGGAGTGGACACCAACAACATGACGTCTCCTAACAGGTGCACAATAGCAGGTGAGAATTCACCGGATAGTCGGGGATGTATAGGCCTTTCATAAATACACGATAGCAAAGTATTAGTATTGGTGCATCCCTGACATTGGCACACATCGTTTAACCATATCCACTAGTATTTGGTAGAAAGTCCTGTTTGACATTTCTGCATGTAAAACATGCTCTCAGGGTGACATTTATTAGCCTGGCTCCAGGCTGGCTTTCAGCCCACAAGCAATTTTCAAAACGTGAGCTGCATGACACTATGTCCGCTCAGAGGAGTAATCGTACAACAGGCTCCTATCACTACGCTGCAGAACGGAACGTTTCAAGAGATCCTTTGTTCCTTCGGCTGTCAGACTGTACAACAGACCTGGATGAGTCTTCTGCTGCTGGATACCTGAATTTCTCCTACGGCGATCAATAAATGATCTATCTGAAGAGTGTGTATACAAGTCTTAAGGCTGAAAACTTAATCCAAACCATGACTTTTAAAACTTCATCTAGCATTGATCACTTCAGGACAAATCAAGGTCTTGGTATTCTCAAATCCCCTGTTTAAAGCACCGACTCTTTCAATGTGGGTGGTACACTGCAAAAGATCTGCTTCAATTTGCATCATGTTTGTTGGCATGTTATCTGCTGATTGGTCCTTAAAGGAAAGGGACTTGTGGATGTGTGTGCAGTGTCTGCAGCCTCCACCCGGCCCCTGCAGCCATGTGGTTGAGGGGTTCAGTATAAATGCCTCCTGACAGTTTGCCCTTTATTTTAGGGACACGTCTGACAGAGTACAGGAGGTTCAGGAAATCCAGTCGTTAGATTTTTAATATTTCCGATGCCTAATATTTCTTTGCCCCCAATTTTGAGAGCAAATATCTGATTGATTTATGTTTGCATGTTTGTGTGTTGTAGGTGGAGTGACGACATTTGTGGCTCTGTACGATTACGAGTCCAGAACAGCTTCAGACTTGTCGTTCAGGAAAGGAGAGCGGCTGCAGATCGTCAACAACATGTGAGAAACTCTCATTTTGAGAAGACAAGACTTCTTTGCTTCTCTAACGATCTATTTCTTCTTACACTGCGTTTCCCAAACTGTGGCCTGTGGTTACTCTGTTTACAGCCGGTATAGATTTATTTTTGAACATGATTTCAGGTTGTCTTTTAGCAATACTTAACAAACTATTGAGATCTACCCTGCAGTATAGAACAGTGTAACTATAACGCATGGATGTCGCCCATAAAAGGTCTCCTGCAGCCATAGTGTAAGAGGGTACATTTGATTGTGGGAGTGTATTTTGTGCCGTGGGTCTTTGGAGGTGCAGTGGAGCATGTGCTGCGCAGAGCTGCCCCCAGACCTGACCTAGAAGGCACGAGACGCGGACAATAGTGGATTATATCTGCATCTGCCCCTAAGCCAGTGACCATCATCATTTCTGGGTCACTCCTCTTCCGGCAAACATTACTCGACAATAAGACACCAGCCGAGCACACTGCACTGTCTAAAGCTGCTGTGAAGTGAATAAACTGGAAAATGAAATGAAACGGAACAATTCTGAAGACTTTTCTTATACAGTATGTTTAATTGGTATATAACTTTGCTTGTCATGTCAAACCTGCCATTGTATCTATTCCATTGAGCCTGTTTTATTAAGTCATATATAAGTATTTTTATGGTGTTTCGTTTCTGTGATCCGTTTGAAGATTTAATACAAACTTTCAATAAATGCATGATGCCTTCACTGTCCTTCACTGTCATTTTTCTTCTGTCTAACTTTCTCTCTTCTTCTTCTCTTCCCTTGTTCCATTTCTGCTTTTCAAATCAGGAGGAAGGTCAACTGCAGGTTTGTGGCTCTTTGAAATTATACAGTTTGTTCAATGGTTGTTATTTATGTTTTATGTTTGTAATGAAATACTGTACATGTGTAACCAACCAAATCTCAGTATTCAATTAGAACAGTAGAGTTTTGTAATTCATTCATTGTCCGTAGAGCTGTAACAAACATTTGCAATTGAGATTTGACCTCAAAATACTCTCTCTTAGATGTAGCGATGTAATAATCACATTCTCTCTGTAGCTCATAAGCCACTACTAAAGTGCACTTCCTTAGATTTTATTTTTTTTACAATCAGTTGATCAGATTTCAGAGATTCAAAAGTTAAAAGTCAAACCGTAACCGTAAGGTAAGGTTTTTTCTGGGACCATTTTTATCAATTGAAGTAGAGTAAAACTTTAATTTGGGGAAAATACTTGTATACTTATTGACGCTCTTCAAGATTCTAAGATTCTAAGTTTTTGGAATCATGTACGTTGACAGGTCCATGGCAATTCATAGTGATTGCAACAAGAGCTCCTCAATCCAGGACACTTTCTATGCAGTGACCTGGCTTCCCACCAATATTTCCCTACATTGATTTTCCTTTTATTTACTTACATTTTCTTATTTAGTTTTCACTTTCTTTAAAGTGCTTTTGTCTGTTTCACATTTTTTTAGAGAGAGAGAGAGTATTTTCAAGATTCAGTTTATTTGCCATTTGCTGTAAAACCACATTGGATTTCCTGAAATTAATTTACTATCTTCCTATTGCTCTTAAATAATTAATTTGATTAATTTACACATTTAATGGGCCGTTGGGCGGCACAGTGGCGCAGTGATTCAGTGCTTCACAGCAAGAATATCCTGGGTTCAATTCCATGTGCGGCCGTTTCTGTGTAGAGTTTGCATGTTCTCCCTGTGTCGGCGTAGGTTTCATTCGGGTGTGACTCTGGTCTTTGAAAGGCACTATTAAAATACAGATTACTTTCTTATTGTTCTCTTTAAAAGTATAATCAACCTCTGCAGATCTTACAAAACACGTATAACGAAACAAATGCACATGAATACAATTCTGTACACGTGTTCAAAGTGCTGTTTGTCCTGGGATGTTGGTTAATGTCTTCAGTCGTTGACAGATTTGTGTTTTCTTCACAGAGAAGGCGACTGGTGGCTGGCGCGGTCCCTCACCACGGGAGAGAGCGGATACATCCCCAGTAATTATGTGGCTCCATCGGACTCCATCCAGGCAGAAGAGTAAATGCTCTGTCTTTATTATTGTTCATTATGTGTGAGTTTGGGTTGGATGGCTGTCCACATGCACGCAACAGCCAGCGGGGGACTTTGAAGGCACTTGCTTTTCAAAGTTGATTTTTCGGCTTTTAACTATGTGTTATCATCGTCCTCTCGTCACAAACATTTTACAGTTGCCTGTATATCAACTTCACTACCCACAAAAATCTTCTATAGTTTTAGAAGTCTGTTTTTGTGAGTGAGCATTGACAGCACTGATACTGTCAGTGTGTGTGTGTGTGTTTTCATTGTGTACGGGGCACTGTGACACTTATGATTAAGCTGATTTGTGATATAGTAATCTGGAAAGTTTTCAGTAGATTTGGACGTTTTGTGTGGGTTGGGCCAAGTAACATTGTAATTCATCTCCTTTTGAGTTCATAAATCATTACCAGTTGCTTTTAACATTCAATTAAATTTCAACTCAATTTATTCTTGTGTAATCTTAAATCACAACAGCAGATATCAGAGAAGACTTAACAAAACCGTTGAAATCGTTAACACAGATAAGAGAATCACAAAAAAATCTACAGAACACATGTGTATTGGTCCATAGGGGGCGCTGACCAAAGTCCATTAAGCTGATAAATGTCCATACATGTTGTAGATTGTTAGTGTCCAGGATCATCACCACAGTCCTTCTTGTTAGACCACAAACTGTCCAACAGACCCTCCAGCATCGGCAAAGAAAAACTCTGAAACAAGTGATATGTTTCTCCCACTGGGTTTTAATGTTATAAAACAACTGCATGAATCACACTAAAAGAGAATGTTGAGTGTGCAAATGAGAAGAATTATCGCATGGTTAAAAGCTCTGAAAAGTTGATTATGCCTTATAGACTCTCCTCTGAGCTGTAACCTTCTGTTTCTGCACAAACTAACACCACTTTTCTGTCTTCTGCTTTACCTTCAGTCACCTCAGACTAATCCTAGAGTCCAGGTAAGACGCTGAGTGATTCTGCTTTTGGTGTTTCCTCTACTATCTGAGCTTTAAGACAAAGTCAAATGTAAATTGTCACCTGTGCAGTAACTAATTTGTTCCCTACATGTTTGTGTGCTTTCTTAGATGGTTCTTTGGTAAAATAACTCGTCGCGATTCAGAGCGACTGCTGCTAAACCTGGAGAACAGACGAGGGACGTTTTTAGTGAGAGAGAGTGAAACCACCAAAGGTAAGTTTCATTCTGAAATTGAATATATTTGTTATTGTCATTGCAGTGTGACAGTCAACAGCAGACTAAAGTTAATCCTCACTTGGGTGCATCACTGATCAGTATTGTCCTAGTTTGAGTTGTTAGTTTTACTATTATACAACTGTACCACACTATAGCATGTGGCACAACTGTACCACACTATAGCATGTGGCACAACTGTACTGAGCGCTGTATGTGAGCGCTGAGTGCTAGGGATGCACCAATTGTAAAAGTTTGGGTCGATTCGATACCGATGTTTGACATAATAACTTGGCTGACGGCCGATGTTTGGCCGATGTTATTTCTTTTCGTTATTTATATCTATATTTCTTGGCAGCTTCAGTTTTCCGTTTTTCTTGAGCTTGAATCCCATTTCCAAATTTCCAATGAGATTTGTTGTGTTAAATGATTTTCTACCAGTCCCCCCTCTTGAAATCTCACTGGAACACGTTTTGCAAACTGCATAACGCTGATCTTTTTCCATCCATCCATTTTCTACCCTTTAATCCATTTCTGGGTCAGGGGGGTGGCAGTCAGAGATGCCACCCAAGTCTCATAGCACCAGCCCCTCACTGACCCTCTGCAGGTGGTGAGTCCACAGGAGGACGGCTGCTCTCTGAGTGTGAGCATAGCCTTGATCTTTCAGCGGGGGATTTGGGCAAAGTGGGGTTAAGTGTCTTGCCCAAGGACACAACGGCAGCAGTCATCAGTGGGAGTCGGTGGAGAAGGTGTGGAGGTGGGAATTGAACCCACGACCTTCAGGCCTGAAGGCCAGTGCTCTACCAACTGAGCTACTGTCGCCCCTGATCTTTTTCTGATATGTAAAATACCGCCACCAGACCACGGCCATCTTCTTTGTTTCTTCAATGAGGAAAGTGCACAGACTCCCTCTACTGGTATTTCTTCACACGCACCAACCATCGGCCAATGTAATTTTGTTTTGTGCCGATGGTAGTAAACAAAGCAAACATCGGCCGATACCGATGTTCAGCTAATGCATCAATGCATACCTAAACATATATTTTTTTAAATGATTATTATTTTATTTTTTAATGAAAAGTCTATACCACTATGCCAATAAGTTCAAAATGCTTATTTGATCATACAGCAACTTTAACTGAAGCACAGCTCAGAAAGAGAATGATTCATACTGCTTTACAGACTAAGGAACAATGCATTAAATAAAATGTGTGTACTTCATGTGAATGTTCTGCTATATACATCTTTAGAACCAAAATACATTATACAGCCAAAGAGAATGTGCCCATCTTCACACGTGCTGCAATCTCTTGATATCAATGTTTTGTGAACCCTGTGAACCCCTGTGTAATGTGTTGAGATGCATTTGTGAAGAAGTGAAAGTGAAGACGGCGCAGACAAAGCACAGAGCGGAGGTTTCGGAGGCAGACAGAATTAGGTCAATGGGGAACACACAGTACATGAACCCACTGATCATACTGAGGAGGGGGAGGTGAGCCCAGGCTATCCCCAAAACCCAGCACTGGATTTATGAATGAAGGCTGCTCCCTGCTGGTGGCCTGGGACACGGACACAATGTTGAATTTTATATTCAGGGACATTTATCATATTATCAGAATCAAAAAAATTGAAGCAAAAGTGTGGCATTCGTTAATAAATTCAAGTCCTTGAGTCAAAAACTGGTCCTGGTCATTGTTGGTCTGGGATCAGATTCAACACAATGTCTAGCCTAGGAATGTTCATCTTGTCTTTTAAATGAATCAGACTGTTTTTACATTAACATGTTCCAACATGTTTTAAATGGCTTTAAAACAGATAGTGGTGGTCCTATCGTTTTTATTGTTATCTTCTACCTGCACATTATTTTATACATTGTATTATTTACCATCAAAATATATATTCAATTCGATGCATCCACATTTAAGACCATAAAAGCTTTAAATCAGTCTATATTTTTAAAAAGCACTCGATATTGTACCTTTTGCTTTGAATGTGAAATCTCTGATCTATAATCTGACAAACTGATACTAGGACAATATTTGGATGCATGTTTCCAGATTCCCAGATTGCCTCAAAGTTTTCATGTGCTAAAAATTACACCGCGTACATGGCCGTCATATTTTCAGACAATTGGTGAATGAAATCAACGGAAGTGGTGCTTCACTGTTTGATTTGACTTTTAACAGGACAAGAACAAGCACGCAGTATTAACGAAGCATTCATAACATTTGTGTTTGTTTGTTTTTGAGGGTACCCTAAGTTAATGCCTGATAAAAAGATTCAAGATCAGGTTTAAAAGGAAAAGGAATTAAAAGTCTCCTTTCTCTTCTGCTGTGTGTGCAGGTGCCTACTGTCTGTCTGTGCTGGACTACGACAACACCAAAGGGCTGAACGTGAAGCATTATAAGATCCGCAAACTGGACTCAGGAGGATTCTACATCACCTCACGCACACAGTTCCTCACACTGCAGCAGCTCGTCAACCACTACCGCAGTTAGTAGTATTTCTCATCATAAGCCATGCTTGAATAAAAGGGATTTCTCTGTCATACTTATTACATACTCCAACATGGATCGTAGGCAAATAGAAACAGTACTTCCACATTTTTTCAGTTCCTGGTCCATGTGAATATTCAAAGGGTGTCGATCTTAAGACTCTTGGTGGTTTCTAGTCGACCTAAAATTGTATTTGTCAACATTTCATTGACAGAATTACTCCACATGTGTTCTTGTAAATATGCCAGATTTTACCATGAAGGCAAGTTTCCATTTACAGTCCTATGACAGGTTGATGTTACAGCACAAACAGTGTAACAGCCACATACAGACATAAAGGGTTAGTAAAAGCAGCAACAAAAAACATATACAAAGAGTGTTGCACAGTACAGGACATAAATATAATAATAGTAGTAATAATAATAAAATAATAATAATAATAATAGATTTGGATCAATTGCAGCCCTAAAATTTATTTTTATTTTATTTATTTATTTTATTCAAAAACAGGTGTGTGCATGACCTTTCTTTTCTCCTTTTATTCTGCTGGATTGTGCGCAACAATGACACTGACATTTCCCCACTGAAGGATGAATAAAGATTATCATCTCTAAATCCAGTTAGAGACACTTTTAGCCACTGTTGTTGTGCAAACATGCCCAACTGGGAGATTATAGCTTTTGTACTGATATGTGTGACATTCTGTGTTTCCCTCAGAGCATGCAGACGGCCTGTGTCACAGCCTCTCAGACATCTGTCCTGTGCTCAAGCCTCAGACTCAGGGCTTGTCCAAAGACGCCTGGGAGATCCCTCGGGAGTCTCTGCGCCTGGACCTCAAACTGGGACAGGGCTGCTTCGGAGAGGTTTGGATGGGTGAGTCTTGTCTATTCAATTCATGGACAAACGTCTTCTCGCAATGAAAAATACATTGTGCTGTTTTGATGTATCAGTTCACGTCCGAGGACAAGCTTGAATTATTGACTTCAAATGGGATCTGCAGCCAGTGACAAAAACAACATAAAACAAGCTCTAAACTAAAACAGATTTTTGCCTCAATTTTCAGGTACATGGAACGGCACGACGCGAGTGGCCATTAAGACTCTGAAGACGGGCACCATGTCTCCGGAGGCTTTTCTGCAGGAGGCACAAGTCATGAAGAAACTGCGACATGAAAAACTAGTGCAGCTCTATGCGGTGGTGTCAGAGGAACCCATTTACATAGTTACAGAGTACATGGGCAAAGGTGAGGAGAAGCTGGAGCAATCAGGTGTTCTTACTGGGCCTATTGACACTTTCACGTGGACTGACTTATTTTACAAACCTTAACCTTTGCTTGAATTGTACCGACCTTCAAAGTTTAACATTACCATCGAGTCACTTTGTCACAACATTACAGACTTAGACATTTTAATGAGTAAATATACTGGATTTTTCTTGATGTATAGAAAAAATGTATAGTATTTACCTTCCATTATGGTTCATTTGTGTTTTTCTCGTCAGGGAGTTTACTGGACTTCTTGAAAGGCGACATGGGTAAAATGCTGCGTCTGCCTCAGCTGGTGGACATGGCTTCGCAGGTCTGCATCACTTTAAACAGGAGCTGAAATGCACAGGAAAGCGACGTGGTTTATAAAAGTGTACATTTGCCGCAGATTGCCTCAGGGATGGCGTACGTGGAGAGGATGAATTATGTGCACAGGGACCTGCGAGCTGCTAACATCCTGGTGGGAGACAACCTGGTGTGTAAAGTGGCGGACTTCGGCCTCGCACGGCTCATCGAGGACAACGAGTACACGGCAAGACAAGGTGACGTCACGTTTACATTGTGTCTATTCATTATGAGATCCTATATTCGTCCCACAATGGGGAAAGTTCTGTGTTGCATCACAAGATACAGAACAGAAGGAATGAGGAGCACACTGCACTGGATAAATTCATAATAACTCTATACTAAAATAAAATGAAATCTCAAACTCTACCATAGATCTATAATCTTTAACATAATTATAGCCTGGTGTTACCTCACGAAAATCTCCAACTTTAGCATTGATGATGAAGAACCTGGACTTTAGTACAGGTTTTTAGCATAATTAAGCACAAGTATATAATGCTGTTTATTCTAGTGAGGTGGGGTTAGTGCAAACTTATGAAGCTATTATTTAATTATAATCTAATGAAGCAATTACAGCTAAGAAGCATTGCAGCTATTTGTATATTTTGTGTTCTCCTTGTGTGCTCTTACTACTGTCCTGTTCGTGGGCTGCAACATCAACATTTCCGCACCGTGGGACGAATAAATGCTCTTATCTTACATCATGACTATTTCACATTTTGAAAATCTTAAACCTCGGGTGGCTATTTTTTTGACCTTAAAACTATGTCATGAAATCCATCTCACTACTGCAGCTGCTTGCTCTCAAAAGGCGTATCACTAGTTTTCCTATGCCACCAGTAGCTCTCTGCCCAACGCATCAAATAGTGACTCAAAGGGCTCTTTCTTACAAGTATGCAAAGACAACTTATAATAAGATAATAACAGAATGTTGTGGTCTCATTTGTTCACTGCATTTTCCTTTTAAATGTTTACACTGGGTTATTTATTTATAGGGATTCTGTGGTTTATGCACTTTACAACAAACTATGCAGTGTTGTGGATGCTCTAAACTTATTTTTGTTGCTCCCAGAAAAAACAAATTATTTATGAAGAAATATCTTAATTTATTCATAAATAATTAATCAGTATTGATTCATGAGGCATTGCATCTTCAGACTTCTTTATTTCAAACCGCTGTATTGATTTGCATTTGCCATTTTACGATACAAACTGACAGAATCCTATCAAAGGCCCCTCTGGAGGCCATTTTTGTGTCCAGTTTGAGCCAAATTCTCACTGTAATAGTAAAAAGTCGAATGTGATCTGGGAAACTGACAGAAGTATAGGGCCTTTTATTATATTTACTAGTTGTACTTCATTATTTGTCTCCACTGGATCTACTGTATGATAGTGTTATGAGGAAAAAAACACTGGAACAGATGCAAATCAGGGAGTAATTTTCTCCTGAATCCAAGATGCCGTTGATCACTCAAACATGTATGAATCTCTCTGAAAAATTACAAAAAATGAACAAATGAGATGGGAAAACAATTGCGGTTAAAGGTTAAATTTGCATAATCTGTCCCCTTTGCTAAAGTTTGGTTTTAAACGCGTATTTCTCTGGAATCATCCCAGCGATTGCATTATTGATTAAACGAGTAACTCTTAACTACTTTGGCTTCAGGAGCGAAGTTCCCCATAAAGTGGACGGCCCCTGAGGCTGCGCTGTACGGCCGCTTCACCATCAAGTCTGATGTGTGGAGCTTTGGAATCCTCCTCACAGAACTGGCAACGAAAGGACGAGTGCCGTATCCAGGTCAGGAGCAAGGCCTTCCTCATCTACGACAATACTATCTAAATGTTTGAGAGAAAACTGACCCACGGAGCTCATTTCAGAATGATTTCACACTGTGGATCACACCGAATTATAGTATCATGTCCAAGATAAATTAGTATAATAGTGAAAATAAGAAAACATTCTATTTCTAGTAAGAGTTCATAGTTTATATATAAATGTATCCCATAGTTGATGACATCTTAGAACTTCCTTTAATATATAATTACATTTTAAGGTGTTTTCCCACCAAATGAAGCTGTGAGTAAAATAAATACATACATTATACACAGTAAAGGTGAAACACTGGAACATTTGAATATTCAAAGTTCAATGTGGAACTAATATAAGACAGACATACACGCAAAGAGAGCTGTTCTGAGCCTGTATTTGCTCTCAGAAAGTTAAAACTAACAAAGGCTCGGTATGTGTTGTGCGTGTAGTAAGTCTAAACTGTAATTCGGTTTTGCATGTTAACTACAGAAATAAGTGATCTTGAGTTTCACCTGTATGCTCTTCATCGTGCTTTTGAAGATGTATACATGATAAAGCAAGTCCGTTTTTTTGTGTTTTGAGGGAAATTGCAGTTGTTGTTATTGTGATACACCATGGTTCACATTCTGATATCATTCGCAGGCATGGTGAACCGTGAGGTGCTGGACCAGGTGGAGCGGGGCTATCGCATGCCCTGTCCCGCAGAGTGTCCCGAGTCCATGCACGAGCTCATGTTGACGTGTTGGAGGAAGGAGCCGGAGGAGCGCCCCACGTTTGAGTACCTGCAGGGCTTCCTCGAGGACTACTTCACCTCCACGGAGCCACAGTACCAGCCGGGGGAGAACCTCTAAGACACACAGACAGAATCAGGCACATACAGTACAAACGCTCCGAGAGAGGGGAATGAATGCAGGAATTACTCAGACTTGAATTCAAAATCTTGATTTTTCAAAAGGGCGTTATTGTGCAAAGTTAACTTTCTAAGGATGCATCCGAGTTCTTGACAATTACTTCCTTCCTTGTTCATTCCTGGTTTGGTCATGAGAAGTTTAAGACCTTTTTAAAACTTTGCTGTATTCCACCAATTATAGCTTAATGGTACATTTTTCCCTGCAAGAACGTGGTTATTAAAAGTCAAATTCTGTGATCAAATCAGACCACAGCATGCAGTCTAAACGTATTATGTGACGTACGCAAAAATACAGGAATGTGAAAAGTAGTGATGGAAGCAAACTGTTTTGAGAACCAGGTACTAGTTAGATGAGTTTTATTATATTTTTGTCGTTTGAAAGTTAGATACCCCAGCTTTAAGAAGCACAAGGAAGGGTATATTGCAATCCATCACTCGCCTTGTTGTTCATTCTGTTACATCATGCTGCTGAGATGTTAAACAAATCCATTCTTTGCAAATCAATTCTGATCATTGATACAAGTGATGTTTAATGAAATGTCTAAAAACACAGACGGTACTTTTACTTTGGCATAAGTTGGATATTATCTTGTAAACAAGTTATAATTGTGTTAAATGTTCTTGATTCAAGCCACCACTGCTTTGACTAAAGGTAGAATGTACTTTTTTTTTAAGTCAAGATTTTGGATTCAAGTAGTTTGTAATTTTCCTTCTCTCAGTATAGAGGACTGCATCTTGATAATGGAAAATGTTACAATCACTAACAAAGACCTCCGCTGCATTGGTGAGGACTGCATGGACACGATCAATGCAAAACCAAGAAGAGAAATGTTGTCCACAAAAGTCCAGAGATCTTCCTCAGATAACCTATTTTTTATCTACCTGAAAATGTTCTTTGTAACCACCGCAACAACGGACTAAGTGTTTCAAAATGACTTGGCTAAAGCAGCAGGTGAATTGTTGATAAAATGTACAATCCTGCTGAAATCTTGTAAATAAATTTGCTCTGGACGTCTACTCTAGAAGCACTAAAAACTGATGCAACTTTTCCAACATTTTCAAACTCAATGGACTGGATTATTTTGATGTGTAAAACTATCAGAAAATGGTTTCTTCCTTTTAAAAGACAGGCGCCATCTTTTTGAGGCCAATGATATTTTTATAGGATTATGTTTGCTAGATGAGTCTTCATGTGGCATTTATTTTTGAATTCCAAACCAACTCCTCACTACACTGCAAAAAAGACCATGTGAAATTATTATAAATAGTTCTGAATTCAAGATGCCATTTCTCTAACAGGTCCCATTTTAATATCTGCAGCCCCAGTGTTCTTTATGCACATTTTAATTTAATTTATTATAATATTTTTTATTATTATTATATTTTGGTGATCTAGCCGTTTCATGCAGCACGGCACCTTTTAGATAACAAGGCTAAAATATCATGATTTAAATTGAGATCAAATGTGCAATAAAATTATTCAAATAAAGTTTTAGACAACATTTTAGTTCAACTTGACACAAACCAAGGTAATAGTTAATTATTTTAATAGTTTTTTGCAGTGTAGTGTCACCTCAGGTGGGAGATGACATGGTTCTGCTGCAGGGACGTTTTATGCCAATCAAAATATGAGGTTTTGCCAGTAGACTGTAACTAAAAGTGTATTTTGGTACAACTTAACTTAATCTTAATGAATGTTTTAACAAATATAAGAATATGTTTTTAGGTTCTTTCAACAGAATCCTCAGCATCGACTCGTGGTGCAAAATCAGGAACACATGAACTTTCATTAACTGTATATGTTGGTTTCATTCAGACTTGTATTTGGGCTTTTCTTTTCTCTTTTCTGGGCGTCGCACACTGGAGATGGACTCTACAGTAATAAGTTCAAATGACCTAAATTCAGAATGAGTTGTATTCTTCTGACTAGTGCTTTGTACATTGTTAAATTGTATGACTATATTAACTGTGCCGAATATAGATAAAAATAACCATTGGAAATACCGGTTTGCACTTACATAATAGAATCCTGTTGCGCAATGAAGGGCGTATGGTTTTCTGCTCATTGTTGCATGTTTATCCCCATTGAAAAGTAATTACAGTGTGTCAGTCACAATGGTACTGCTAAATTAATTTCAAAATGCATATATAATTGGGTAATTTCCTTTTTAAAAATATGTTGCATTTAGTTTGTTTTCCTTTAACATAAATACCAAAAATATATAGTGTAGAATGCTGTAAAACTGCTTGACGTAAGGTCCAATGAAAATGGGTTATTGTACTCCTTTCACATGTTGTTCTTGGTAAACTGGTTCCATCATGAGACAAATGCTCAACTGAAATAATCTATTCAGTAATAATCCAAAGTGTTTAAGTAATCAAATTAATAAAATGAATCTAGTCCGAACAGAAACGCTTGGTCCTGAATCCAGGTCATTTTGCTGATGTAGATCCATGGTGTAGATATAGTGCATAATGTGAGTGGTACCTGTAGGGGGCAGTAGAGGAATAGCACTCATGAAACACTGTAAATACAAATTGTTTATTATTCTGTATATATAATTTTATAATTTATTCCACGCAAAGGTTTATTTTACTCCCAGCTTCACCATCCGCAGTGCTTCCCTTTGGTACATTTAAGGGTATAATCATATTTTGTTTTGTTTTGTAGTTTTAATTTTGGTTTTGGAGCACAGTATAAAGGTCTACTGTATTTTTGTAGAATTTAATTTTGGAGCCACATTTTGTACGACCCACAGTAAGCGCTTAAATATTGATAGTACAAATTTGAAAATACAATCATGATTAATAATGTTGACTTTTTTCCTCAGTTACTAGTTTTTGTATCTGAAATGGGGTGCACACACAAAGGATTATCCACTACAAGTAAAATGACTACAATTCACTTTATTTTTTGCCTGAGGGAGTTAAAGTACATTTGTCTTTCTAATCAGCAAGTGTTTAGAATTAACATAATCTGGATGATAAATCAAATGATGATCATACATTAAATTGATCTAAAGCAATACATCTTGTGTCATATTCTGATTTCAAGTCATGTGGATATTTTATTTTCAAATGTGGCACTAAATCCATCTTTGCAAAGATCTAGCTCAAGTCCATATTGTCCATGACTTTACTGGTCGCACGTATTAAAGAGGCTATTCAGTATTTTTATTCATTCCGGAATAATGTTTTCTACTGTTTTTGAAGACAGTTCAAAAATATTAACCATTTGCTGTTCATATGAGAATGGACGTTGTTCAGAAAGAAATTATGTTTGAATAAAATTTGTATTGAATTAAGCCTTTTGGTTTCTCTTTTTTATAATTATCACTCTGAATGAATGATCGACTGAATTTGGAATGTGACTTTACTGAAAGGATGGGAGACCACTGAGGCCACTGTGGTCCTATAAGTTCAGTATCGTGGTGGTCTTTCCCCCCATGAGGAGAGTGACAGTATGCCCCTGGGCAGTCTCTTACTAAAAGGAAGATTTTAAAATATTTCTATGGAATAAAATTCATGTATGAACCATTTTCTTAGTATTATTATTATTTAGAATTGTATTACAGAACAACCATGTATAGGTCTGAATACAATCACAAGTACCTGCATGTAGAGTATGCCATTTCCTTGCATAATCAGAACATTTATAATCTAATGATGCACATAAGCACCTGGACACCTCCACCTGCTCACACTCTCATGTCTAGATACTAAAATAGTCATAACAGATCCAGGTCTACAGTCTGTGGGCCAAGAGTGGGCCCCCCGCTGCGTCATGTGCTCTGTGATCGGAGGTGTGCCAGAAACTCCCGGAAGTCTCACTCACCGAAGGTTGCATTCAAATTCATTAACAAACGCTTCCATCCTTCCTTTTTGACCATTTCCTTGATCTTTTACGAGACAAGTGAGCTCCAGCTTTGCTCACATTAATATTAATACTTCAATAAATAAATGCAGTTAAATATAAAACCCAAACATTAAAAAACACGGGAGAAAGAGGATACAAGCGGACGAGGAAGGAGATAAGTATGAATTTGGAAGCCGCCTCACACGCTCACCTGCCTCGGCGCGGCGCTTCCTCTTCAATCTTCACTTCTCTTCAGTCTTCACTATAGACCGTTATTATAATAGATCCATGCCATAGACTAAGACATCTTCACCTGGAAAAACAACAATGAACGACAGCACGGACACAACAGCGAGGATTTCACCAAAAGACTCGTAAGTTTAGTCACCTTGCTGTGTACGTGCGTGGCTCAGGATTTCACTGCTGCTTGTTGTAATGAAGTCCTTGTGGTTGGACTATAAATGCCACATAAACTACCCAAGATAAAGCGAGAACTATATTGTTGATGGTTTACTTGAGAGAGCCAGGTGGATTTACCAGTTACTCAGCACTTTGTTTCAATATTAAAGAAAGAAAGCCATGCCTTTACTGTCCTTTCCAAGTTTACAGTCAGTATGTCGCTCTGGAACTAGAGTCAGAAATGCATTCAAACTTGTTGTACTCTTTCACACGTCCATCAATATGTAAAACATGGTGAAAATAAACGCATACAAGCGATTGATCTGACTTAAATTTAAAGCTGGGATTCGTAACGTTTTATTAAAATTAGAATTATTAAGTTTTATTAAATAATATACTTTGTTTGTCCAAATGAAAATAATTGTAAAAAGTACAATTTGGTGACAATCTTTATCTTGTGTGGTCCTCTGTTTTACACAAAAGCTGATCCACAGATGTGACAGATGTTGACAGTTGTCTATCCCTTTTAAACTATTTATCTATTCAATGTTTGCAGTTTAAAATAATGGTCAATGGATTTTTTTAAGGGCCAAATTTGTTGTTCCATTCAGTTACATGAGAAGGAGTATGAGCTAATACTCAAGTAGATATATGTGTCTTGTTTATTTTAGTAGTTGCTTGTATTAGTTTTGGGGGAATGCATTGCGGGCTGCAATGGCTATCCTCTGCAAGAAGTGAACCTGAACCTGAATAGTAGTGACCAAAATAAAATGATAGTAGCTTAAACAAAAATCAGGCTTTAGAGGTATAAGCCCACTGAGAAACAGTTTTAACATGTAATGTATTTAAAATCGATTGCACAATGACAGTAGAGCATGCAACAATGCAAAAATTATATCTATTTAGAATTGGCTTTTCTAAAGCCAATTCTAAATGGAGCTCTGTGTTGGATTGTGAAGACTTCCTGGTCTGTTGGCTGTGATAAGCTCCCAGGTCTCCTCCTCTTGTTCCCAGTCTTCTCTCTTATTTCGACTCTTGTCAAAACTCCTGAAGCTTTAGGAGATGCTCAGTTCAAAGGTTGTGTCCAGCTAAAGTCCAGATAATCTGCTTCAATGGCAATCTTTAAACCGTGGTTACCTACTTCTACCTAACCCGCCGAAGCAATTGTACAAAACTACATGAAAAGTGATCTGATGTTTGCAACTGTTTCCTCTGTTGAACAAACATTCAACCACTAGCAATGAAAATGTAATTACAAATGATAAAAAAATATATATATACATCAGAAAAAGCACATGCATTCAACAGATACTATAGATTCAAAATTCATATTATTTGGCATTAGTTTAAGTTTTACAAGCTAATAACTCTTACCAAACCAACTTTTAATATTATAGTTGTTTTTTGGAAAGATCTTGGGCCTCTTTTTGCTCCCAGAGCCATGTGTGGTCTGATATCAGCTGTACTCTTTTATTTTCCCTTTAAGGCCACACTAATACAACACACTTCAGCAAGATTTGTATAACATTTCTCATTCATGCACAGGCGAGTAAATGCTGCTCCGGAAAGATTTCACAAAAACGTAGCTTTATTGTATTCCAAATAAGTTACACATAAGTTCAGAAATTACTTGAAATAATAATAATAATTGACTAAAAATCTACTCAATGAGACGATGTGTTTCCGCTAAACATTTCCATTATCACTGATAATTAGTTTAATTTGATATATTGCTCATATAATTGGACAGATGGATCTTTGAGCATATATATGTTAATTTGGATATTCTAAAGTCCATGCTAAAGCAGTGTTGTAGTTTTGCTGACAAACTGTCCTTTCAAACTAAAAATAACTTTTTATGTTGTTTTTTTTAGCAGAGTTAATGTGGCTTTTTATAGTCTGGCCTAAATCCTGCACTGAAAACAAAACAGTGCAGTTAAAAGACACTATAAATAACTCTTGGCAGAGTGTGTCATTGAGGACTAATTTGAATATTCATGACCACAAAACACTTTTTTGTATCTACCTAGTATCTATCTAGTCGATGGGTAAGGATAGCGGTCACATGAAAGGGGGCACAGCAGCAAATGTCCATTAAAAGTGAACACAGAAACAAGCACCGAAGTGCTCCAGAGTTTACCCGGCTTAACTCCAGAGGGAACTCTTGGGATTTCTAGTTTCTACATTTTGTTCACTAATTATGGAAATGACACATTCTGACGTTTGTATTTTAGAAGGGGCCATATCTCAAGAAAATTACTTTACATATATTTCTATACTCCACAGGAAGTCACTGAAGTGATTTTATTACTGGGGTAATATGTTCTCTCCTCTCAGCTCCTGTAAATATCCTTACTGCTACTGCTACTGAACCTCTTCTTTTAGTTTGTTGTTTTGGTTCTTGCATGACTCAGAAGGCTGCTCTCAGCTGGTATTTGGTTCTACATAATTTTAGATGTTTTCATGGCCCTGTGCTTCAGATACAAGTCTGGTCCTGCTCTGAGCAGAAGAGAAGACAGGATTCAAGACCAATATTCAGCTTGCAGTTGAGTAAATTACACCAAGGAAAATGTAGGGAGTATTCATGTTTATTAATCCACGAAAAGCCAAATTAAAGGTCCCAGGTCATGTTGATTTTGTAAAGCTAGTCCAGCTGTCTATTAGACAAATGTAATGTGGTGATGTTTACTCACATAATGTTTTACGGTTAGTGACAGTGTTAGAAACCTCACAGGAAACCTAACCACAGCACACTGCTGCATCTCCTGAAACAAGCTCATCACGTGGACTCTACTTGCTAGATAATTTGGGCTTCTCAAATAATCACTTATGAACTGAATTTCGATCAAATCCCTTGAGCTTTTGTTATGGAAAGATCTACAATCTAGAGTTGAGGTTTGGATGAAGAATTTGGACTTTGATTTATGTTATTGGACTTTATTGGAAAGTATCTCTCATAAACTCAGTCCTGTCATTGGTAATGACACCGGTGGAGCCCTGAAACTGTATACTAGATAGAAGACGACTAAATCCATAGGAAATAAATAGAACAAAAATGTGTAAGAAGCCAGTTCGCTGTATAGAAAGTGTCCTGAATTTAGAAGCTCATGTAACAATTCTATTACTTTTGGCGCTTAAAGGGTTAATTGCCACAGATATTTGTTTTTTCAAATAATATACTAGTTCAACCTGACCGTACATATATGTATTGGGTTAACTGTAACTTACAACCTTGTGTGTTCGTTGTCTTTTGGTTTCAAAGTGCCTGTAGCAGTTTCAACACATGTGAGCCTCTTATTGACACTGTCTTGTTTCTATTACAGCTTTTATCCTGAAACTGTATTTTTGTCCCGTGCCCTGGAGGAGGGAGTGACGAATGCTCATTGTGTGAAGTAGTCACCTCAGGATGCCATAAAAGAAGTGTGAGTCAGCAGAAATGGGTGACTCGACTAAACTGGGTCTGATTTAGGACAGCTGTAAACCTGGACTAAACCTGGACTAAACCTGGACTAAACCTGGACTAAACCTGGACTAAACCTGGACTAAACCTGGACTAAACCTGGACTAAACCTGGACTAAACCTGGACTAAACCTGGACTAAACCTGGACTAAACCTGGACTAAACCTGGACTAAACCTGGACTAAACCGGGACTACAGCAGAAAGATGAGATTCGTGTTTTGTATTATGTGGACACAATTAGAGGGTTTCCCGTTTGTTTTTGTTTTTATTTCACACAGAATGTTATGTTATAGATTACACTTTTCCAACCTAAGCAGCCGTGACAAAGAGTTATAATCTAAACTGTCCTTCCTGGAAGAATCTGAGCCAGGAGGCCAGACGCTGGCTTTTTATGGCCTTTTGGTGTTTGTTACTGAGATTTATGAGTTCAGATCTAAAGCTCAGCACAGACCACTCCACAGGAGCAGAGGGCAGGAAATACAGGGGACTTCCCGCTTTCTACCTTTTTATATGTTCTGTTCAGTGATTCATTATGGCCACTTTTTTATCTATGCCTTTGAGATTACAGAGAGCTTTTGTCTTGTATTTATTTGTTTGTATGGATTGATGTGTTTCTGCTGCTGGTTACCTGAATTTCTCCCACAGGATCAATTTAGTCCGGGTAAGGTCTGGTTAAGGTCTGGGTAAGGTCTGGGCTTGGTCTGGGCTTGGTCCGGGTTAGGTCCGGGTTAGGTCCGGGTTAGGTCCGGGTTAGGTCCGGGTTAGGTCCGGGTTAAGTCCGGGTTAAGTCCGGGTTAAGTCCGGGTTAAGTCCGGGTTAAGTCCGGGTTAAGTCCGGGTTAAGTCCGGGTTAAGTCCGGGTTAAGTCCGGGTTAAGTCCGGGTTAAGTCCGGGTTAAGTCCGGGTTAAGTGTCTTTGTTACAGAATATTACTATAAATAATACATGAATACATATTTTCTAGAGACACTAGAGTTAACGTTGCGTAATTGAAAAAAATATAATTGTTTTCTCATCCATTCAGGATAAAAGTCTGATTTTTGAGTAATGTATTTCTAATTCGACAAAGCCATTCCTCCAGTGAGGTGTGCCTCCCGTGGACTGTTTATGATGTCACTTGAAAACATGTTTCTATTGTGTTGACCCTTGCTGTTCTGCTTGTTTCACAGATATCTGACACTTTGAGCTGTATCCTGAATCACGATGAACGACGCGGACAGTAACCCATCTCACGCGCAGTTTGAGCTCTTCACTCAGGCTCAGACTTTAAAAGATGTCCAACAGCACTTCGCCGAACTCTGCAAACAGCTGGACATCGACCCAAAGGACTACGCCCACTTCTACAAGACACTGAAGGACAAACTCAACTCATGGAAGGCCAAAGCACTGTGGACCAAGTTTGACAAGAGAGCCTCCCATCCGGACTACCAGCAGGGAAAAGCCTGCGCCAAGAACAAAGTAATGCCCCTTTTCATACAATACAACACTGGCTGTAGATGAACCACAACGAATTGTTTGTACAACTTTAGAACAAGAAGTTTATACAACTTCAGAACGAGAAGTTACACATGAAAAACATGTTCTTGTCAACTGTGTGAGGTGCTACTTCTCCCAGCTCATATGGGGAAGTAGTGCTATTTTAGAATTGTATACATTATAGACTGGAAGGTCTAATCAGCGTCACTGTTGTGTACTATTTGATTTTTTTAAAATAAAGTATTTTTCAAAGTCATGAGAAGCTAAATTCTGATCGAATACAATTAATATTTCTTACTATTTGTGAATCCTGTCCAGTGCCTGGTTCTGGGGGCTGGACCTGCTGGACTGAGGACAGCCATAGAATTGTCTCTGCTCGGAGCTCAAGTCGTATTGATCGAAAAGAGAGAAACCTTCTCCAGGAACAACGTGCTGCACTTGTGGCCCTACACCATTGTGGACCTGCGCTCTTTATGTGCCAAGAAGTTCTATGGAAAGTTCTGCACCGGAGCCCTGGACCACATCAGTGAGTGGGTTACACTGTCCATCTGACAAGCCTAGTGTCAGGAGTCTCTGTATGGTCACTCATTGTTCTATAGTTGATGGAGGCTACATTATATTTTGGGGGTCCTTATTTATGGTCTGTACGTTTGTATTAGTGTAATAAAGTCGTTTCAATTGTACCAATATCTCCTAAACGATACATTTACTTTCTGATTCATACCTGTATCACGTAATGGCGGTACTAGGGAAAAGTATCTGTAACTCCTGTGCCAGAAATACTATCAATATGCTCTATCACAGCACTAGGGCTTCAACACTTTTTAGATAAACTACAATAAGTTGCTGTATTTCAATCATGTAATAAATGAATAATAGATCAATTTAACAGAAAAACAGAAATTCTCACACATGTACAGTATTCATATTTTGGTATGACATTTTTTTGTGGGCTATGTTTCAGGCATCCGTCAGCTGCAGTTGATCCTCCTGAAGGTGGCGCTGCTGCTGGGGGTGGAGGTGCACACTGGAGTGGAGTTCCATGGTCTGGTTCAGCCCTCAGGAGACAACGGTACTTTCATTTTGAACACATTTGAGAGACTTTATTTAGAGAGTGTGGGACCATGCAGTGACTGAGGTGTTGGATAAACTGATGAGTGCTGTCACTGTAATCTGTGAATATGACATTATGATTTTCCTCTAACAGGATGGAGGGCTCAAATAAAACCTGCGTCTCACGTTGTCTCCTCGTATCAGTTTGATGTGTTCATTTCTGCAGCCGGAGGAAGCTATCGTCCTGAAGGTGAGAGGTCCCAGAGAAAATAAGTGTTTAGATGATTACTAATACTATACTTCAAATATATCATTATGGAATATATTTATGTTTTCAATACTAAACAGTAGGATTTCCATAAATTCATGAAGTTAGAGTTCAATGTTTATATTTCAAGTTAGATCAGTATTTCATTCAGTATGTTTTGTGTCATAAACCAGATCAACAATATTAATATCATGGTTAGTATTGTGGACCAGAGTTGATTAATACCAATTCTATTTTGTTATTGAGTTCTAGTTATATGGATTTAACAACATTTCAATAGGGAATAAAGAATAGTACGCACAGTTTAAATGCCACAACTACAGTGTGTATCGTTGTGTCTGGATTTTTGAGGTTTCTCACGTTTGTTCTTCTGTGGATAGGTTTTAAGAATAAGGAGCTGAGGGGGAAGTTGGCCATCGGGATCACTACAAACTTTGTGAACAGACACACTTCAGCTGAGGCTCAGGTGGCCGAGATCAGCGGAGTCGCCCGGATCTACAGACAGAAGTTCTTCCAGGACCTGCTCACACAAACTGGTCAGACCCACATATAAACACATATAAATAAACCAGTTATTTACATGTTATTTTAGGAAAGATACCAGATCAGAGGATCATTATGGTTTATACATTATTAGTTTCAAACAACTGTGAAATACTGTAATCTTCCATGTTTGTGTTATAAACTCTCGGTGGAGATATTGATATACAATTAAATGTTTTCATATTGATATAGTTTTGTCCAAGATTATATTTACCCCTAATGAATTACAATTATCCATCATTATCAACATCCCTGATGGAGATGGAGTAGAGTTTGAGAGAACAGTGAGAAAGCTGAGCGTTGTGTAGAGATATTGGGTTTTATCTTTCTTGAATCTGCATTCTGCTTTTGACTGTGTTTTAATGTTATTGTGTCAGCTCCATTTCGTTTCTTACATGTGACATGTTTTTTCTTTTACCTCTAAGCAAAGTTCTCAAATACTTTTCAAGCAAGTTGTTGATCCAGTCCCAGGGAATATACTCAGAACTATTACACAGATCAGCATCAACAGTCATTTCTCAGTAGACTGAACATTACAAGTTTACAGAGTAGTACAAGTTTTGGTTCTGACCCATCATTCATCATCGAACTCATAAATATTAGGAAAGTCATATGATTTAGCCTTGAGTTTCTTTAGAGTAATTCTCAAAAGAAATTATTTGAGTTGCTGTAACTCAAACTTCCTATTTTGACAATTTGCATAAGTACATTCTGACTTCTTGTTTAGACATTTGTATGTGGACATTCTTTGCTGATGTCATCTCTTTCGTTCGTGTCATGACTAAATGTGTGTGATGTAATTTGTAATCTCATGAAATGGGACATAAAATTATGAACTGAAATATGTTGCAGGCATTGATTTGGAGAACATTGTTTACTACAAAGACGACACGCACTACTTTGTGATGACGGCAAAGAAGAAGAGTCTGCTGAAGAAAGGCGTCATAAAACAGGTGAACGGCCACTAGTGACTCAATGTGTCTTATCAATATCATATGCTTCATTTGGGAATTCAAATATGGTCTTTCCTGCTCCTTGATGGCAAACAATAAAAATGTGCATTATTCAAAACCTTTTCCCCATTTAAACTTGTCTTGTTGATACTAAAAGTTGTTTATGAGTATGACACGTTATTTGGTTGTTCACTGCTGGTACCGAAAGGTCCTTCAGGTGGCTCCTGTACTTTCGTTCAGTAAATTGAACTGCAGTGATTTTGCTACTTTTTTTTTTCATTTTTTGTTCTTATTTTTAATCCTAATTAATATCAGAAAGAATCCTCCTCCCTATGTCCTTGAAAAGAGTGCACATATCAAGCAATATTAAGAGATTTACATTTAAAAAACATGAACCGATAACGTCAGACAAGATTTTCCACACAATTCAGAAATCTGACATCTAAACAATAGTGCAAGATTATTTCAGTAAAAGAGGTATTAATTTCTTTGCAACAGACTCAAATTGCAGTATTTGAGATAACCTTTTCTGTGCCCAGGACTTTGCAAACGCGGAGGAGCTCTTGTCTCGCTCCAATGTGGACTACGAGGCTCTGTGTCAGTACGCTCATGACGCTGCTGACTTCTGCACCGAAGGGAAACTGCCCGACCTAGAGTTTGCCCTGAACCACAAAGGGAAGAAGGACGTGGCCATGTTTGACTTCACCTGCATGCACCGCGCAGAAAACGCCTCCATGGTGCGAGAGCGCAGAGGCAAGAAGCTGCTCATCGCTCTGGTGGGAGACTGTCTCATGGAGGTACAGGCCGCTCACAGGACATGTTCAGTCTGCTTCAGAGGTCTTTTTCATCTCTTTACAATAACCACATTGTCTCCAACAAATCTGATTGCATTCATTGCTAATTCAAATGTTTAGATAAAATTGAGATTCATGGAAGTCCCGCTACCACCATTAGTTTAGACCTTGTTTACGTTTGTTACGATGTTTTTTTTTTTTATATATATATATATATTTGTGTGATTCTGTATTTTTTATTTGATTGAAATATTACAATCTATTATTCTAGCCCTTCTGGCCTTTGGGGACTGGAATAGCTCGTGGGTTTCTGGCAGCGTTTGACACGGCCTGGATGGTGAAGAGCTGGGGCATGGGGACCCCACACCTCAAGATCCTGGCAGAAAGGTAAGCTTTATAAAAAAAAAAAAACATAATATATAAATAATTGTACTGGGCAACAAGTAGAATTGGTAGTGAATTGGTTTTAATTAAGGAGATGTTGACGGATTTGCTAAGTTTTGACTCTCAATATCAGTGGGAATTAAGGAAGTTCTCAGAAATGTATAAATACTCGTACACATTCTGACTAACGTATATATGCGTATATAGGCGCATTTGTTCAACATCATAGTCACATGATTGTACCAGGAAAGTCCTATGAGTCATTTGTCTATGAGCTTATTCAGTTCAGTCTTTGACGACTTAATTAACACCTCCACATAAAAGGAATGAGCGATTTTGAAGACAATACAAATGTACTTCTCTCTCTTTACATTTTAGCTCAAATATTTATCTTCTGCATTGTCAATATTTTGCGTTTCTATGATTTTGTGTTTGGTACGTTGAACTGCATCTTACTTACTTAGTGTATATTAATGTACCATAGTTAGAATTGACAAAACGTAAATGGTGTGTGTATTGGAGAAGTCTTTAAATGTGTTCAATGCCGCAATATTAAACGTGTAATTGCTCTGAATTGTTTTCAGTACAGAAAGAAAACCTGGGAATCTCATAATTTGAACATTCAGGTTATTATGAGGTTATATTTAAATAATGTAGAAAAATAGATTAAATGTGTTTGCTGTATTAAAGTGAATTTCAGGTCACATTGCAGAAAGAGAACATTAGAATGGAAGCACCTCTGACTTCCTAATTGTATTCAAATTGTTGAATGGCTTGTTTGCTTGACTAGCAGCTAATTTTACTGCCAGTGGTTATGTCAAAGGCAATATTGTGGAATTCTTATTTTGGAATTTGTTACCCTTTACATACTTTATATGAAAAATATGCATTCTTTAAGAAATGAGAGATTACTCACATAATCTTTTCCATTGTTTTGATAATGTAGCTGCCTTCTGACACTTTAATTCTGTTAACAGAGAAAGTGTGTACCAGCTCCTGTCTCAGACCACTCCTGAAAACACCAGTAAAAACTACAGCGCCTACAGCCTCAACCCCAAAACACGATACCAGCGAGTGAACTTCGGCTCTATCCAGGCTCATCAGGTCAGCAGGCACCAGAGTCTCTCAATGCAGACCAAACATAGTATCATATGTACTGTATGTTGGATATAAATGTATGTACAGTATGTATTTGTAATACATGCTTTGCTTAAATCAGGGACTGTACTCTTATGCCAAAGTATCCAACGTCTTCTTGTTTAACATTATTAAAATATTTAAGAGTTTAAGATTATTATATATTTTATTATTTTATTTAGGCAAGGATCACTTAAATTTAGCTTGAGTTGGGTATTTTTTCAAAGATAAAGAAAGATTGTTATTGTAGACTTGGAGGGCAGTCATTTATTTTTATTCAATCATTGCTGATTACATTCTGGGTTCAATTGTTCAGAATAAAATACATTATATTTCTTTTCTTTCTCTAACAGAACATGGTAGCACATAACCTTTAACCATCAATGCAATTTAACTAATTAAGAATCTAACAATGGTCTGTATGCAGGCAGACGTATAAATGTAACAACTGTATTGATATTATTCAAAAAGTAAAAACGTTATATAAATATCTGACCTTTTTGAATCTACCACAAACCAGTTTCTGTTCGTTCACTTCAGGTGCAGCATCTCTACGACACGGACAAAGGCAGCTCTCTGAGCAATAGGCTGAAAAACAAACTGAACCCAACGAGACAAGGTCGGTTCCTCTTTACAATTCTGTCTTTTGAAATAGGGCTTCAAGATTTATTGCAAACAAATCAAAATTCCAATTTACTGTAAGTAAAATCACAAAGGCTGATGTTCTTTTAAAAATAAATAAAACGGCAATAAAGATCAACAGCTAAAAAATAATCTAAGAAAAATAATCTAAGAATATTCAATAGGGAAAAGGCTTTCTCTGTCCATTCATGTTTTTAAATTTATTGTCCAACAGTCAGGAGAACAGATACCTGATTCAAAAAATGTTCTGATATGGGATTCCATGCTCGATGGTTGTGCTCATGGGAAAACATTCATGCATGTGAATACTGCTGGTGTGCCAAAGAGACAGAATGACAGACTAAATTAGATTGAATTAGATCGACTTCCCCTTTTCATTGTTGGTTAAAAGCAGGTTGGAAATGATCTTAATGTTGCAGATTCAGTGAGTGGCTTCGATGAGCTGCTGCGGTGGTGTCAGAAACACACTGCAGGTTATAAAAGTGTTCATGTGACCGACCTGACTGAGTCATGGAGGTCTGGACTGGCCCTGTGTGCACTCATCCACTACTTCAGACCTAAACTCATGTGAGTACCAACACGTTTACAACAACTGTAAATCGTTCTATTACAAGTCATCAATAAATTATAATTAAAAAAAATATGCACACTGCATCAATTACGAGAACTACTGCCAAAATTCTGCTTAAGTAAAACATGCAGGTGTCAGCATGGCACAGACACAATCTCAGTAATTGTGTTTGGTTGTAAGAGCAATATAATTAGTATTCAGTATCGAAATTGTAACTCAGGTTATGATGCGCCTCTCATAAAAGCTGTTTCAAGCATTACTTAGTTTTAATGCTCTGAATTTGACTGTTTTCTTACACACTGCCTTGATGTCTCGATGAATAAATCCCCTCTAGGAAGAAATGCCCAAATTGCCATAATGTGCTTCAAATTTCTGGGTTTTAAAAGGGTATCTCCCGTGTGTGCAGTGACATGAGCAGTCTGCATGAGTCTGATCCAGTCCTGAACCACCACTTGGCCTTCAGTGTCCTGGAGAAGGAGCTGGGCGTCCCTCGAGTCATGTCCCCAGAGGATTTCACCAGCGACACTCCAGTCGACAAACTGTCCATGGTGCTGTATCTTACACAGGTGCAGAAGGCCTTCACAGCGCCCCCTAAAGGTACGACAATCTCTAATGCTACAGTGACTAACAAGACAATATGTTTTCATTGGGGTTTGTTAGTTAGCCTTGTAACTCAAAAATTTATAAAAAATTCCTGAAACAGGACAAGGAACAAATTATTCATGAAGGGATCCGGATCACCATCTGGATCCAAGGTTTTTTTTAAGGAATAGAACTGTGCCTTTTGTTGGTTTGTGCAATTCTAGTTTGTTCTGAGCAGATTTTTCTAGCTGTTTACCCGCTGGCTTACAGCTGTAGCACCAGAACCTTAGCCAAACTGACTCTATCAAAGTAGGTTTTATCAGTATGCGTTTTTATGAAACTGCCACTGCCGAGAACGAGGTTTTCACCGTCCTCCATCTGTGTTGTAATTATGGAGGAGTACACAGGAGAGCACAGTTCTGTAAAGTCTTCAGAGACGACTGGAATGCTGTTGTGAATCAGGGCTATACAAAAGTTGATTGAACTGAATTTGGACTTTTTAATGGAGTATACTTAGCAGACATAAATGTTTGCATATTTCATATTTTTGAGGTTACAGTACACTGTTGAACACACTGTATGCTGTCTAGTGTCTAGTAAGTAATTCATAAACTAATCCTTATTAATATTGCACATTTTACAGACCAAAGGTCTCACAAAGCGCTATGCAATGTTTTTGAATGTCTACATTACGTTGTTAAATTTCCTCAGTGTTCTCAAATGAAAAGATGTTTCCCAATGGGTGACCTCACATTAGATACTGGAAGCCACCCAGTTGCAAATCATTCTTCCTTGAAATAAATAATATATAAAAAATTATAGTGAATTTGTATTCATTAAATAATTGAAACTAAACCAGTCTCTTACTGATAATACTACAGTTATGTCCAAACCCTTCAGCCTCGCTTGGCTTTGATGTAAGAGAATGCAGAACAGTAAATACTGAGCCGCTGCCCCTTTAAGACCCTGTTACCCACAATCCTCTGGTTTTAAGTGGCTTGTGCTGCTCTGCACTCACACACACACAGAGCAGTACAGTGTGTTTGGATCCAGGCTTAGCTCCGTGTGATGGGGACAAGCACTCGGTGAGGCTCATTCTGCCGCTGTGAAGATTCTCTGCACTGACTGTATGTATCTAAAGATGGTGTGGTTTAAAGATTTAACTATTAGTAGCATTTGTGCTGTGTTTGAAACCGTCAGTGTTTGAGAATATTGTGAGGCGGGTGTGAGAGGCACTGCTGCTGTATGCTCCATTCAGCAGCAGAGGAGAGCTGTCATCCCACTGTATTTAACCTTATCGTGCTCACTCCACTGCAGATGCAGGCTGTAAATGAGGGAAATATCACACAGAGGTTGATTTGAATAGTTTGTGCTATTAAGAGATTACGCCTATAAAGTGTACCTTCCTCCACTAGCAGACAACTTAGATTTAGATTATGAGCTGTCATGATTTAGCTTGAAAATGCTTAGAATATTATGTTCAATAGAATAATGGAGTAGGGATGCTGTACTTCACTTTTGCATTCCTCTTTTATATTTTATTTTATTGTTCAGTGTTATAAATAATACAATACTATAATGATTATCTGCCAAAAGATGTATTGCTGCATCTACCTAATAACGGATTCATGAAATATGATGTTGCATTTCGTAAGTGCACATGGATACTTATTATTATTTATTAAACGATTACAGGTTGTGTTTTTCATAACCATTATCTGTAGGTCATAAATGTCTTGCAATGGCTCAAAGGAATTTGACATTTTTGACAATCTATCCATACATTGCACATTTCAGGCCGTTAGGAAGGTGAAAATAGAAAAGGCTGATCTTAACAAGAGTGTTTTATAATGGGCTTTGAAGAGTGACAGCTCCGTCACAGGCTGCAGGTGTGAGGGGAGAGTGAGATGTGTCTGACTGGGCTCTGATGGGGACACCATTATGTAGCGCTCTGGGGACAAAGGTTGGACACAGCTGCTCTAGGGACAGATCATTTCAGTGAGGCTTGCTCTTCTTATGTATTTTGTTGTTTCAGATCCTGTGGGTCCGTCTGCAAAGCCCCTGACTCTGTCTCAGACTCAGTCAGCTGTTTTCTTCCTGAGCAAACTGAAACACAACTCACTACAACGGCAGAAGGTCAGTCTACTGAAAACTTGTAAGTGATAATAATCGTATCTTACTGCTTTTGGTGTTTATTGAAGAGAATACATGATAAAATAATACTTTTCAAGATATAAAAAAAATTGTTCAGTTCTTTTTACCTGATGAGATTTTGTTTCACTTGTCATTTAAAGAACTTTGCAAGCCCTTTTTCTCATTTACTCATGATTTTGATGTTGGAAAATGATCTGCATTTTAGGAACAGCAATAATATTTCTCTTGTGATGTTCAAATATGTCTAAAAACAATGCTATCTATTTGTCCGCTGTTAGAATCAGATTTATCTGAACAAAACACTTTATTGCTTTTCACATGAAAGAAATCAGATTATGTTGTACTAAACCGTTAATGTAATTATAATGATTATGTCTTTTGTGCAGGACAAGTTGGCGTCTCAGAAAAGGTCCACTCTGAGAGACAAAGCAATGGGGGATGAGGGAAAAGTAAGTTAAGTCTGCTTTTTATTCCTATTGCAGCTCATGTCATATTCTGGTAACCTGACAGCACTATGAACTGACTTTTCTGAAATAACGTTAGAATTATCTAATATAATCACAAGTATTTGTCAGACTAATTTATGTTTTTAAAGTCTGTTATATTCTGTAGATTTACTCAAGCAGCTCCATAGCTCCAAAATCCAAAAGTCATATATTGACTGACCTTTTTTCTGGTTTGAGGTAATTCAACTTCACACATTGGCTTCTATTGAAAGCCCCCAGAGCCAGACTTAACCACTGGGGAAATCTGATCTGATCTGTGCCTTTTAACATCTCGGTATAAAACATAATTATTCAGATTATTTTTTCATGAACTGTCATGAATCTGGGATTTGTACTGTTTGAACATTCTTTCGGGTTGATTGTTTTGTTTTTGTTTGGATTTGCTTTATTTATAGATGCTGTGTGGACCTCCAGAGTCTCGGCCTAATCATGAACCCACCCCAGTTTCAAACCCTCCCCTTGGGCCTGTTTCTCCATCTCCTCCTCAATCTCCTACATCTCCTCCTCCATCTTCTGCATCTCCTCCTGCCTCACCCACTGCGTCTCCCACTGCATCTCCCCCTCCCCTGGACCCTGGCTCTCTGATGTTGGACCCTGGTTCTCCCCTGGACCCTAGCTCTCCTGTGGACCCTGGCTCTGCCCTGGACCCTGGCTCTCCTGTAGACGCCGGCTCTCTGGCCGTGTCAGGGGAGTGTTACTTCTGCACACAGAGGGTGTATGTTCTGGAGAGGATAAGTGCAGAGGGGCTGTTCTTCCACCGCAGCTGCTTCACGTGTCATCGCTGTGGGATCACTCTGAGGCTCGGGGGATACACCTACGACCAGCCTACAGGTCTGCAGGAAAACCACTCAATAAAATAATATTCAACGCACCAAGAACATACTTTGCATATATCGGGGGTTAGCAGGTCTTAGTTTATACCTGAGCAGGAACACCTGACTCCAGCCATTTCCTCAAATCTTCAGGTTAAAACTGGACTCACCTGTGGAAATTGATGGAGTCAGGTGTTCCTGCTCAGGTGCAAGATGTGCAAATTATTATTATGTGTTTATTTGATAGGGACAGAACAAGAAGCATTGTTACAAGAACCGATGCTGTGTTCATTGGCCGTATAGCTAACAGCTAGTTTGCAGACCTGGTCCTTAGACATAGAAATACATCACATTTACATTATACATGCATCATTATATTAAAAAATAGGTAAATAAGTAATACTAAATAACAAACAAACGAGTAACCCCGCAGATTACATAGTACAGAAAAAAAATACAATAGATGATTACAGTCTTGCATTATGCTCACAAGTTTGGTTCCTTTTGAGCCATAGTTTGACTTTCATTTTAAACTCCTTAAGTCTGTTAAAGCTTTCAGTTCTGCAGGTAACGTGTTCCAAAGCTGTGGCCCTTTTACTTATCCTGATGACATCATCAGGATAAGTTGCAAGTTTTGGAGCAGTAAAAACTATTTTTTAATTTTTAACAAAAATGTGAAGAACTGGTTCTTGCCACATCAGTCCTGCGTGCACTAACAGTACCAGCTGGGTATTTGGCCATCAGATGGTACCCTCGTGGGTACCATCTGATGGCTGCCAGACAACCAGACTGTTATCTTACATTCAGTTACTGTACCGTTGGGTATTTGCATTCGGATGATACCCTTGTGGGTACATCCGTTAGCCCATCCATCCAGCCATCTTCTTCCCCTTAATCCATTTCTGGGTCTGGGGGTGTGGCAGTCAGAGCTGCACCCAGTACCCATAGCACCAGCCCGTGATAGCCATTATTCTTTATTTGTTTGTGCCACACTTTTTATCGCTGCTAACTGTAACTCTGTAGTCCTCCTTATTTGACTGTATTTGTGTATGTAACTTAGGAACCTGCTCTTTTTATTTGAAATGTATTTTAATATGCAAGTTATATGATTGTATTGTCAAGGATTACAGGTGGAAAGTAGCATGATACTAAAAAAGCCATCTTTTTAATGCAACTGCACATTGTCCTTGATATATTAAACTTTAACTTAAACTTTTTAGTTACGTGTAAGTAATGTGCATTCCAGGCTAACCAATTTCCAAAATTATATTTATGTAATTCATATTAGGATCATTCAATCAGTCTTATCCTATTCATTGTACAACAGGGCTGTGGATGAGTTGGTATCACAAACGTGTTTACTCATCTACCCTGTGCTTAATTTAATTACAATGTTGATCAAGCTAGCCATTTATGGTATATTTATATCCAGGGTAACACCATTTTTCATGCTTTTTCTCCCACTCAATGAATAATTTGTATGTCTTTCATTTGAAGTGGGACATGTATACATGTTTCATGGTCTTAAGTGCATTTCTGTGATATTCTCCACAGGGAGGTTCTTCTGTGAGCTGCACTCTGAAGAACTGCTGACCTCTGCTCTCACAGCATGTCAGGTGAATATTCACTGGCTCATATTATGTTTTAGACAAATCCTACAAATAGTTCAAATCGAATGGGTAATGTTTTTGGTATAAACTCAATGTATGTAATGCAGGCAGGGGTCGAAAGGTATTTTTTGGACTAAAATGTTAAACTAAGCAGACGTCTTCTTTGCTTCTTAGTGGAAAGTTTTTCAATCTTTCTGATCAGCAGTAGTGACTCGCATGTTTGACAATATTGGTCTCTAGAGCGTTTAACCAAAACTTCTGACACAAATCAGGAGTTAACTTTTCAATGAAAGAGAATGGGAACGAAAGCAATCACTGTTTTGCTGCAGCTAGTTAGCGGGTTAGCTCTGTCCATCTCTATCAGATGGACAGAATCTGTCCAAGTTATGCAGAGATTCAGGCCACAGCATATGAAAACAATGTTTTGGGGGTTTGTATAACAGCTTTGGTTGTCACTACTCACTACTGTTCTTCAGCCATAAATATGGATATGGTATAAGAATATGCATATCCATTATAAAATACTTTTTTTTCCTCTCATTTAAGGATATCAACAATCACAAAGACGAAGAAAACATTCTCTCCAGCGACTACACGCCCTCTCCTTCAGACGAGGAGTTGGATAACATGTTGGACTGTCCACCGTTGCGCCGATCCCTCAAAGCTCCTGATTCTCTCAAAACCAACTTAACCGACCCGCACCCTGTTTTTAGAAACCTCTCCCTCAAAATCAACACCCCTGAACCCACAGATCAGGAAACCACAACGTGCCCTGTCCCAAAGCCGCGCCTTTCCAGACAAACAAGTCCACCAAATCCCCCAGTTGCTAAACCTAGAACTATTCATCTTAGCAGTAATACTAGCCCCCCATCTTCCCCGGCTAAACTTTCCCTGAAAAAGCTGCAATTGACCGATGAGGAGAAAAGCCAGCTGGTGAATTTACAGAACTTTTTCAGTGCCGATTCGGATTCAGAGACTCCATGCGGTTCTTCATCTTGTTCGTCATCGTCTGCGACTGTGACAAAATCCCACGAAGGGCCAGAGGAGGAGGGCTATTGGAGCGGGAGCACTGCAGGCAACTTCAGGGAGAAGAGGAACCGGAGGTGTTTCAAAAGGAAGGAGATCCCCGGAGGACAGACCAAAGCCCGATCCAAGTTTTCACCCTGGAACCTGTCGTCGCCAAGAATCAGCCGTGACGGGAAACTCAGTGTGCTCAGTCATCCTGGGCGTGTGGGTAAGGGGACTTTTCAGGTTTGTTTCGTCCGGTGTATAATGCCCCATCCATACATTGTGCAGTGACTTTAAATATCAATAGTTAGCAGCCTGAGCATCTGAGATTTGACCAGCTGTGTTGTGTAGAACTCATTCTGAGGTCCACACGCATACATCTGGTGTGAGCCAGGTGATATATGGCGTAGCAAGCAAACATGAAAAAACTAATATGTGACACTCATTACACGCAGAGTGATTTTTTTGTTTTTTTTGTTTCACCTATATCCAGTTGTTTTGGTCACAATTCCTTTCCCATAGAAATGTCATAGCGTCATGGACCTCTATAAAAAGCCTTTACAATGGCGCTGGACGGGTTTTTATTTATAATGTAGACATGGGGCTGATCACATTTTCTCTCATGACCTCCAGAAACCACGTTCAGACACGCACACTGCGCCTCAGAGAATGACGCTGATGATGATGATGAAGAGGATGACGAGATGTTTCAGGACGACGACCTGGACCTGTTCAATGACAAAGTGAGAACTGCGTCTGTTTTGTTCCATTATTCACAGACCTTAGATTATAGCGCAGGCCCAGTCAACCCTACATTTCCAGTAAACCATTGTTTGTTGGTTGACCAGTTCTATTCGTTGCCATCGGACCCTGTGGAGGCTCAGAAGTTGGAGCTGATGAAGATGAGAACTCTGGAGCGAAGAGCAAAGATGAGTGAACTGCAGCGACTGAGAAAAGCACAGGTCTGAGTCCAGCACTTATATGAATTTACACACATTTCATTTCTGCATTTAGACTTTATTAAGGACTCGTATGCAGGCACTGGATCCATAGCTAATAAATACATCATAAATACATTTCATTATTTGTACTTTGCTGAATGCAGACAATCCAGAGGCGGCTGGAGGAGATCGAAGTCACCTTTAAGGATTTGGAGGAAAAGGGCGTCGAGTTGGAGAGAACTCTACGTCGTGACGATGGTAACAAATGCAGAATTTTTTTTCATTTAGCATTGTTAATGTTGAACAGTCCTTAAACCTTGACAAATGCTTCAAAACAATTGTAAACGTGCGTGTGCTCTCTGCAGACAGCTCGTCGGACATGATCGAACACTGGATTCAGTTGGTGCATGAGAAGAATGCACTGGTGTCGGAGGAGTCTGAACTTATGGTGGCGTAAGTCTCCACAATGAGTCTCCTTAATACTAATGCTGTTTAAAATGTTGGCCTTTTGTTCAGTCTATATTCTGCAATCATCACTTCTCTCCTACTGTAGAAAGAGACCTAACCTAACCTAAGATTAGCAAAAATATCTCATTGTATAATCTAAACTATTTTAATTATCCAATGATCAATTAACTAAGTTTAGACAAAGTTGTAACAACAATTTAATTCTGTTTTTTTAGTTTCAAAAGAATAAATACACTTTTATTTGATTGCAATTGATTTTGCAGCTCTACCCAACTTCTTTGCATTAGGAGAATCCAGTAAACCTTTGAGTTTTGTTGAATCAACTAATATACAGACTACGTTGATGCTTTTTTTCACACTTAAGTTCAAATAGGTCATTATTGGATACATCAGCCGTTGGTCCAACCAAACGAGTGATGTGATTAGGTGTAACTGGTGTTGTCTCTACGCAGCTCTCGTCAGTTGGAGTTGGAGGACAAACAGGGCATGTTGGAGCTGGAGCTGCGTAAATACATGGAGATCACAGGTGAGCAAGGATGGAATAGTCAAAATGATTACATCAGTGTTTAAATGTACAGCCTCTGAGTTGAATGTCAGACTTCTACGATTTTATGTAATGTTAAATCTTTTTTGGTGATTCCTAACATTAGAGCTGATGAAACGAAGAACGCTGCTTTAGCTTGACTTAATTAATGTATTTTTTTCCTTGTCCAGACAAAAGCGCAGAGGAGGCGGCGGAGGAGGAGCGGATCCTGCAGCAGGTGATTGAGACGGTGGACATGAGGGACTCACTGGTGTCTTTCCTGGAGGAGAAACGTCTCAAAGAAATGACTGAAGAACAAGAAGCCTTCACAGTCATGGAGGCAAAACGTCACTCCAAAGTAGGCACGCAGGTTCACTGGGCTTAAGCGGGCGAACAGTAGAAAGCTCCATAACGCCAAAGATATAAACCGATTGTGACGGCTTAAATGGAAAACAAAAAGAGTCTAAAGTTGACTGGTTTTAAAGGAACTCGCAGATGTGATTGTTGATGAGATGTTGCCTTTGCCTTTGACAGAAGCAACTCCAGATCCAGGACTTTATAAGGAATTCTGTCCAGATTGCCGAAAAAAAGAAATCCAAGTGCGAGAAGAGTGGACATGTCGGTTGAGAAGCTAGTAGCATCAAATCAATTTCATACGCAAGAAGTGGGATTTTTGTCTTTACTTTAGAATTAAAAATATCGTTCGTAGTTATAGGGCCCAGTATAAACCTGATGCACTGGAGAAGATTAAACTACAACAGAAGAGTTTTTTATTGCAGAGCTAATAAGTCTGCAGCTTCATAATGAACAACATGGACTACTGTGGGATTGCAGTCTGCTGAAAATAATAATAATAATGCAGCCACTAGGGGGTGTTATAAACCTGAAGAAGAATACACAATGGATGAGTTGCTTATTGCGGAGGTAACTCAGCACAGCCAATAAACCTGCAGCTTTCTAAAGACACCACATTCGATTGTTGATTATGTCTAGTCTTGTAAAACGGGTTAAAATGGACAGCGGGACATTTGTAACTTGTAACACAAAAAAAAATAGTATCTAGTATATTGGAAATTACTTGAATTCAGGATATTTTCCTGAAGCTCTAGAATGATAACCTGAATTCATCTGTTTTAAGCCTGTCTTTTATTTGCGGTGTATATTTTCAAATTGTAGCTCTTTTGCTTCACTGTGTTCAGAAATGGTGTTTCACTAGTTCACACATTGCTCTTGTTTTTCTCGTGCCATAAATGCAGCGTTGCACATTAATACAGACAATGAATGAATGAATCTCGTCTGACCAAATGTTTGGGAAAGATCATACTTTTTTAGATCGGTTGTTACAGAAATTTTAACATTTCTTTTGAGCACTTAATAATTTCTCCTGTTGACGTGTTGGAAACGTGAGCACTTAGAAGGAAAGCTTATGTAACACAGTCTGACCCAATCTACTTAAAGGAGACGTATTATGGTAAATATTTTGGAACTTTTAACCATGTTACAACATTTTCCCTTCATCAAAAAAGACCTGGAGTTGTTTTTAGATCCAAAAAGCTCCTGTCTCAATTCTGTAATAGTGTGATGTCATTGTACCACTATGACATCACACTCAGAGCAGTTTTCTTTCTCATAAATGCAATATCTTTCAAATTTGAAAAAAAGGAAATTCTCTTTCTCTGGTGGTAGCATTTATAGAGAGAGTTACAGGCGGAAAGTATTTTTACTGTTCATACTTGTTTTGCCACCTGTAATCTACTTAAGATATTATTTCACATTTTAAAACATGACAACGGCAAAAAATAATGCTTATTATTTCTTCTTTAAAACGATTTTCAAATGCTGCAATAAATTATGATGATCTAATGACATTATTTTGAGGGCTGGGACACTGTTCATGTGCGGCTTTGATGTGATCAGAACCCGTATATAGACCTGATCATTTGTTGATATTGTAACGGGCTGCGTTATTTCAATAGGGACATAACACATCAGGACAGCAGGGGGCAGCATTGCACATCAACTTTCATCCGGGATGGGGTTGGTCCCAGTGTCAAGCTGCTTCAGACCTGATACTTAAATTGCACATTTTATAAACCGTAACTAGTTGAACTGCAATAGCAATAACAATGTACATAAAAATATTGAGGTTGCTCTAAAGATTTTATTGAAATCATGTATCATGATCGCTTCACCCCAGCCCTTCTAATTATGGAACTTGATGTTTGCCTCCAGAGTTCTGCCAAAAAGTATCGACTCCACATGGTACTTAACTTAAATGGTCTTAATCCCCAAACATTTGTGTGTAGTTTCTCAAAAGGTTCAAATAGAGTTGTCAGTTTCAGCAATAGTATTTTGCCATAGCCAGCCAAGCATTGTTTATTGTACTGTAAATATAAATGCTTCTGTGAGAAGGTCGTCCTCACTGGTGCCACAGCTGACCGCTGTATAGATTTCATATGTTTGAAATTTATATTGAAAAAATTATGCTCTAGAAAAAAAGGGGAATTATTGAAAAGAGTTGTTATTAAAGATGATTAAAGATCTTACATTGTGTATTATTCCAACCGTGAATGACTTTTGGGACTCTGGCGTTTTTGTTTGACTCATGCACTTTGTTGCTGTAGGTCTATTGTTCTAAGGAACCAAAGGCATTAACGTCTCCTGATCCTGTGCACTGGTCTAATCCAAAGTCTTCCTGTGGTTTTAAATAGTGATTCAAACAATGTGGACTGATTATTCTAATACAGAAGGACTCGGTTCTTTAAAAGCTGCTGTAATGTTAATGAGTTTGAAATAATGATAGTAATAATGCATTGCTTTTTATAGCACTTGTGGAGACTCAAAGATGCTTGAGATGCTATTCTTTCACTCTGTACATGGTGGTGCTAAACTACTCTTGTAGCCACAGCTGCCCTGGGGCAAACTGACAGACGCGAGGCAACCTGTATGTTCCATCGACCCCTCCAACCACCACCAATCATTTATGCACACACCAGACTCCTACTCGGTAATATGAGTACAGTATTTGGGACACAATGACTGTTTCAATTTTCCCATAACATTAAAAATATGAAGTGAATGTGACGGCTACTTCAAGTTATTCCATTGTTACTTTCAGGATGAATTACAATTTACTGCAAAGGAATTCCAGGCCAGTGTTTGGCGATAGATCATCGGCCGCTGCACTGTTACCGGAGAGACATATGGACGTAGGGGTCGAATGCAGAGGATGCATTTACAATCACTGTTGTCTCAGCGGGGTGTCTCTGCAGATCTATTTAGAAATCTGGATCCTGCATCTCTCTCAGTAAATACGTTGGTCACTCCAGTCCAAACTCTTCAGAAACAAGTGATTTTAAGATTTCAGTTTTGCACTCTTGGCCTTGTGTATGTCCATGCTCTGTTCTCTGCTCACTCATCATTGTGTTGATCCAGTTACAGAATTATAATGTGTTTATGAGGCTAATATTCACGTGTGACATGTCTAAGCCCTGTCACGCAGACATGTTTTAATCCTTGTCTAGTCCTGTTATAGTTCTAGTTTGAACCTGGTTTAGTTTTTACTGTTAAAGTTAAAATATTTACAGATGATTTATGTTGTTTTGAAATACGTCTTTACTCCTGCATAAATTAGTGCAAACCGTTTTGACCTATTTAGCTGTTTATTCCCACTGTCTTTTTTAAAACTGGTTTCACACATGGTCTGCAATTGAGTTGACAAATTTCACTTGTTTGGTTCACTTTAACTGGACCTAAACTGGTTCACTTGGGACAAAAGCATTTTTTTGTGGATGTGAAACCAGGACTGGTTACTAAAGTTAATTTCATCTTTTGAAACAGACCTGTGAAGCATTTTCTTACCCAAATTAACCAGACAAACTCGAAATTAACCAGACCAACCCATGTGAACGTGCCCTGACTGTCCTGGTTTAGTTTTGGCCTAATCCTTTGTTGTGTCTTCTCTATTATGTTGATCCATATACAATCCGTCTATGAGGCTAATATTGGTGTGAGACATAAGCAGTGTGATCCAGACGTGACGATGCAGTCTGACCTGTTTACATTGGCCTGGTTCTGTTCTCGTTCAATCAAACATATCAATGCAATATGTTCTATATCTACCACGACTTTGTGTCCAAGCCTTGCTTTTTAAGATATATATATATATATTGTTTTTTTTTTTTTTACTTTCAGATAGAAAGGAAAACTGCTGAACTGGAGTCAGATTCTTTCAATCAATCAGTAGAAAGTAGAGAAATAGCTGAGATACAGGAAGGTGAAGCCTCAAATGCAACACAGAACAGGATCACAATGTTCCACCCAAGAAATGTTTAAAGCTCAGGAAAGGACATTGTTCATAAATAGTCCCACTTTATCATTCAAAAAGAAACAAAACGAACAATAATATGTAAAGTTATCATTTTATTTACTATGTCGTGTATAACACTATGAATGAGAGCAACAATAACGTAATTGAAGGTCTGTGACCTCAGGAGAAGTTTAAGAACAAATGAGTGTGTTTCCATTCTTACGTGGTCAAATATAAGGTATTTAAATGTACTAATCGTCAATATTTCTTCCTAAAGCTTCAGGCCACAATGCAAAAAAATAAGTATTTGTACTGATCTTCTGACTGACAATAATGCATATTAATATGTGTAGCGACTCTAGTGCCTATTGCCGCTGGAGAGGAGAAACCGGGTTCGTCTAATTGTATGACGCGCTGCTTGGCTGTCACAGAGCACACTTTGTCAGGAGTTAAGTTTGATGGCGTTTTAATGAAAAGAAACACGAATGAGGTGATAACATAACGTAGACGTCTTGATATTGAACGAAACAGTGAGAAAAACGAAGGTACAAAAGAAACAAACACAAACGAACGGTCAACAAAAACTACGGCGACCCGCAGCCCCCCTCTCTACGATTGATTTCATTCATAAAACAGAGGTGAGAACTAAGTAGACACCGCCCCAGTAACCACGTGACCCACACCCGGCACATCACCCAATCAAATCACAGCCCACTGTTATATTCAACTTATGGCTCCTACAATATGTAATTCAAAATAAATATATATATTTTTTCTTATTCAATATTAATTGTAGGAAATTTCAGACCCTCCAACATTGTTTTTTGAGGCCTTCAGGAGGACTGATGGTGTAATCGGGGCGGTCGGACCCCCCTGTTTTTTGCAGTATGCTCTTAAGTAAATATATACGTGACTAAAATAACACACATAGGATGTCTCCTTTAAGTCCTTATTTCATGTTTTCCTGTATTTTGCAACATTAAAATCACCGGTCTATTCTTGTTGGGCCATATTGAAGAACAGGACCAACAGACTCTGCTCTTTAGAGACGTTTATCTCCAACAGAGACAAAATCTGTGACTCAAGCGGCGTAAAAAATATACAGAAAAAAATACTTTTTTTATACTAATTATTTTCAAAACTCTGTTCATCTATGGTTTGTGTTGTGAAAGTGCAAATATTCAGACCAACACATTTTAAAATCATTGTGAGATGCTGCAATAATCTAAATCAGGGGTCACCAAACCAGTCCAGAAAGAGCCGATGTGGCTGCAGGTTTCTATCAGACTAAGAAGGAACAGAGTCTGCTCTTCATGTGTCGTAACTGAGGCCCTGTAGGTTTTTCTGTATATTCTCCTCAAGTGAGTTAAGTTGTCTCAACTGGAGGATTTGAGGAAATGAGTGGGATTTGTTCTGCTCCTGCTTGGTCTGATAGAAAATTTGCAGCTACACCGGCCCTTTCTGCACCAGTTTGGGGAACCCTGATCTAAACTGACATAATTATTAGTATTTTTTTATTTTTGAAACCTCAAAAATAAAAAATATACTATAATATTGGCTATCAAAACTTAAAAAGAAAATGTTTCAAATAGTTTTTCGTTTGGGTGATGTGAAAGGTGAGTGTACTGCTTATATAGATTTGATTTGTTTTGTTTGCTTTGTGACTATTTAAAAAAATATACAAGTAATTTCTTTGTATATATATATATATATATATATATATATAAGTCGTATTTAGTGTTGCATCTGTTTAAAAAACAAAAAACAAAAACAAAGCGCATATCCTGAAACCGGAAATTGATGTTGGGGATGATTCTTCTCGTGAGGCGAATGATCAGTTTCCAGAATGTGGTCCAGAGGAGGTGAGTGACAGTTTAATTTTCACAGAAGAATACTTGAACCATATTTCCCCCTATAGGCTTATACTCATTATTATGGGAGCAAGCGGTGTCTCTCCTGTTGCTCCCCCCTCCCCTTCCCTCCCCCTCCTCCTCCTGTTTGTGCCTGATCCGCGCGTCTCCAGTGTATCTATGGTCTGTATCTGCCTCCTCTGCAGTCTGACTCCACAAGCATCAGTCTCCTCCACTGCACCGGGCGCTCAGGAGAGTCAGAGTCACGCTCTCGGTAAGTACATATAACATAATATCATAACATATAATAATAATACAAGCCAAAACTCCGTGCGTAACTTACGTGTATTCCATCCTGTTCTTTCCTTTCTTTTTTTTTCTTTTTTTTTGCCACGCATCAGCTGTCTCATCCTGTAAGCGTTATAAACACTGGGACATACTGAAAGATTTTGATCGACATTATACTTGTCATCCTCTGCAGGTTTTGAATACATAGACTTATTTAGCACTCCAGTCATGTATGTGCGCTGCAGTATTTACTTGGACTAAACCAAGTGAAAGCAGCCACGATAATCCAAACCAAATAATCGGAAAATAACTGAGATTAAGATCAGATATCTTTGGAACGCGCATTTTTGCAGCATGTCATATTTACCTTCAACTTTTGTAATTGAAAGCAAAAACACGTGAAGATTTCGTAACCAGTGCATACATACATCGCGCTTACTGCAGTCCGTTCTTGTAATGCAGCCATGAGTGTCTGCAGAACCCTGTTGCACTGAACATCTCGTAAAAAAAAATCTTTCACTAAGATACAAACATACATTTCAGGCAAGATTTCTTCACGGCGTACAGTGTTAAAGAGCCCAGTGCCAAATGGACCACTGCACCCGTCCCTGCAGCAGTCTTCACACAAGTGGCATTATTATTTTGACCAGACTCCGCTGCAGCAAACTCTCCACACGCAGCATGGAAACTCACCCAGGCTCATGGACAGTAATCAAAGAGACTGTTGGCACTGTTTTCAACCCATATTCCCATGGACATAGAACGTTCAAATACTTCAGAAACGGTGTTGGGCAAGTCACTGGTTAACAATGTATTATACAAGTCTATGGATGTATGCAGGAACATAAGACCATCCCTGTTTGTCAAAGCAAGGTCAATACAGAGATGGGAGACATTGGATTTGCATTGAAAAAGATGTTTATTTTTTATTTTTTTTTGGAAATTAACTTGGCATTACATGTAATAGTCCAGTGGGGAAATTTCAGTGTTGCATCACAAGTTACAGAACAGTAGGAATGAAGAGCACACGGAACAAGATAAATTAATTAAATATAGTACAACTCTATACTTTATTTTTAATATATAGGGAGAGTACACAGTACAGTGGGCGACAGTAGCTCAGTTGGTAGAGCATTGGCCTGAAGGTCGTAGGTTCGAGCCCACAGTAAGACCTACTTCACGACTCCCACTGATGACTGCTGTCGTTGTGTCCTTGGGCAAGACACTTAACCCCACTTTGCCTGAAGCCCCCACTGAAAGATCTCGGCTCCTGTGGACTCACCACCTGCAGGAGGATCTGTGAGGGGCTGGTGCTGAGTGTACTGGGTGCAGCTCTTGACTGCCACCCCCGACCCAGAAATGGATTAAGGGGAAGAAAATGGATGGATGGATGGATGGATGGAGAGTAGACATCAATCAACATTACAGTAAATGTGCCAGCGTACAGCTTCCAACGGTATAGGGAGGGCGTAAAATGCTAGCAAAATACACTGCAAACTTTACAATATAAAATATACATATACGTTCATTGGTCAAAAAAGACATTTCATAACAGAACATCTAATAACACAAACACAACGGCATATTTATCCCACCTAATGTGCAGATGCTCTCAAGCTGCATTCACAGGAATAATTACAACTAAACTTATAAATGATAATGTATGTATTGCACAGCAGTTACTTCAATGAAGAATATATTGCAGTTTAATTCAAACTATATATGATTACAGCCACAGGAGAAACTTTGTAAATAGAAAAGCCTTAATGTAATTGTTTAAGACAATAGCAGTGGCCACATCAGCTTTGGATCTCTTATATAAGGCTTCTCTGGCGATTTCCGGCAGGTTTAACTAATCCACTTGTTAGATAACCTCCTGATTTCTACTGCTGTACCTTTCACACACACCCATGGAGCTGTGCAATCCATCCAATGTTTACCCTAATAGTCTATTTCATGAAGATTTAAAAGTCACTTGAATACAGAATTGATTTTTTACTTCAGAACTTCTATTTACTCAATGAATCTTGAACAATGTAATGTTTTCTAACGTTTTTTTTCTGCCTATGTCGTCATAAAACATGAATGAACTCATGCTTTCAAACTAAGGTCATATAGCTACAACCTACAATTCATGATCTGATATTACCAGCTAACCAACAGTCCAGGATCAATGTTAAAGTGATTTGCCCCGAATCAATGTTTCACCAGGTTGGGGTAAGGGTTGAGGTTAGGGTGAGGGTGAGGGTTCACTGGGTTACGGTTAGGACTAAGGCTAGGTTTAGGAGTAGGGTTAAGAATAGTTACCCTATTCTTAGGGTTGTGAGGATCAACTTGTTACATTGATCCTGAACTGTTAATTCCTTTGTGTCATCATATTGTGCAACAGTCACAAATGTGTTCAAACCATAGACTCTAAAAACCAGTGAAGTGTTCTCGGTCACATAAGACTGGCAAAGAAGAAAACAAGTTTGTTTAGGTGGAGGGGACCAACTTCTTACTCTAGATAAAATAATACCAGCCTTATGTTTGCTGCTCTTCTCTTCACTGGCCATCTTCTTTACGCCCCCTGCTGGTCATGGACGCATGGTCGCCTCGATCAGAACTTGTGAATTTATTTATGTATTTTTTTATTGATTTGAACAGAATTTATCCAGCTCAAACAGAATAAGGACTAGATCATAAGATTAGCATTTTTTTATTAAGATTAACCTCACTGCCAAAAGGATGAAAGATGTTAAGTTACAAGCTTGAACTGTTATTGACAGGAGTGAGACACAATTACAGTCTTGCTACAGTCAGATCTCTACAAAGAATTATTGAAATGTCAAGTATTTTAGATGGTTACTGATGCCAACAGTATTTATAATATACCTATTACGCTCAGAGAAGAGATAAAATACATCTTGTATGTAATTATTTAAAACACATATTTGTTTGCATTCTTTGATTTTGTTAAAGGAACTTCATGTAAAATGTTTCACTATTATAATTGTAATTGAACCTGATCAGAAATATAAGTAGAGAACGATTTGTAAATACATAACCCATACATGGAAAAGAAAATGAGTAGAGTGAGACTATGAGACGGGCAGCGCCTCCTCTGCTCCTGCTGGTCACTGACCTGAGTCCTCTGCACCAGACGGATTAACGCTCACCTCCGGTGCTTCAGTACCTTCTGTCTGCAGACAGACGCACAGCTCTGCAGTGACCTGTGCAATAATCCACTCTGAATACCACCAGAAGGACTGATTTCCACCTGGATTGATAATGTAGATTTTTCTTTGTTTTTATATTGTGATTTTTGATAGAATTCCCTGTTGACGCGCAGCAAACATGGGCAGACAGGAGACGGACTGTGTGTGGAAGAAAACCACAGATAACATCAAAGATGTGTTTGAGTGCATGGAAGAGCTCGGATCGTAAGTACCATTTTTTTTTTCTGGCAACAAACTGAAAAATGTATAATATCACAATAAATGTTCTTATTGAGGGCATTGTTTATAAGAAGTTGATCATTATGGCTGGACACCAAACCAAGGGCCAAATGTGGAACAAGTTGGATAGATTTCAATATTATTGTTCATTTATTGTAAAACAATGGCACCCCTGTGTTATGAATGGGATTTCTACCTCAAAGCAGCAGGGATGCGTGCAGAGGGGTCGATTACTGCTTTGATTGGATTGACTGCAGCAGACCTACTTTGCCTGGACTTAGAAAGAGCAAACTGTCGGCTCTTCCTGCAGATCAACTCCATTCACAAAAACCCTCACGGCATCAGGATACAGACTATATGAATATCCCTGATTTGAAATTAATTCCTAAATAATTGCCACATCTTTTAACTTTTCAGTAACACTTCAAAACATTACAAAAATAACACCCTAATTAGCGGATCTCTCTTGCTTAAAGTAATGTGGGTTTTGCTGTAAAATGAGATTTCCCAGTAGAACAAGGATGGTCTTTTATAGAGTGAATTTGCACAATGTTTAGCCCAAAGTTTGACACTTTGCCAAACTCTCATGATCAAAATCACTATATTACTACTATATGTCTTTATTCCTTATATTGCTGCATAGTTTGGCTTAAATTCTACAAAGCTTCTAATTGTGGTTACAGTTTCTTTGAAAACTTTCGATCTGAAATGGAGTTAATGAGGATGACGACAGTTGAATCAGGTCCAAACGGAGCCAGATCAAGTGATTATGAAGCTAAATGAGGCGGCGCTTGGTCCTGATCCTCAGTGTTAAATAATCACATGCAACATGGGAATAAAACATGAAATCAGATCCTTCATGAGTCGTAGATTCTTGTTATTGTGGCTTCGTCTGCTTCAGAACTGTGGTCATGTGAATATCTATTGTTCCAGTATGGATGAGTCGATGGAGTTCACCTGTCTTTTTAGAATAAGCACGTCCAAACTAATTATTCAGCCAACTTCAGCTCTGTCAAGTGTAAACCATTATAGACATGGCTCATTTTAACGCTGAATCCAGTCAATCCGTGTTGTCGGCCCCTGGACAATTAATGTGTCCCTTTTTTGTAAAAAGTTTGGACACCCCTGTTTTTGAAGGAAAGGTGAGAGTATCTATTTGGCTCTAATCTATCCTGATTGGGAGCGTTTCCACCAGCTCTCTTTAACCAGTGCCAGGTACTTTTTTAGTACCTGCTTTGCCCCTTCCCAGTTCAGGTCCTGTATCTCAATCCTTCCAGTGGGCAGACTCGCCTCTCCACAGATGTGATCTTTAGATTAGTATTAGTAAGTAAGTAAGTAATCTTTATTTATATACCGCCTTTTCACTCAAAGTCTCAAAGCGGTTTACAATTGTTTATTTTTTATGTCTCTCACTCCACACAGAGATGGGAGTGGGGTCGCCAGTACAGGAGGCGCATGCCAGACCTATTGTACATATTTTTTGTGGTAGGGGAAACCGGAGTACCCGGAGGAAACCGGAGTACCCGGAGGAAACCTACGCAGACACGGGGAGAACATGCAAACTCCACTCAGAAAGGCCCTGGTCCGACCGGGATTCGAACCCAGGACCTTCTTGCTGAGAGGCGAGAGTGCTATCCACTCAGCCACCTGCCTGTGTTTTTAGATGTGTAAATGTCATATCTGTCATTATTGCCAAGCCTAACAATACCATGTCACTCGGACACAAACTGGCAGACATACTTATTTTGATAAACATTTTAAAGGTGGTTTTGGTCGTTTAACATCGTTATCTGCTACAATAAAACTATCGAATAATGTTCTCAATCTGACTGTAAAGTGTTCGTGAAGTCTCAGTCTAAATACACGAGCTCAGAACTGCATTAATAATCAGTGCAGTACTTAATCACCAGTCGGATAAAACCACAGACATATGAAAAGTGCCTGGGCTTCTGCTGATTGGGGACTGAGACATGATGACAGGGATTCATCTTGATGGAACCTGTAAACATGTGTAAATGTTTATCAGTTGTATAAAAAACAATATCAAAATAACAATCACATGTGTTTTATTAGGACGAAGACAGCATGTTTGTGGTCTGACTTCAGAACATTTTACTCTTTCTGTTTAGACAAACCAAACATATTATTCATCAAACAAAAAAGATGACACAATATACAGCAGAGGTGGGGAACCTTTTTAGCTGAGCTGTGTCATTTAAAAAGAAAAATAAAGATCATTTAAATCATTCATTTCACATTTAGAGTGTAATATAAGTCACAGAGTGTATTATTTTGTTTAATATTTTTTTTTATACTGAAGAAATCCAAAGCCTAAAACTTTCGCACTATGAATGCTTAGATCTGTCTGAGCCAGACACAACCATCATCATGCGAGCAAACATGTGAGCACAAAACTTGAACCTCAACAATCAGAAATATTATAGATCCGCAATCAACTTCAGAGATTCAAAATGTTAGTTATGAAAAATAAAGGTTATTTTAACACATTTGATGTGATCTTGTACATAGTTACTTGCTCCGCTTGTATTTTCTGGCTTTTGTCATATTGTTACAGACGCTTTTTTAAGGGAAAAATAGAGGACCACCCTCACTTAGCCTCTCAGCCCCAAGAAAATATCTAATGTTAAAAGATAACGGCAGTCCCATCTGTTCACTACATTTTACTTTCTGGGAGACAAAGTATCTTATTTACAAATAATATATTTTATATTAAGTCCTTTGCTTTGAGAATTAAACCTTTTCTAATTAAAGGGGCTGATAATAAAATTGTTTCCTAATTAGAGGCTCAGGATGTTTCCTGGATGCAGATCTCTGCCTTACATAAACACCTGGGGAAATGCCAGCGGAGGACTTCTCTGAAAACAAGCTCTGATCTCTGGAAAGATTAAAGTGAAGCTCTCGACAATTCTGGATTAACTGCAGTGTGGGAAAAGTCATTGCTGCTGTGGCGTCATTGTTTGTGCTTCATTATTTACTGTTTTTTACTGTATCATCGTCAACACCAGTCAAATACATAAATGTGGCTGAAGTCTGTGTTTGTCCTTACAAAGATAACAGCTCTAACTCTTGTGCATGTGTGTGTGTATCAGGGGCGCGTTCTCGGAGGTGTACATGGTGAGGGAAAAGAAGACGGGGAAGATGTTTGCAATGAAGTGTGTGAAGAAGAAACAGAAGAGCGATCTGAACCTGGAGAACGAGATCACTGTCCTCCGGAGGTAAAGATGAGACCTGGGGAACATCAGGAAGTGAAAAAGGCAAAACAAGAAGAAATCAGTAGCAAATATGGAAGTCATTAAAATAAAGGATGGATTTAAATATTGAACCATTCGACAGGATTGAACCATTTTATTTTCCGCCACATGCATGAGAAAGTCTGATCCAGACCTCTGAAGCTATGCAGGGCAGGGCAGCTGTGGCTGTAAACTGTTGTTTTTCACCTACATTGCCTGTAATGAGTCTGGTGTGTGTGAATGGTTGTTGGTGGACGTAGAGGCTGATGGCATAGCCTGGTTGCTTTACCTCTGTCAGTGTGCCCCAGGGCAGCTGTGGCTACAGTGATAGCTTATCATCACCTTGTACCAAGTGAATTTGCCACATGAAGCAGCTTTGTGTCCAAAAAAGCGCCATATAAAGTTGGTGCTTTAAAATGTACATTATTATTTAAATTCTAAATAATATTGTTCTGTGATAGAAACCTGAAGTAAACCTGTATTCCTTTACTCTGCAGGATCAACCATGAAAACGTTGTGGGGATGGAGGATTTCTATGAGAGTCGCACACACTACTACCTCATCATGCAGCTGTAAGCACTTGTTACAGGAGCCTCTGGTGTTATTTAACGACACTGAACGTTGATTTTTATTTTTTTTCCTTTTCTATTGATGTGTTAATATTGTATAGCATCGTAATGTATTTCTTTTTATCTTGTGTTGTATTGTACCGGCTTGGAATAAACTAAACTAAACTAAACTAAACCTTTGTCTTTGCAGCGTGTCTGGAGGAGAGCTGTTTGACCGGATCCTGGACCAAGGGGTTTACTCCGAGAAAGACGCCAGTAAAGTGATCCAGCAGGTGCTGAAGGCGGTGGCCTACCTACACCAGAACGGAGTGGTGCACCGAGACCTTAAGGTAACAGCACTTACAGAAAACACAAAACCTAAACTTTAGTTCTGCATTGAATCATCTATAGCTCCTTGTTTGTTATTTCTTAGAATGTGTTTATAACATGAGCTTCAGCAGGATTCAGAGATGCACAATCACCCTGTGTTTGTATTTCAGCCGGAGAACATCCTGTATTTCAGTCAGGACAAGGACTCCAAGATCATGATCAGTGACTTTGGTCTTTCCAAGATGGTGGACAACGGCATCATGTCCACAGCATGCGGCACTCCAGGATACGTGGGTGAGTCCCTGAGAAGGAGAGCTACAGGAAATGTGAATTCAATTTTAGGAGTATGTTGCTTCAGTGAACTGTTTGTTGGGGTGAAGACCATAACCTGAGCAATCGTCTGGTGTTTCAGCTCCGGAGGTGTTGGCGCAGAAGCCGTACAGTAAAGCAGTGGACTGTTGGTCCATCGGGGTCATCACATACATTCTGTAAGTCATTATACACTCATCATACAGTTAGGACAGATTGCTATTATTTTTCCAACAACATAGCAATTTCTATGTTTCATTTTTAGAAATATTTTTCATTACAAAAAAAGTCCTTACACTGCCTAAAATGAAGGCAGACTTTCATCTACACTATACACTTTCTCACTTCATTCAAGCCACAATATAACATGTCTTTATTTGCAGACTATGTGGATATCCTCCTTTTTATGAAGAGACGGAATCCCAGCTATTCTCCAAAATCATGAAGGCGCAGTATGAGTTCGACTCTCCTTTCTGGGATGACATTTCTGAATCAGGTTTGTACTGAGTCTGTTAATAAGGCAATGAATATAAACATTTTGTTTTATTGTTTGAGTCTGCGTGTTAATTACTCTTTTTTTATTGGTGATTTTCTTTAGCGAAGGACTTTATCCGAAACATGATGCAGAGAGACCCAAGCATGCGTTACTCCCCAGAGCAGGCGCTCAGACATCCCTGGTGAGAATCCTCGTCACTTGAAGTGAATGATGAGCAGGGATCTGAAGGGGGTGCATTGGAAATCTTTACAGACTCTTAACCCCACAGATTGGTTTTGTGTTCGTAAATTCTTATCTCAATGACTATAAAGGGCAAAACATTAATTGTGAAGAAGGCCTTTGTAATGATCACACTATACCACCAACACTGTGGTAAACTTTCATATCATCCAATCCCATTTCACCATCAGCATCATTCACATTTGGATCTATGAACTGCTTTGGATTAGTGTCACTGAGCAATCATGAAAACCTTCAAGAACAATCTTCAGTAACTGAAAACAAGTACAATATTATAATCACAGTTATGGTATGATTGGTATGTGACTGTGCACAATAAACATTAGACCTTATACATTAAAACATTATAAAAGGAAAGATGCATTGTACCAGGTTACTGTATCAGTGCAAATGTACCCCTGCAGTCCCTGTGCAGGTGAGATGCATTGGAAGGATACATGACCATACATTATATACAGTACATTAACAGACAGAGGTTACAATTTGATTTAACATGTAACAAGATATAACAAAACCACCCAGTCCCCATTTTTCCCTGTGGATCCAGGACACACATTAATGTCCAGCTCACTCATCACGCGTGGGTACAGATTTGTCTTTCCAAGAGTCATTTGAAAGCTACAAAAATGGAAAGTGTTCCACAGACTAAAGTTCTTTTCCGTTTCAGGATTATCGGAAAGACTGCACGGAGCCAAGATATCTACTATTCCGTCAGCGTTCAGATCCAGAAGAACTTTGCCAAGTCCAAGTGGAAGGTATGGTTTACACCACTGGAGGCGCTGTGGAGTAATCTAACCTCAGTCCACTGGTGAGGAGGCCAGACCAAGGTTCATCAAACATGGTTTAGGATTAGGCTCCTGGGAAACAACCAAGAGTCTCTCCATAAAATGTGCAAATAAAGATGAATCGATTAGAGCAAGTTGATAGAACGAGTCAAATGTACTGTCTTTTTTTTTTTTTTAAATAAATAGAGCATTAGAATGAAAGAATAATTATGGATTCATTTAGAACTTTGTTAACACAGTCCATCTAAACCTCACAGCAAGAAGGTCCTGGGTCCGCTTTGGATAAGAGCAGGGAAGCAGCTTAATCTCACACCAATTATTTACAAACTAACTATTTGCAACAGACATAAGGTCAGTGTCAAGCAAATAATATTATGTTTCAGCATATTATCATTATTATTGTGCTGTTCTCAGTCCTCATGTTGATTTGAATAAAGTGAATACTTTTACATGATAAATTATGTGATGTTCAAGCCTTTACTGTCTCAAGTCTCAAAGCCAACTTAAAATCAATTGTGGAGTGAACCCATGTATCTAAATATCTAGCATTGTAAAATATGATATAAAAATAAATACTCAAAAAGGGAGTGTCTGTAGTGACTTTCCACCACTGTCGCCATTTTATTTTATTTGAAACTTTGAGGTTATTTTTGGGTGGCACGGTGGCTGAATGGTTAGCACTCTCGCTTCTCAGCAAGAAGGTCACTACCACTAAAAACATGTACAATAGGTATGAATGTAAAAGAGAGTGAATGGATGGTGTTGATTGGGGGCTGATGGTCCAGTGTGTTCGGTGACTCGATTCTGTCATCACCGTGTGTGAATGATTGGAACAATATCTGACTCTGAACATTGTAAAGCGCTTTGGGTGACCTTGGTCTGTAAAATGCGCTATATAAATAAACATTACTTACTTATTTTTGCTTATTTTTTCATAACCAATTACATAGCCACACATTTATTCTATTATTTTTCTTGCAGCAAGCGTACAACGCAGCCGTGGTCATCAACCACATGAAGAAGCTGCACCTCGCACACACACAGGCCGCACTGAGACAGAGCATTATCCCCAACATCCAAGTGACCGACCTGTCCTCGCCCACACGCACACGTAAGAGACCGGAGTCCTTAGAGACCACCCCCACAGCCCCTGCAACTACCCAGGCCACCGAGCACATCCACCTTCCCCCGCTGTCACACCTGCCCCAGGGCGAGAAGCACTGTCTGAAGTCCAGCCAGAGCCAGCCCTACCATACTCCCACCATCGGAGAGCAGGGCAAGAGCGCCTTCTACTCCGAGCCTGCCAATCTGAATGGGTTTGTTCTTTTTGTCCTTTATTTAGCATCTACATCATTATCATTATTTAATACATATTTATTGTTGTTTTGAAATGGACAGATGCAACAAACGTGGCATGTAGTAATCCATGTACCGCTGTCACGGCGAATTTGCAACATTAGTTCAAAGGGGAAATGGATCCGATTTCTCTGAAGCAACTTTTTGGCTAACATTTCCAAAATGCGGCTAGTGAACATAATGTGGAGCTAGACATTGCATTGGTTGGACCTTGTTTAATTGTCTACATATTTGGCCCAACCTTATAACCTCCTGTTGAAACAGTGAAGCCACATCGCAGCATCTTTGGACCCATGAGTTTTTGTCATGCAGGTGAAGAGTGAAACTTCACTGAGACAAGGATTTGAAAATATGAAACACATTTACAGTGAAAGGCAGGGTCCAAGGTCCTTCTTGCAATGGGGCATGAATACTCTCCACTCTGAGATCTAAAGAAACTTATGTGATTATTACAAACCAGAGAATGAACCCTGTTATGTGGCAAAGGTTTTGGCATGAGAGAGTGTTGACTGTGGTCATTTAGGAATGGGTCAAATGGAAAAAAACATGTTTACTTTCAGGGACAATAAAGTGGACTTTAACCTTGATATTCTTATTGACTGAAACATATTTTATTTCAGATATGCTAAAACCCGAACTGGTAAAACGGTCCAGACTGGAGTGTGTTCTGTCATGTGAGGACAGCCTCAGAGAGGATTTGGACTGAACTTTTATCTGGTAAGTTTTTTATGAATATATTTCATCTTTAAAGCTGTAATTCTTCAACAGTGTTGGTCCTGTTTATTGCAGAGGCTTCTTGTGTGTCCACAGGAGCAAAATTATCAAAGAAAAAAACCGGGTAATAACATGAATAGGTGACATTGTTCACATGGATGAATATTGGTATCATTTCATCTTTACAGACTTGAACTACTCTTTGGTTATTTGTACATAACATTTTAACTATTTAGTAAGTTTTTATGTTTTAATGTATTTACCAGGGTTTTATTATAGAGGGGCTTTAGTTCTTCATCATCTGGTCTAAAGTCCGTATGGCAAATGCCTGGTGTTCAGTTTTGCCAGAGCAGATAAAATCTGTGGCAATCCAAAAGATCCGCCAAAATAAATGTTTGAAATGAAGAAACACATTTAGAAATAAAGATAATGATGACCTTTAAAGTCAGATACTTTGATTAATTTAGTCACAGAAATCAGAACAGCATTAAAACATGAGTGAGTGAGTAAAAATGTAAGAATGGACTCTAAAATCTTGTGTTTCTTGTTTAATCTTGTCCTCTTACATCTTTATATCAGCTTTTCAGACTGAAAAGTGAAAAAGAGAGCACCACACTAACTGTGCCAACAAGATCTCAGCCTAAAGCGCCCAGATTGAAAGTAAAATATATGTTTTGCAGAAAGTTGTGGTTTTGACAAAAGGTGACTTTTAAAAGATAAACAACACGGATCATTTATAATAAAAAATGTTACGTGCTTCAACTGTAAACTTAACCGTTACCTCATTGTTACTCTTAAACACAAATTTAGATTAAAATTAGAAAACAAATATGAATATTTTCTGTTTTACCTTCTGTCTGGGTATTTTACTATGCTCACACAGTTCCCCACCTGGAGTGATAAATGAAATACCAAGATTATAGTGAGACCCAGAGGAGGAGAGACAAAGACACTGTGTCATGTCTGAGTTTCTGTGGCTTAACCTAATTCTATCCTGAATGGAAAGTCCTCGTTCTGTAAGCAGCTCACACGTCTGTATGTACTGCACGTGACTAACCCCAGTGTGTGTTTGCACCTTCTATAGGTCACTGTCGGCAGGGCCAGCTCTCCCAGGATGTGCCGAAACTGAAGAAGTGGAGCCAGTGGAGTCCGGGCCGAGTGGCTGGACGATCTCAAGCAGAGTTCATTAGATGTGATAACTTTTAAAATCACCTATAGTTTAAACATTCTAATGTCTTGAGCTGGTTTTGAAGTTGGGATCTATTTTTTTAGAATGAGTGCCTATGTGCAAAGCAACCGAGGAACGCTATGACTAATGTAAATAATACTAATGTAAATAATATTTGGCATGCATTAACTATTTTGTTAATTATTAAAAAGACTACAAATACTGAAATGAAATGTATCATGAAATGTCAAACATTCCCTTCCCATGCTCAAAACACAGATTTTTCATTACTGATGTTTTCAATCCACATGTTTGTTTGGAGATGGAGTGGAATGGAGAAGTCCATTGATTTTGTGGTGTGTTTGTATTTTTGTTGAAGCAAGGTGTTGAGAACGCGTCAAGAATGTTTTTGAACTTGAATCTGTTTTTCCTTCTGTCTGTGTACTATTACCTTTGCCACTGGCCGCCACTCAACCCCAGAGCATGATGGATCCATGTTGAACTGCTAACTCGATCAGTGCAACTTTTTCATTGAGCCTTTTCCTTAATATCAATCAAAAACTCCATATATTTTGGGGATCATACCTTGTTCCAACTTTTAGAAGGTCTCTAAGCTGCTACAGTGTTTAGATATTCATGTGAATATAACTTATGTTGCTTTGTCTTAACTTTAACTTATTATAGCTGCTCTGTATGACTTTTCTATTGCTTGTCTTCAAAGGTGGTACAATAGTCTTGTAAACCAACATACAACACATTTTTTTTATATATATGTATGTTTGTACATTCATTATGAGATTACAGACCATTTGAATGTACATTGTTCCCTATAACAGTTCTTCACTATAGCATGTTCATTGTTTTGACATATAACGTCAGTTTTATAATTAAATCACATAAAATATCAGACTAGTCAACAACAGTGGGATTTCTGCTGGTACCAAACACACTTGAAGAAATGTGCACGTGTTACCAATGTCTAGTGTAGTGTACTGACCTAAAAATACATTAGTTACTGTGTTCTGTGGTGTAGTACATGACCTTCAATTGCTGTGTCTTACTTGCTGGCAGCAGCGTTTGGTTGATATTAAATTTAGTTTGTGAGAAAAGGTATAGAAATCACTTGTATATCCTCTGTAAAACCTGCTATATGTGAATCTCACCGTGGCGCCGGTTTGTGTACACTGAAAGAATGTATGACGGAAGTACTCTCTACAGTATCAATAATGTAAACGTATTTTTATATATATTACAATGTCTTTAAGCATGAATAAAAGTGCATTGCAAAAACTTTTTCTTGACTGTTTTATATTTTCTTGAAATTAGGGAGGCATCGATACCTTACTGTCGTACATTATCCACCAATAAAATAAGTTGTGTACAAGTACAGGTTTTTTCTATAGTTACTAAAAGGGAAATAACAGTTAAAACTCCATTGGACCCATTTTGTTGCAAGTTAAGTGTGAATAGTCCCCTCAGATCAGACGGACTTGGAGCCGGCAGATTAAACACAGCTCCAAACAGGTCCACGCAGGATTAAGTAATTAGAACAGGAAGCTACAGTGACACTGGCTCAGATGGTGCAGATGTGAACGATGGGACATAATCTCATCATCTGTGAAGTTTCTGGATATTGACAGAATTGCAACTGTGATCTAGAACATTCTGCACATGCTCATGAGGTGATCCATGTGTTGCCAGTATTTACATACACATTCAGCAAACACATCATCAGAATACTGCAGTAACAATTCAGAATACAGTTACTGTTTCTGAAATACACTGTTGTGTTTGATCATGGAATGTAGGTTTCAGAGGGTAGATCTTAGGTAGATAATAGTTTTAATGAATAATAACATTACTTCAAGTCAAGTTTTGAGTTTCAATCTTGCCATGTAGGGTTGGGGTTGTGAATATATGCAAATATTATTGTATGCACATATGCACATACTTGCACATACTGCACTCATTTCAATCCACAGTAAACCTATGGACAACCTGGGACTGACGGACCATTCAGAGAGGAACTATGTGGGCCAAAGATACACACACAGAAAACTCAGATGTGGAAACATACAGGCTGTTGCACAAAAAAAGTCAAATGAGTGACAAAAAACAAAAAACTAGGGGAAAGGTATCTTGCAAACAAACACACACACACACACAACAACATGTCCCATTACAGTATGTACCATTTAATTGATTTATTATTTGAGTTAAGAATAAAATAAAGGAAACATGACCAGATGCTGATCTGAAATCAGGTTTCATCATATCTGGGGGAGATCTGATGAAACCTGGTCTCCAGACTGGATAATAGCCTCTTTTATTAAACGTTTTAATAAATGCAAAAGTGATCTGCACTCCTTATCTTTGGAGCAAACTTATTCATCATTGTCTTATTCAACTAAACCAGGGAATTGTACTGTGCGCACACAGTTTAGCAGCTGGAGGGATAAATGAGGACACCGTCAGTGGCCTCGGCCTTGAACTCCTTGACAGTGAAGTGAAGATATGGAAAGTCATGGCGCCAAACCCATCCATCCATCTTCTGAGAGATAAGACATCCTGGGACCTCCTCTCAAACCCACAACCTTCAGGCTCAAAGGACAATGCTCTACCAACTGCGCCACTGTCACTGGGGGTCAGAACTTTGGGTACATTTATCAAGGAGGTTATTTTAAAATCTAGGTTTGTTTGTTTATTAGTTAAAAACATAACTGAATTAACAATCATGGGTGCATTCTAATTGCATTTTCAGTAAATCTCTGCAAAAATACACAAAACGTGATTTTGAAATTCCAAATGGATTGTGTCTCTTGGCAGAGGTCTGCACTTTACGAGTGATAATCTACTAGTTGTAACTGCACTGAGTTCGGGTCCACCAACATGTCACACAGCGACACACACGCACATGGGGTCAGTGGTCAAAGCGTGGACTTGCCGGACATCACGGACACTCATCATGACGGACTGGACCCTGGACACGTTCAACCCTGTACAAAAAGGTTTACGTTGCAGAAACATTTATTCATAAAATGCGTTTTCACTGTGGACCTGTTGAATGAAGCTTGTTGCAGTAATTGCTTCAATAACAATTCTGTTACAATTATGTAAAATGTTGTATTTATAAATGTTATTTTCATGCACCTCAAACCATGATAAAGTCAATATGTGCATGAACAAAGTTATAATCGTGATACATTTTGCCTCTCCACAAACCTGACTTGTACTGAGGGGCATTTTAGGTTCCATGATAATTCTTCACAATTTATCATAAAAAAGATAAGTGTTTTTAACACTGCTCTTTATTTTATTTATTTGTTACTTTTTTTTTTCATTATTCTTAGCTATGGATCCTGTGCTTGCATGTGAGTTCTTAAAGTCTAAATAAAATAAATAAGTAAAATATTGTTATATTCAAATTGTGATGAAGTTTTCGCTTTACTAGAGCAAAGTTGAAAGACAAAATTACCTCTTCACTTTTTTACATCGTTGTTTTTACTGTGCTTTGAGCTGTCTGGATTGGTCTGTGCTTCTCTCCTGATTCCAATCAATGCAGCGTAGACGTGACCTCAGAGTGGATTCGTGATAAAAATAGTGTCCATTTGATCTTTGACTCCTGCTCGTACATATGCAGGAGTGTCACTGTGGGAGTGACTTTCCCGAACACATTATCTGCTGCTGTTGCGTGAAGCATCACTTTCCTGAGACCAGACTTGTGCAAAGTAAGTTCCGTTCGGTTTCAAATTATTACTTCATTGTTGTATAAATTGTGATTGTTTTAGTTGTGCATGCAACTGAAAACATTTGTACATTTATTTTAAAAATATGATTACATTTGTATAAATATTTTGATATTTCCTTTTGTTGTTTTTTTATCAATTGTGTGTTACAAATAAACTTTGTAACACTATTCTATATCATTTGAATGTTATTGAATAACCTTTTCAAATGCATTCTCTTCAGTTTATTTTCACATTTGAAATGGTTTTGTACTGTTTTGTGTAATATTTAAACAATTAATTCATTCATCATATTGTAATAAAAATAGGCCGAATTATGTAGAGCTGACCATGCAACATTATTTTCTAATCTCCTTTGATCTAATCACACAGACACAAATGGACACACATGAGGATCTGCTTCCATTCATCAGAGAAATGGTGCAGAAGAGGCCCAGTCGCCACATGTTGAGGATCTATGTCATCGGCTGCTCTCTGGCTGCACTAGGGGCTATGGTGGGATTGCTCCAGAGCTTCTTTACTCCTTATCAGTTTGAAGAGTCCAGCACAGATCTGACACAGAGACAAACACTGGGGGCTTCCAAAGCACTGAAGAGGGAAGCAGCCGAGGACAGTCCTGGTCCAGAGGAAACCACAGCAGAGCTGGTGCCGTGGGGCAGGCGCAACTCTGCACACAGACTACACGCCTCATAAGAGACTGGGTTCTTATGGTCCTATCCTATGGTCCTACAATGGTCATAGTATTCTGTAGTAATATATGTGGAACAGGAGTGTTGCTCAACATGACAACCATGTTTGGGCCACATTCTTAAACAAATATGTTAAATATGTTTATTGTATTTTTATATCAAATAAATATGTAAATGTGAATAGACTGCAGGTAACGGTCCTGACTGTGCAACTTTGTAAAAAAAAAAAACAAAAAAAACCCCAATAAAGCATTTTGGAGGTGAAAGTCACTTGAATGATTCCATTGATTATACTATCACTAAGCACATCACTGACAGGATAAGTCAGGTTTGTGGAGATGCAAGCTGCAGCAAGGATATTTTTTTTCTTTCCCTATTGCAACTCAAACAGATCAAATATGTTAATATATTTTTGTTTAAAAATGAAGCACTCTTGGAGTGCTTCATTTAGTTAATACTGACATATAGAATAGCCCACATTATTGCAAAGGGACATTAAAATATGCCACAACAAGTTAAGAGAACATCAAGCACTCAAAACAGATAAAGTACACAGATACAAGGTAAACTCAAACTCTAAATTATGACCATTGTCAGAGTATACAAAGTAAATAGACAATAATAATTTTCAGATAACGTGATGAAATGATGATTTTATTTGTTGCAAAATTGACATACTGTTTTAGCTCAGCTAAATGTGAGTTGGCAACTCTACAGTTCCGGTTGTGAGCACCAGAGGGTGCTATTGTACTGAGTAAAACCGTCAACATCCGGCCACAGGCAGGAATGGCTGCTTCTTTTTGACAACAAGCTGCTGCTGAAAACAGCGGAGAACAGACACATATTTAACCTGTGACCGGAGGAACTGCGTGTGGATCACGAACACACGGCTGGAGGAGATGGCGGATCCCGCGGTAGTCGCTGCAGCCGCCGCGGTAATGTGTCAATGCAAACAAGCGATTTACGCTGTTAGCTTAGGAATTAGCTTAGCATGCTAACCCTTTCTACAGCTCTCCGACGTAATTCATGTTCTGCAATAGCTACAGTTTACAATTCCAAAGTATGTTTTGTGAACCTTCGCTTGTAAAGACAAACTATACAGACGGAGTAGATACCAAACAGTAAAATCATTCAAATGTGTTCTACCAATGAAATGGCCAAATAATCAAAGCCCCAATTACCTATCCCAGTTTGGCCTGTTGTTATTGCTCATAATGTTCTTCTGCTCAGACTGGTCCATCAACATCAATTCAATTCAATTTAAAGTTAAATGTTGATGATAGTACTGGATTAAGTTGGATAATTGAAAGACATTTTTTAAAAGGCTATCTTTCACCCCTGAGACCGGTTTCCAATGGTACAGTTCAGATTGAGAGTGTTTGCACAGTGGGAGCAGGTGCTGTAGCCTCGTCAGTGTCACAGAAGCGTAGGGTCCCCCTGCTCGCTGCAGTTAGAGAGACATGTTTTTACTTTTATAAAAATGATGTAATCCTTTTAAATCTTTATTCAGCCTATATGTCTAATGTTTTGTTCTGAATTTGTAATTTCAGCGCAGCGGTAGTAAATCTTCCTCATCTGCATCAGAAAACTACTGCATGGCTCGACGGCGCACTCTTCAGGTGGCAGTGAGTGCTCTGCTCACAGAGTGTGGCTTTGACAGTGCCGAAAAGGCAGCGGTCGAGACGCTTACAGAGATGATGCAGAGCTGTACGTATACATTGGCGCATACCAGTGAACTTACAAAATCATGGGCAATAGCAACATTTACTATCTAATGATTCATTGATAAAGATGAATCTTTATTCTTCTCTCTGTGGTCATGTCAGTGTCATTGTTGTGCGCATTACAGCAGAATAAAAGTAAGTAAAGTAAGAGCACTCAGGTTATGCACACCTAATACAAGATCTATTATATAAGATAATAGAATAATAAAATAGTACAATTTTAAACTGCACTTTGTCAGTTTAAGTCATTGGAGTCTACACTGAGTCAGCAGCAGTCATGAGGTTTCACATTTACAGATAGTTGGTGTTGTGCTTTAGCAGCAGAGAATATGACCAGAATGAAACGTGAAATGTAAAAATAGCGGCAGGTAAGTGAGCAGTGAATATCAGAACAAATGAATGAAATATGAAATAATAATAGCAGGTATAGTGATTAGTATCAGAACAGATTAATGGCACATTTACATAAAAAAGATTAAGGATACATTAAAACAACACACACGTTGCTTCACACTAACAAAACTACCATAACAATACGTATACCTGTAGATTTAATTATCTATTATTCAGTTTTATAGAAGACCTGTTTTACCTGGCTATCAGGGAAATATCTCTCAAATATAGGAATGTTTTATCAAAATCGTTATTTGAACATTTGTGGATCTAAATTTGACAAAATACTTAAAAATATTTTTACCAAATTACGCTTCATTACCTCGTTGAGGCTTTCAGTCAATTGTGCCAATACATGTGTCGAGGCTCCACCATGTGCTCAATGAAAAACAAAGCATCTAAAGTGATGCAGTTTTTCAAATGAAATACTCCATAGAGGTGGATTAACTGCAATTTTTCATGACAACTGTCAGTTATTGTACAAAACTGTGCCTTTTTTAATAATGAATTACATCAATTATAAGCACACTGACATGCTCACTTGTAAAAGCTGAAAAAATTATAATACACTGTTATATGTATAATTATAAAACCCCTTTTCCCCCCGTTGTTTCAGATATCAGTGAAATTGGCCGCTGCGCTAAAGCTTATTGTGAACACACAGCTCGGAGCGTTCCCACTTTACCCGACGCCGTGGTCACGCTCATAGAAATGGGTACGTTGAACATTTTATTCAAGCACAAATAATACAATTGTACTGAAGATGTCCATAATTGTCTTCTACAGGTTTGAATGTGGACACTTTACCTGTTTATGCCAAAAGGTCTCAGAGGATGGTGATAACGGCACGTGAGTACATCTTAAGAATGTAACATGGAAAAGTCTCCCAAATTGTCTTGAATTTTGTTCATTTTTAATTATTCGTTGCCATTCAAGATGTATATGTATGTGTGTGCATATATATATATTTCATTTTTTTTTTTTGGATCAATTATGGTTATGCTCTTATTTAAAAATATTTAAGTTTAAATTTGAAGCACTGTGTTTCCCGTCTCTCTAAAGCGACTGGATGATACAAGATTTTCACAATAATATATTCACATTAAAACAAAATTAAAATTTGGGAAAGGCTTAATAGACATGCTTCACTAGCCTGGTCGAACCACACCATAGTACAAATTACATTTCGTACTAAGGTCTGGAGGTGCTCCACTGAGCTCCGTTTACAAGTGGGAGGGGTTAACTCCTTTTGCAGATTGAAACAATTGGATCTGAGTTTACCGTGACGTATGTAGTGCGCCAGAGTCTGTTGTTCGCATTTAGCCTAGCCATCTCCTTTGTCGCTAACGAAGCCTGTGGGGAGTAGCGACGATTGCAACGATTACATTTGCTAAACATTACCCTTGCTCCGGCTTCAATTTCTTGATAGAACCAGACCGGATTACTTTACTATCGCATTTTTTGCCATTGCCAAACTACAACCTGCCTGTTCGACGCAAACTCTTGACATCACCCACAACTAACTACAACACCTGCCTTCCGCGCTCTCTGAATGGTCGGTCGAAATTCAACCGATTGTATTCGCTAACACAAGGACTAGACCCAGACGTTACATGCAGTGAAATGATGATTCAACTGAGTGTACGGATGGCTAATGCCAGGCTAATGCTTCACCAGAAAAGAGGACTTCAAACAATAATTAGATCTTATTAGATTTATTTGTTGTGGTTTCAGCTCCTGTGACCAACCCTCCGGTGACGCCCAAAGCCCTGACCGCGGGGCAAAAGCGCACTCATCCTGCTCATATCCCCAGCCACTTCCCTGACTTCCCAGACCCTCACACCTACATCAAAACACCTGTAAGACTAATGCTGTCCATCACAAGAAACTTGTTTTCACTGACACCTTTCCCTCTCCCCGCAGACATTCAGAGAACCAGTGTGCGATTACCAGGTGGTGCGAGAGAAAGCGGCTACGCAGAGACGAGATGTGGAGCGAGCGCTGACTCGCTTCATGGCGAAGACCGGAGAAACGGAGACCCTGTTCAAAGACGACGTCACCACTTTCCCCTGTGAGTGATTCCCATTTTTTATGTTCAAAAACATAGTGTATACCAGACCTATTCAGCTTGCAAATAAATTGTAATCCTGCCTTTGAATAATCTTCCAAATACAATAAAACTATAAACATTTTCTCTTGCTTACCAGTTTATTCTGAGTTTAAGCTTGGTTTTATTATGTGTGAATACTTTTTTGGGAAACGATGCAGATGCTTTCAAAAAATAATTATTGAAACAGATTGAATGTTATTGCCCCTCCTAAAAATAAGCTTTTAGAAACATGTCTGGTTTGTGCTTGGGGCATGAACTTCAGAAGGAGTGGAGATGATGTGATGTCACCTGAGCCTTTGGTATCAGTGGTAGAGTGTTTGTCTCATAGCCATCGGGCCATTGAGTAGTGCTATAATCAAACCAACAAGGAACGTTTTTGCCCTGTGTTTTATTTTTTGTGTGGATTACCTTCATTTTTTAGTAATCGCTGCAAAGCCCAGTGCAATCCCGTACCTCAGCGCCCTCTTGCCTTCAGAGCTGGAACTGCAGAGTCTGGAGGAGACTGACTCTTCTGAGCAGGACGATCAGACGGACAGTGAAAACACGGCTGGACACAACCTCACTGTACGGAAATATACTTTTATAAAACTACTGTATTCTCCATATTCAGTGTGTCTTTGATGAGGTTTCAGAAGTAACAAAGTATCCCGGGAATCTATATATTGTGACTTAACCACATTATTATCATAATTTAAAATCTAGTCATGCTTATGAGTTTAATCCTGGATATTATTCTGATACGATGTTGACTGGAACAGACAACTTTCCAGACAACATTTGCTTACTAGACCAAGTTTGCTTTAATTCAAATTAAGACAATACATGTGTCAATGAGGTCTCATTACTTCAAATGGTTCTTGATCATTTAATACATTTAAAAGTTAAAATATAGAAATATTATAATAGTGAATTACTTTTGTATTTGTTTTTTAGGATGACCCAAACGCAGACAAGGAGAACGCTCTGCTTCCTCCCAGCGGTGCCGTCCCTTCATCAAAATCGAATGAAGAAAATATTATTGACAATCCATATTTGCGGCCAGTGAAGAAGCCCAAAGTGCGGAGAAAGAAATGATCCAGTACCAAGCACCACAGACTTTGTACATGTATGGGGTATGCACTGTCTCCAGCTCATCTGCCTACAATCTGAGCCTCTCTTGATGGCGCCATAATTACCAATCTAGTTGCACTATGTTTCTTACTGGATCGTATTTTTAGATTAGGGGTCTTGCTCAGAGACGCTATGATCTTTTCCTCTTTCAACCAGAATAATTTGGGGTGTTATTATCTGATTAGTATGCTTTTAACCTTCACATTATTGGAAAAGTCAATGGATAAAATTCCTAATGATACCATTATCTGTATGATTCAAATATTGCCCTCTGTATTTGGGTTAAAAAATAACAGTACAGCTTGTCATTTTGTAAATAAAGCCATTATTTTTTATTCTTTACTTAATTGTGAGATTTTGTGCATAAGATAATTAAAATGCAATTCTTAGTGTCTTTTAAGCTTTATGTTTCACTTTCAATAGTACAAACTCAGATAAGCCAGACGACTCCTCTGCTTCCGAAAGTCCTTATCTGTTTGAAGCTGAAAGGTGAATAAAATATTCATATAAATATCCGTCCTTTCACTCTAATGGTGTTAATGTTTTGTGGTGGTGCCTACTGGAATGTACACTCAAAGATCATTCTTTAGCCATATTGTGACTCACTTGGACGCGGAGTGCTTTAGTTTCGGGCTGAGGGAGTCTGCACCAGTCCGGACGCCCGAAACACGAGGGCCATGACACTGTCCTGTGCTCCATGCTCACGCTGTAGCTGCCAGGGCTGTGGAGCAGAAGGACAGGAGATATAAAAGGCAACATCAATCTATGCTTTTGTTTTGTTTTCTATATTTACCCAAAAATATCCTCATTATAACAGGGATTCATGCATGTGTAATCTTTGCATTCAAGATACCATTGCTCCTAGAGTCCTCTGTTTCCACCTCCACTAGTAAACACCCACTGGTCAATAATATATTCATTTTGCACAATAGCTCATGTCCTTTAAAATTAGATTTATAGAAATAAAACAATCTGTGATGACATCATTTGACATGGTCTGTTCAATATCACAGTTCCTTTTTATTATTTATCGACATTCTCAACCGTTATATGTCTGCCCTGTTCTACCTGTATTATCATCAGCATGAGTAGATTAGTGTTGTGTTGGGCGGGACTCACCCAGGGTACTGCTCTTTGGATTCGGTTCTGAACCTGTGAGCTGTGCAGTTGAATGGGGTTTTTCCAGGAGAAATGCTGCTTCTGGACACTGTCTGATCAGGCTGATACTGCACAGGGGATGGAGACAGGCCCTAACAAACATGATAGATGACAAAATATAAATTACATGGAAATTATCACCAACAGAGCAAAGGAAGGTTTCTCACCCATCATCTGTACTTCTTAGCAAGTTTTCCCGACGTTTCGTCCTCAACCTAGCGGACTTCTTCAGGGAATGAATTCTCGGACCGCGCGTTGGAGATTTATGAGATAGATTGTTTATGAGTTAGTATCAGGATTAGGGTGTGGCTAACCACACCCATAGGTTCTACGTCATGGTGCTACGTCCCTTAGGACTTCGCTAGTGGGATATCACTCGTGACCCCCAGGTCACGCGCCAGAGAGATCAAAATAATTTGCTCCAATCACCAGCCACCTTCCTCTATAAATGCCCCTGCACAAGGCCGTACCCCCTCTTTCACTCTGGCGCCGATTGAGATCTACATTTCAATTTACCTGAGGAAAGATGTCTTCTGATGCCCGTCCGAGTTCCCCTTCGCCATCCGGCGTCGGACGTCGTCGTTGCTCGACTTGTCAGGTCAAGCTCAGCGCAAGGACCAGCACTCCAGCTGCTTCGTGTGCCTGGGTTCGGGCCATGCGGCGTTGAGCGCCACCTGCGCCTCGTGTCTCGCTCTCCCCAGGGAGGAGAGTGAACGCAGGCGCGCGTTCTTCGCCGCTACAGCGCCCCGTCCGGACTCCTCTCAGGACGAGGAGTCTGTGATTGACTGGGCCCCCCTCGACCTTCCACCCGTGCCCGCGGAGTGGGGTGACTGCGAGGACGGAGAGGTGTCGGAGGTCGGCTCTCTCCTCACGCTGGACGAGGTGGTGTCCAACCCGGAGCCGGACCGCTTCCTGCTGGACCACATGCCTGGGCTCTACTCCACGGCGGCGGCCATCATGGATGCCCCCCTGCCACCGCAACCGAACCAGAGGGTGGAGGACTTCACCTCTGGTTACGCCACCACTCGAGGGAGGAGGAGGACGCAGCCCACGTTGTGCCCGCGTATGGACCCGATCGTCCATTACGCGACACGTGAGTGGCCAAAGCCCCTAGCGGCCAAGAGGCCCGCTTTGGGGTACGGCATGTATTGTAACGTGCAGGACTGGTCCTGGACCGGCGGGGTCCCGGACATCGAGGACTCGGTTCGAGCGGCCCTGCACCCCTCCGCATCCGTGTGGCCTGGCACCAGACCTCTCCTTCCCTCCGAGCGGGATAGGATGTCTTTGGCGATGCACGATAGATGTTACGCCAATGCGGCTCAGGTCGTTGCGGTGGCTAACAACATGGCCTTCATCACCGGGGCCCTGGATAGGTCGCTCTCTTCTGGCCAGGCGCTCAGTGGAGACACCTTATCCCAGGCAAGGACCACTTCAGCAGCGGTCCTGCGCATGTGCCAGGCGCTAGCTATCGATGGCGGCCGCACGATGGCAGCAGCACAAGTTGGGGCCAGACACCTCTGGCTGGGGCCGGTGAACCTCAGAGAGGCGGAGAAGAGGCAGCTGCTGGACCTGCCCATCTCCCAAACGTCACTCTTCGGTCCGGAGATGCAGACGGTGATAACTAGGCTGGACACCGCAGCTAAGGACTCTGCTAGCCTAGCCCAGCATCTAGCTGCGAGACGCGAGGCCCGCCCACCAGCGCGGAGCCGAGACAGAGGCAGGGAGCGCTCGCCCGGCAGGCGCCCCGGACCATATCCACGCTCCGTGGTTCATCGTTCCCCAGCGACGAGGCCCCCGGGCCCAGACAGGCACACGGGAGGTTCGCGGGACCAACGCACCCACCGACGACCTCCCTATGGCAGAGGAGGTCGGGGTGGGAAGAATTCTTTCAATAAAAGCCGTGCGGCATTTCATCAGTACTCGCTGTCTGAGTCTCATTTGGGGGTATGTAACATGTCAAATGATTTGAATTCTGATTGTGTTACTTCTCGAGCATATAACGTGGCTCCGCTAGGCCTGCAGCCCCCAGAGAAGGGCGTGCAGCGTGCTATGCGGGCCACGGGCTCCGATTCACGGGTTCATGTTTTGCCCTCTCGGAGAGAGGGCAGGCGGAGGGATCTGGTAAGTGATAATGTGTGTGCTCCAGCCGAACGCGTGTTAGCATCTCTGAGCTACAAGGCTAACACGGGGTTTCCCACTCCAGGGGCTCGTCCCCCCCTCCATGAGGCAAGAGCCAAGGGGGGGCACAGCAGCCGTGTCACGTGTGGTGAGCAGAGCTACAAGGCTAACACGGGGTTTCCCACTCCAGGGGCTCGCCCCCCCCTCCATGAGGCAAGAGCCAGGGGGGGGCACAGCAGCCGAGTCACGTGTGGTGAGCAGTCCCGTACTTATGACGTCGGGCCTGCAGAACACGTGACCGCCCTCGGCGCTCACGGTGTGACGCAGGGGCCCCCCCGGCCCTTTCAGCCACCCCCCCTCCCTGCTAGGAACACCAGGAGAGGGCGGGGCCGTGACGTCTCGTGTTCCAACTCCCGTTCCGCCCCTCACAGATTTCTACAGCATCTGGAGAGAGCAGGGCCTACTGACAGATATTTGGCTGGAGAAAACTCTGCGCAGAGGTTACGCGCTGCAATTTTTCCGAAAGCCACCACCATTCCGAGGCGTACGGGCAGTACGCTCTCAGGTACGGGGATCGACAGAGGCACTACAAGCGGAGGTCTCCTCTCTGCTGAGTCGAGGCGCAGCAGTGGAGGTAGACCCGCAGGACGCCACCAGGGGGCTGTACTCCCCTTACTTCTTAGTGCCAAAGAAATCAGGCGGGGTGCGTCCCATTCTGGATCTGCGCTTGTTAAACGAGTGCATTTCCAAACGGCAGTTTCGGATGCTGTCCACAAGGCAGCTCCTCGAGTGTGTCAGGGAAGGAGACTGGATGACTACCATAGACCTGACAGATGCGTACTTCCACGTGCCCATAGTGCCAGAACACAGGAGGTTTCTGCGCTTCGCAGTGGGAGAGAGGAATTACGAGTACTGCCGTCTACCCTTCGGGTACGCACTCGCGCCTCGGACTTTTTCCAAATGTGTGGAAGCAGCTCTGGAGCCGATCAGACGTGCGGGGGTAAGAATATTAACCTATATAGACGATTGGTTAATACTGGCCCCATCCAGGGAAGTGGCAATGAGCCACACGCACTGGGTCCTGTCCCACATACAGCGTCTGGGCTTTGTGGTGAACAGGGAGAAGAGCAAGCTGCAACCAGCCCAACGCATGGTTTATCTCGGTCTGCAGCTAGACTCTGTGATATTCCGTGCTGCATTGTCCGTGGACAGACGGATTAATATTACCCGTCTGGCCCGGGAGGTTCTGGCGGGCCCCAGAGTCCCCGCTCGGCGCCTCAGGTCCCTGCTGGGAATGATGGCAGCGGCTCATGCTGTGGTGCGGCTAGGCCTGCTCCACATGAGAAATCTTCAGAGGTGGTTCTCGCGCCTCAGGCTTCACCCCTCCCGGGACGGGGGGAGGCTGATCTGGGTTCCCCAAGGGGCAGCATCGGACATCAGGTTCTGGCTCACTCCGGGTCTGTTGCGGGACGGAGTGACTCTGGCCTGCGCCGTGTCTCACGGCGAGGTGTTCACGGACGCGTCGCTCGAAGGATGGGGCGGGGTCCTCGGCCAGAGCTCTGTAGGAGGCTGCTGGTCGGACTCAGCCCGTCACATCAACCTGCTGGAGATGGAGGCAGTGCACAGAGTACTGCTGCACTTTGCCCCTCAGCTGCAGGGGAGACACGTGATGGTGCGCTCAGACAACACCACAGTGGTCTCCTATCTGAACAGGCAGGGGGGCACCAGGTCCCCCGCTCTCCATCGCATGGCGACGGTGACGCTGCTGTGGGCGGCGCTTCACCTCCTGTCTCTCAGGGCGCGCCACGTCCCGGGGGTCCGGAACGTGGGAGCCGACAGGATGTCCAGGGGGGGCCCACTCCAGCACGAGTGGGGCCTGGCCCCACGGGTAGCTGCGGAGATCTGGCGGAGGTTCGGCCGTCCAGTGGTCGACCTTTTCGCCAGTGCAGAGAACGCACAGTGCCCGTCCTGGTTCGCCTTAAGGGCCGCGGACGAGCCGCCTTTAGGCGTGGACGCTCTGGCTCATTACCCATGGCCAGGCGGCCTGTTGTACGCTTTTCCACCGGTGCGTCTCCTGCCGGTCCTGCTGCGGAGGATCGAACAGGAGAGGAGATCGGTGATCCTGGTGGCTCCGGACAGTCCGCATGCCCGGTGGTTCCCCTTCCTGAGGGGCATGGCGGTGATGGAGCCCTGGGCCCTCCCGGACGAGCCGGGGGCTCTAGTCCAGGGGGCAGGAGCCCTGTTTTCACGTCCGATAATCGGCCGCAGGCTCTGGGTTTGGAGGTTGAGAGGCGGAGCCTCGTAGATCTGGGTCTTCCCCCTGCGGTGGTGGAAACCATTCAGGGAGCGAGGGCGCCGTCCACCGTGAGGGCCTACGCCACGAGGTGGAGGCTATTCAGTGTCTGGTGCGATTCCCGTTCCTGGGATCCCAGGTGTTGCCCGCTGGAGGGGGTCCTGGGATTCCTACAGGAGCTCTTCGACAAGGGGAGGGCTGTCGCTACCTTGGCGGTGTTCGCGGCAGCCATTACTTCGGGTCACGACGGATTTGGGGGGTTCACAGCCCGTTCTCACCCGTTGGTTAAACGTTTTCTGCGGGGGGCGCGCAGGAGGAGGCCCCCGCTCCAGAGAACGCCTCCGGTTTGGGACCTCAGGGTGGTCCTTAGGGGGCTGTCGGGTCCGCCTTTTGAAGCGGAGGCGAGTCCCGAGTGTATCGCCTTTAAGACGGCCCTCTTACTGGCGTTGGCGTCTGCGAAGAGGGCGGGCGATTTGTGTGCGCTCTCCGTCCATGCGTTGTGCCTGTCCTTTGGAGAGGACGACGGCATGGTGGAATTGTGGCCCAATCCGGCTTTTCTCCCCAAGGTCATCACGTCGGCCTTTAGGTCGAGGGTCATCAGGATTAGGGCTTTCCACCCGCCGCCGCATGCCTCCCCCGAGGAGGAGCGGCAGCACCTTCTGTGTCCTATCAGAATGCTGAGGCATTACCTGGCCATGACGTCGTCTTTCAGGTCGGGTGATCAGCTGTTTGTGTGTCTGGGCCCCAAGAACAGGGGCGCCCCGCTGTCGGCTCAGCGGCTGGCGCATTGGGTCGCCACGGCGGTGCGGCGGGCGTATCAGACGCAGGGTCTGGCCCCCCCGGTGGGTTTCAGGTCGCATTCCACGCGTGGGATGGCGGCCTCTACGGCCCTTCTCAGGGGGGCGTCGGTCGAGGACGTTTGCCGTGCGGCTTCTTGGGCGTCGTCCTCCTCTTTCGTCCGGTCTTATCTTTTGGATGTGTCGGACCGGTCGGTGGCCCATTCCGTGCTAAGTGCAGCGGACTGAGTTAGACCGTTGGGTCCCTCCCCTGAGGGGGGCCTTCGGTCTATTTTCCGCCCTGGTGCAGGAGCTCTTGGGAGAGGCATCCTACAGGTGCGGTACATTTTGTGTGTGTGGTCGGTCTGGTAGTCCACGTCAGGAGCCCTTGGGAGAGGCGTCCTGTGACTACGGATGACCTACGGCTTGTGTTACGTGGGGGTATCCTTGGTAGGAGTGGCCCCGTAACACGCTTGTTTCTTCTGCCCTGAGTCCTCTCACGTTGTGAGAGTCTTGCTCGGGCGGAGCTCCAATCACCTTCGCTGGCCTGCTGGGAGTACATTTTCTTACGGCCTCCGCGTTGTGTCCCACTAGAGAAGTCCTAAGGGACGTAGCACCATGACGTAGAATTAATAGTTACTTAATGTAACTTAAGTTCTACGAATAGGTGCGTAGTCCCTTAGCTACGAGCCCATCAGGCCAGCCCGGCTTGGCAGAGTTCAAGAGGGGTACGGCCTTGTGCAGGGGCATTTATAGAGGAAGGTGGCTGGTGATTGGAGCAAATTATTTTGATCTCTCTGGCGCGTGACCTGGGGGTCACGAGTGATATCCCACTAGCGAAGTCCTAAGGGACTACGCGCCTATTCGTAGAACTTAAGTTACATTAAGTAACTATTAATTATAAATCTCCAACGCGCGGTCCGAGAATTCATTCCCTGAAGAAGTCCGCTAGGTTGAGGACGAAACGTCGGGAAAACTTGCTAAGAAGTACAGATGATGGGTGAGAAACCTTCCTTTGCTTTGACTAATCCCTGTACGACTGAGAGCTTACACAAATTTATCACCAACAGAATAATCTGGGTTGTACACAGGCTTGTGAACTACTTAACATATGGTTTTATTACTAAGATATATTGAATTCATTGCGTTTAGGATTACTATTTTGTGGTTTCTTTGAAATATAGCTAGATAATCTTACCGTTTTTCAACACAAACCAAAGCTCTTTTTCTAAATGTTAAGGCTGACTAGAGTTGGGAAAAATCTCGACCTTGCTGAGAGGCGGAAAGCGCGCTGCAGTCCTGGCAGACAGTCCGTAGCCTCTTCGACTCATGGGAGTGTTTTCTAGTTTGTACACAATAGTTCCATACTGTGAAGCAGAGGAAAGGTGCAGGAGTCAGAGAAAGCATAGGCCTATGATCACGTTCTTTGTCCACATGTTTCTGTGAAAACGTGACTAGCGTTACGGGACAGGGTTTTCTGAAATTGCGTACATTTATTACACATTTACCATAAACTTACTTGAGTATCAAACAGAGGGATAACGTTAGTAGCTCGGTGCACGCGCTTTGTTTACCTGGTGGTTGTCATGGCAGCCTGGCCCCAGGTTTGGGGTTAAAGTGGCAGGTAATATGCTTCTCTCCTGAGTGCTGCCGAAGTGCAGTCTGCGTGCGGGGTCCATGGCAGGAGCAGGGGGCAACATTGTATATGGTAATGAGGAAAGTTGCAGGATGTCCTGCCAGTCTGCGGCAGGACCAGGGCAGGACCGAGCAGGACGGTCAGCTGTTCCACTATTGTTATGAGTTGTAACCTAGCGACCTGTCACACGTGTCTGTGTCATAGACATACAGTCTATGGTCCTACACTACAATAGGTGAATCCTATTTATTTATCTACAGCGTTCTTATTGATTTTAGTTGTCCATACCTAAAGTTTCAGGGCTCCACCTTATATCTGTTTCACATAAGATTTCTGAGAGAAAAAAAAGTGTTAGGAGCCATAGTGGACACACACAAGTTGTACATTAAACTTCCTTTCTCGTTCAACAATAAAATCACAAGGTCCTCATTTCTTAAAACTATGGATAATGTGTGGCGGACCACACATTTGGAACAATGTAGTCCTCTAGTGATGCATGTCCTTATGATGTTTTATAGTTTCAGTGTCACGGTTCCAAACACTGCACACCATTCAGAATGTTCTTAAAGCTGGGGTAGCTAAACTTAAACCCTTCTAACTAGTTTCTCACTCTCAAAAGTTTGGTTAAATCATTAGGTTAACAGTTATTGTGTCAAAATAGAATAATCAAGTATTAAAGTTAATTTCAAGCAGGTCTTAGCAAAATATGACAGAATATCATTTTTCAGTAATAAGTTAACTTTTATTTGCATTTGGAAATTACCTCATCATGGCAAAGGCACATGCTTTTATTGCAAGTTTTACAGCATTCTCTCCATTATACACCACAATTTAAAATCACTTCAGTGTTGTCAATGCTTTCCCCCCCCATTTAAGAAATGCTGATTTCCTTAGTTTAGTAAGCACTTAAAATGTCTAGATCAGACTTATTTAAATTTCTAATTTGTTTAATTTTAAAAGGTCATATCCCAGTGACAGATATCATTGCAAAGCAATGGTGTTCATTCCAGCAAAACTCGAAAACTAGTGTAAAATATGATAAAATAACTTTAAATCAATTTCCAATTTGCTCAATATTTGTATCCTTCTTTGCAGCGATGCAGGGAAACTATGGCATGTTTTTCAAACCAATATACACACAGGCACTTCAGTAGTTAAATTACAGTGGAAAATGTTAGATTGTCCTATAGCATTCAGAAATCACATTCACTTTTGCACTGAAGGCATTCTGGATTAGAAGTGCAAATTGCTTCAGGAATATTTAGAGGCACAAGCACATTTTTGCAAAACATGGAGAAAGTTTGGCACATGATGAAACATGGACAACTTGTACAAACATAAAAACAACAGCACCCTCTTCTATTGCAGCCAAATCTGAGTTAAGTATATTTTTGATCTGGAGAAAAAAATTATTTCTCAGATTATGAATGTTAAAATATTTTTTCTTTACTTGATGTTAGTGTATATGTGAAGCCATTTACTGAAAAATAAATGTTTTTCCTTCAAATTCCTGATTTTCCCTCTCCACAGAAAATTATAACCTCATTGAGCAGATCGGTTTTGTCTCAGGCAGTCAGGATTTGGATGTAGAGGTAGTCGACTAGCAACCAAAGTAAACTTAAATGGAAAGACTGACATTGTACAAAATCTGTATATGGATTGCAGATGGAGGCATTCCTTTAGAACTGGTTCCTGTAAACTGTATGCAGGAACTTCATGGCACAAACTGATATATAAACAGCTATAACTTCAGAAAATGTTGAATTAGATTTGTCAGTATTAGAGGGCACTGGATGAAAACTCCTTACATACAAAACTCAAACACTATGTACTCAGTGATGTTGTGTGGTTCAATCAGTCTGGGGCACAGAGATGCAGGGTCCTTTGGGGTCGTCGAAGCGGTCCATGGTGTTGAGCTGAAGGATCATTTGCAGACCGTACACAAAGATCAACAGCATCAGCAGAGATGTGATCAAACCCATCCAGATTCCTGCAGTGAAGAAGCCAGCACAGTCACTCGCATAGGAGAAGTCTGTGGTGTTGGCTAGACCAAAGCCCTGGATCTGAAAAACATTAAACATTAAAGGAGACATAATTGGCAGGAAAAGTAATCTACAATGCACAATGGTGCTTCAACGTCATTTTTACAAATGGATATTCCTCCAACACAAATCTTTGGCCTCATTAAAGCTAAGGTATACAACTTTCAAAAAACAAGACATTAAACTAAGTAAATTAATCCATCTAGCTCTGTCACAAATTTAAGATCTAAAAATTCTCTGTCACAGATTTTACAGAAGGACTTACAAGTTTGCAAAATGTTTTCTATTAAGAGACATGTCATGTTGTGATTTGTGCACACAGTGTTACTTATACACGCCTCTTTTTAGTGAAATTACTCCCACCGTCAATATTTATTGAAATAGAACTTTTGTATCCCAGCTTTAACAATCTTTAGGGTGTCCACATTATGACTGTTCTCTCCTGCCTTAAGTGAGCACAGTTTAGAAATAAGACCGCTTTTTCATGTTCTACAAAAAAAAAACACATAACAAAGCAGATATTTATCAGTATAGCTTAATCTTTTTTTCGGGACAGACATTGCACAAAGATGCTCCTTTAAGCAGTTGAAAATACTGTATAACGGTGACATGCCTTGGATCGCTTTATGAATAACTAACTGTGAGCAATCTATTATCAATGTATTAGTGCACAACAGTTGTAGCCATGGAAACACTTTAAATATTGAGAAGATTATTTTAAAAGTCTAAATTCTTTGGGTAGCCAGTTGGACAGGGGCGGGGAGCTGCTAAAGGTTGGAGACCACTTCAGCAGCGTGTACTGGTGGAAAAAAGGGGGTGATCAGAGCTTGAACGCAGGAGAATATAGCTGACAAATGGACTCAAATGTCCTGTTCTACTTTCAAATACAAAAATAAATGTCAAAATTTCTATGCTGCATGATTGTGTGGATATTGGTTTGTTGAATGAAAGCAGTATGGATGCGTGACACTTACAAAGACTAATCTAAACCCAGAATCCTTGTACCTGGAAGTCTATGAAGTTGAGCCTCCAGCTGGCGTTGGTGTTTTCGTTGATGAGCAGCGCATCTCTGAAACTATTCACCATCTGACAGTGATACGAGTACTCGGCCGGAGCGTAAATACTGCGGCTGGAGAAGGACGCGCTCACTGCATTCTGGCGCAGCTGCACCGAGTCCAGATTGAACCACCGCCGAGCCGAGACCGGGAAGAAGCGCTGGCTCATGAAGAAGCTGATGGAACAAAGAAATACCATTTACAGTTACATTACAATTTTCATTTCAAGCTGGTGCACTAAACTTTTACCTAACATGTAAAAGTAACATTTTGTGAACTCTCATTAGAAAATATGTCTTTTGCATATTGTAAGAAAAATCCCTGTTAGTAATTATTTGATGCTTTGGAATTCGTAAAGTGAGGGTGGTTCTCTCGATTTCACTTTTCTGTCTGAAAAAGCTGATCTAAAGATGTGACAGAAGCCAAAAATGAACTAAAATGAAAACTAGTGATAGAACCAAACTGCTTTAAGAGAAAGGGAATTTATTACATAGACACATTTATATGGTTTGAAACTTAAATACCCCAGCTTTAAGAATATGGTGATTGTTGTTGGACTCACCTCAGAGTGATGCCTGCATTATAGTTCAGGACGAGTCTGTTTCAACACAAAACACAACAGTTAGAAGCCAAAAGTGTTAATTTATGGACTTTCACGTCTAGTCTTGTAAGTAGTAAGTAATATTTATTTATATAGCGCCTTTCACAGACCAGAGTCACAAAGCGCTTTACAATTGTTGTGGGCATTTGTCGTCTCACTCTACACAGAGATGGGAAGCCTAATTCGTGTGCTAATCCCTGTTGTTTTTCCACGGCGTTGGACCACCTTAAACCAGTGTACCCTGCTCTTACATCGAGTTGGAGCCGTTGCAGAGAGATCCGGTCACATTAGGGGTTTGGGTGGAGAGGTCAGTCCAGTCCTCCCCAGTCTCAGTGAAGCTGACGTTGATGTTCTGAGCCCACATCATGATGCAGGGGTTCACAGATGAGCTAAACATGATGGGAGCACGAACCGAAGGGGGCGGGGCCGGAGACTGCAGCAGAGAGCGACCCACAGGAGCAGAGAAAGAGGACTCTGAGATCATCTGAAGAGACAGAGTGTGATGAGTTAAGATTGGTGGTCTTTTTCATCCAGTAATCTATTTTTATAAAGCAATAAACAATGAAGACAAGTCTACTCCTGATAGAGGTCATAAGAAATTGAGTGATATAATGGTGACAATTGGATAAAGTAGCTGAATTCTTAATTATATATTTCCGTTTGCTTGGCACTTTGAGTTGTGTTGTTGTTTGTTTTATAGGTCGCTGCTTACGTGCGAGTCAGAAGGAGATTATGAGCCTTGTGATGGAGTTAACATTTACAATTATATTTGTTTAGTTGCAGATAGTTCAATGTCCAATAAGCATTTGGGGGGAAAAGAAAGAAAAAAAAGAAATCTTACACGTGATGGCTGTAGTCCGGTAAATATAGCTGTATAAGGAACATTTTTGGCCTCCAGGGTTTTCAACACACGTCCGATAACTTCATCTAAACCAGAGAGAACAATGCCGAAATAAAGTTATAATTACACAGTCAACAGGATTTGATCTGTTCAAAATATATAAGACAAGAAAAATCACCCTCACCGTTTCTCCTCAGCTCTTCTCTGCAGAGTTGGTTCTGATGGCAGTATGGTAAACTGATGAGCAGTAGGTTGCTCACAGTCGCATCAAGTTTGAGATTCTCCAAAGCGTCTGGAGTAAGGAGCAGCGGCTCCACCCCAAGCTCCTGCTCCAGAATCACAGGCACAGAGGAGGAGCGCGAGCACTCTACAGCTGGGAACACTGTGGAGTGAGACTGAAGGGCAGCCTGGACAGAGAAGGTTAAGAATAATAACATTCAGGCTGGGTTAGATGTTCACATATATTCTTTTATTCTTGAATTCTAAATTCTTTTCTCAATTTCAGATGTGACTCAAAAGTACTCTCGGCACAAAAACAATGTTAATTTTGTTTTTTGTAGAATGTTTAGTTTATTTCTGTCACATATCACATTGACTGTATTAAAAAGCTCATCACTTCTTCTGTACAATAACAATCTAACAATGCTCCATTCTGTGCAGCTTAAAAACATTTTTATAGTCTTCATAGAAATTATGCTCAGTAAAAATTGCCAACGGAACTTCTAGAATATCGTAGATCGCAGACAAATGAACATGTGTTTTAAATCTATCCGGCTTTTAGAATGTGCATGAAGGCATTTACAGTGTGAAAAGTGGAACTATGTAAGTACATCAATCTAACTAGTTCCAAAAAGGTCTCAAACACCGGACTACATAATTAGTTTTCACATGTATGCCATATAGAAGATTACCTCCAAGTTTTTAAAAGCACTGTCTTCTTTGTTTCCGTAGACACCGCCATAAAGTGTGAAGTCATCTTGGCTCAACTGTTGAAAAATATTGACATTACAAATAACATTAAAAAACAATAACAACAAAAACCCTAGTTTTCTACATTTTGGATAAATGTTACAACATACGACTTCAACAGATGTTAAAGGATTTTGAAGGGGAACTGTGAAAATGGGGAAGTCATGCCAACACTTTGTCACACCAAAGTAAGAATAGCTCTGAAAGACAGACATTTCCTTATAATAATAAAATACAAAAGTCTTAGAAGACGACTGTATTAAAATTTACAGCATGGCATGAAACAGGGCAACTTCTTTAGGACAATAAGATGGATTACTAAATATGTTTTCTTTCTGGTCATAGAAAAATCATACGATGATTATGTAGCATGTAATTCAATGTGTCCAACCAGTCTTAGTAAATTAACAGTGCTGGCTGCACAACATTATTCTTGTTTCGTAAATGCTCTTCCCAAATGATTCTGCACATGCACTGACCCTTTCCTGTAGAAACAACAGGACTGTGTGAGAGCCAGAGCTCAGAGCAGCACTGAGGAACAAGCCAAGTTCACCATGAGAAGTGATGTGTCCTTCAGCAGGAGGAGACACAGGTGGCAAACTAGGAAAATACATAATTAGAACATAATACATTGGATAGATGCAGTGAAATATTAAATACACTACATTATTGGAGAAGTAGGGATTACTTGTGTAAGTTAGATTGATAAATGATGGGGCTTTTAAGATTCACTAAAATAGACTGATAATAAGCTAGTACAAATAAAAATCCAACATTACCCAGAAGTTTTCCAATGAATCTTACTAATCTAACATAGTTTAACAAAGTAATTATTACAAGAATAGGGACACTTCGAAGCCCGAACTTTTGAACAGCATTGCTTCCAAATAAGTTGAATTAGTCAACTCCGTTTAGGTTGATTCATTGTATGGAGGGAATTTTATAGTAAGTACCACTTTGGTTATTGGAATAAAAGCTTTTGGGGAATATGTATTTTCTCATTCCTTAAGATTAAACCATAAAACAAATGTTTGGATTAAAGATGTATTATATCAGGTTATTGCCTGTTCTTAAAACATTGTTCCAAGTTTGAAGGAATAAAACACTTAAACACATGATTATCGCCAACATGCGGTAAGTTTGTTGGCGTTAGTCAACTTTTCCATGGAGGCTAGCTGTTAGCATTAGCACGTCACATCTGTCCTGCAGTCTGATCCACAGACCTAGTCCCACACTAAAGAAACATTTACCTGTGTGAAGACCAGACCAACAGTGGCACATGCGTCTCCGAAGCCCCCGAACTCCAGAATAAGCAAAAACACAAAATAAAAGATGATTTCGCGGAACACTGAGCCATTTTCCACAAACTTTTTCCGCATTGAGGTGTGTGTCACGTGGTTCAAATCAGCTGACAGTCATGTGTGCTTTGCTTCCTGTGTGGTCTACCCATGGAGCTATAATGATAGTAATAATGATAATATTATAGGACCCCCTTGAAAAAGAGATGGCTCATCTCAGTGGTCTATCTTTAACAATAGAGGAATAATTATAGTTATATTAATAATCGAAAAAATAATAAAGATAATGATGATAATGATAATAATCATAGCTATTATAGCTATTATTATTATTATTATTTCGACTACTATGATCATTATTATTAATAATAATAAATAATAAATAATATAAATGTATCTTAAAAATATTGAATAAACAAAGACACCAGTTTTTCCTATGTCATGCTAAACAACAATAAGAAATGCAGTGACACAGATATATGTCTCCAGTTGGTCAAAACAACACAAAAAAAAGCTCTTTATGGCCCGACTCAAAATTGGTGTGATTTGCTTTTGGTACAGCTTGTTTTTCCTATTTTGCATTATTGTTTTTATTTGTATGTATTTATTAAAATCCACTACTTGACATATACTACACCCAATAAAAGCAAATAATGCATTGCTTTGCTAAATCTGGCTGGATAAAATAATATTTGGACATGTACAAAAAAGTAAACGGGATGCTTTAAGTAAGTAGAAGACCAATTATCTTAATAGGAATAGATAAGCAGTTTATCTCTTAAAATACATTTCACGATTATTTGGGAAGGACTTGAATTGTGTATTTTTGCAACATTTTGTTTTTGTCACTTGATGAACTGAGAGTATTATTGTTGTATCAGATGAGAACGTTTTGACAATGTGAAAAATATAACCTCATTGGTAAACGGATATAAGCAGCAATGACTTGTTAGCTTGTTAGCAAACACACCTTGTTCTATAATAACACCTAATGCAAGTATAGTTGTGAGCGTGCCTGGATATCAATAAAGCTAAATCATAGCAAATTGAGAGATAAGTATATAAAGCCAGTGTCAAATGTTGCATTTTACTTAGGCTTTGTCATAAGGTGTTCACCTGGAAGCTGTCCATGGTGCTGATACCCCTGGTCTGTTCTATGCACCCGATAACATTACATTCACACTTGTGCGTCAACAAATATGAAACATTAGGCCTATTGATATGTGAGTCTTCTGTGAAGGCAAACCAGGGGCATTGTATTAAAATGGAGCGCTCAGTCAGTGAAAGCTACTCCCTATGGCTTCATCACAGCTGTGGTGTTGGCGGATGGATACCGCACTCATATGACTTTCTGCGCCTACAATGCAAAAAAGAGGCATGGGAAATAAAATACAGACATATCCTATCCACAGATGCATAACCAGCAGCAAAAACAAAGCTGTATGTGCCAAAACAGTCATATAAAGTTGTCATTGCGCATATAATAATCTAAGGTAACACAATAGCAGCAGGAGTTTCATGTTACAGTGAAGAAGAGGGATGTGCACTGACCTATTGTGTCAGCACTGTAAAGCTGTACAGGCGAAGCTGCACATCTAGGACTGCTGTGAGAGGAACGTACTCATTTTAACTTTTGGTTAGATTCGTTTGAAATATATTTGTGAAGGCCTGCCCTAAAGGCAACCTATTTAGGAATTAGAAATAAAGGCATAATGTTGATGATGAGTAGAGATTGGTCCCATCGTGGGGAATTTGTAGTGTTGCAGAGCTACACAAATATGTATTTTTGTTTGTTTAAGGAGTCATCTATAGGCTAATATTGTCCAGTTTTCAGAACCTCAGTGACCCGCAGTCAAAAAAGGGTCATCTGGCTGCAGTCATCTCAGTGCAGCTCCGATTCCCCAGATATCGCCTGCGCAGTCGAAACCATACGGGATGCGCACTATTTGCAGACGCGCAGGGACACATCACGGCACGATCAGGGCCATCTTTTCTTGTCCTCCCGGTGACAGTGTAGCGGTGTGGCCACATCACATTTGGTCCAGTTCTTAGAAATACTTAAGTTAGCTGTTAATTTGGCTCAAAGATCCAGAATTGTTGCTTTGGGTTAGAAACAGAGCGAACGGTGCCTGGATCTGTCTTCTATCCAGCGGCATAGTATCCTCCCTTCCTTCCTTCTTTTTTCTGCAGCCTTCTATTCATTTTCCCTAAACAGGGCGAGCCGGAGAGGCGCTGCTGCACACCTTACACCATGGATGAGGAATATGATGTGATTGTTTTGGGCACAGGCCTCACGGTAAGTCAGTATCAAAGGACATTCGCGACTCGTTCCACGCCTCAAACTATCCATTCCGTTCTGGCGCATAACTAATAGTGCACGCTTTGTGTTTCTGGCAACGCATTCCACTTGTAACTTTCATTACAATCCTTTACACAGCCCATCGGCGTGTTTTCGTGGGTTGGAGGTGATACAGCGGCGTGCGTAAAGACAGTAGCATCTTCAAGGCGTAACCCCATTGCAGCGGGTGTATAGGCCTAGTGACGGTGCAGGCCTGTGACATGGCTCCATTCAATGACAGCACACTACAATTTCCTCCTATACCCAGTGATGGGATGGGAGCGGTGCCGCGGAGAAGCGATTAGTTACTCAATATGGAGTAGCCAACATAAAATGGATTTTTGGAACTTGTTCAGATATGGCTCAAACAGAGTAGTATCCATCTGTTAGGGATGGGCAACCATGAACTATAAGGGTAGGGATCACAGGGTCCCACGATTTCATGCTGAATAAATTATATATTGCTGACACAGGATTTTCTATCTATATCTATCTGTATGTATTTGTCTGTCTGTTTGACTGTTTACAAATTAGATCTTTCTTACACTAATCAGAGATGGGCAACAGAAGTGCACAGGTTTAAACCATATGTATGCTGTTTTGTCTTAAACAAATTATGTTACATTTTGAAGCTGAATTGCCATGTTAAAACATTTTTAAGTAACCATATTTTTCTGTCATACAACTTCCTATGTGCTCACCATCTTTTATATATTACATTGCATTGCTCCATGTATGTATCCAATGCTTAATAACAGCTGTATTTACCAACAAATGAAGCAATGATGTAACAGAATGGCTGTGTAGATGGAAGCTTTCTTCATTACTGTGCCATAAACAATGCACGTACTGTAGTGTGATGGAATATGATTTTACCCATGCGCACTAGCCATTTGTTTACACACCCTACTCTTTTTAGTCATGTCTTCAACTAATCTTAGTCTAAGAGTTTGTGACTAATCGAATGACGTATGAGTAAAGCTGTAAGGAAGGTAATTACAGATTTTTATCATGAATACGCATAAAAAACATAAAGACATTTTTAAAATCCAGATAAAAAGCAGCATAAATAACACAAGATAATTAAACATCTTTAAGACTCCCTTAAGTATTGTCATTACTAATACTGTTAATACTGCTTTTATCATCTATAGTTTATTTTAGAGATAATATGGCTACCAATCATGCTACTAAGGAAGTTATGACCCAGTTACACACATTTATGCAGATACTGTATATTAGAGCTGAGATGAAGGTCTAAAATATTAACAAAAACAATCATGCAAGCCTATTACTGAATGCAATCAGCGCAAAAGACAATATTATTTTATTACAAGAGAACAGTAGCAGGTTCTCTGGACCATTCTGGGTCTGTAGTCCTACCTTACCCCACAAGTAATCAATAATCATTTTGTATGTGAAATGGATTGTGTAAAACTGACTGAGCTCATTATCTCTTTGAAAGTAAAAATCTTGTATTCACAAACCACTGTCCACTTTGTTTAAGCGTGAATAATTAAAAATGTAATGGTCACACAGGATTGAAAACGCATTGTACATTGCAGACATTTTGTATCCAGTCAGACTTCAAATGACTTACTAGACATTTCTGAGTGCATACAAAAAACCTGAATACATAAAACTCATAAAGGTTGATTGTAATAAGAAGTATCATGTTGACAATTCTCAGGAATCATGAAATAAAATATAACAATTTATATTATGTATAAAGTATATACAACACTTTAGTCACTTTAGATCAGATTGCCATAGTATACTCTGTCCTTGCAACAGAATTTATAATATTGACAGATAATATGCTCCAAAATCCATACAAGACAATCCTCTTCATTAATTAAAGTTCAAGAGAGATTATTGCTATAGTGGGTCAATTTTAGTCAGGTTCTCATCGGGATTATAGGACTTTTATTCTATTGTCAAGAGTGCCTCAGATTTTCCTATTCATTCATTATTTTGTTGAGATATGTCCATTTGTCGTTCAATTAATTTTACTCATCAAACTGAAACATGTTTTTGGCAGGAGTGCATTCTGTCCGGGATTATGTCGGTGAATGGGAAGAAGGTGTTGCACATGGACAGGAACCCGTACTACGGAGGGGAGAGCTCTTCCATCACACCGCTGGAGGAGGTCATTCTTTTACTGCTCTGTTCACACAATCAATAGAGTTTTTAGAGTTTTACAGCCCCCAGTGCTGTCTGTGCATCTGCTGCTGCCTCTTTACTGCCGCCTCTGCCTTCTGTCACTGCTTGTGCTGTGTCAGAAAGTATAAGGGGGTTGTAGCATTGGATGAGACATCTATATCAATCCAGGAGGACTGCTACTTTAACAGGAGCGATAGATGTAGATACATACAGTACATATATACAACATACATGTGAGAGTACTGCAATTAATTAAACTGTTCTAATATAGATTGATTTATTTTATCTATGAATGGAAGGAAGTGCAAATGTATCCCGTCCTTCTCACAAAATGCTCTGTGCTGAATCTGTTTTTCTGTTTTAACTCCAAATTTGTTTTTGCGTTGCATTTGTAGGGTGTGTTTATAGAATATTTTATTACATTTCTAAGGGACTTCCTGTATCCAATTTCAAGCTCTAGCCTGGACTATCATGTCCTTTCAGTCATTACCCAAATCTCATTTTTACTTCGGGTGGCAGGGCAGAGCTTTGCCTTTCCTTCACCTCTTCACCACAGCAGTCTGATACACAAGAATCCTTCACAAGGAAAACAACATAAACATAAAGAATGTGTATTATTTGTTATTTAAGTGATTGCCCCTGGACACTTCCCTCCTCTGTTTTGTTTCTGTTTGCAGTTGTTCACACGCTTCAACATCCCAGAGAGTCCGCCTGAGTCCATGGGCCGAGGACGGGACTGGAACGTCGACCTCATTCCTAAGTTCCTCATGGCCAACGGTATGTGAAACCAGGACACTATAGGTTTACTAAGACTTTGAATTGGCAGTACTGTTAATACTTTAATACTGAATCTTTTCATCTCCCCCCTTTATTAACAGTACTATTGTCATTTCTCCACAGGGCAGCTGGTGAAGATGCTGCTGTACACAGAAGTGACCCGGTACCTGGACTTTAAGGTGGTGGAGGGAAGCTTTGTTTACAAAGGAGGAAAGATTTACAAAGTGCCCTCCACTGAGACTGAGGCGCTGGCTTCAAGTAAGTCCTCCTGCGTCTCTTTCAGGTCATAAGACAGGAGTTTGAATATGACTTTATTTAAGGCTGAGAAATACGGCTTCATTTTTCTGAATGCAGGAGAAACATTTTCACCTCTATGGATGCAAATAATTTAATCTTAATTTGAGAAAATTTTGTCTTAAAACAAGAATTGGCAATGGGACAACTCCTACTAGGAATGACAAATAAATGGAGTACAGTGCATTTGTTCTTGTCCCATTGGTAGCTCTGTTTTGATTCACTCAAATCAAGATGGAAACACCTTGATTCAAGCATTTGTCATTGTATACTTTTTGGCAGCCGGTTTTTAGAAAAATGAATTGGTTTGGTGCTATTTGGTACATATTTGTAAACAATAATAATAAAGTCATAAGAACGTCTACATACATACAGTACTTATTCACATTTGTGCATTTGAAACTTGAGACTGGGATTGCAACATGCCTTGCCAGTTTCTGTGTTTACTTCTTCTTTTGGAGGAAGAAAAGGAAACTTCCACTTCCACACACTGAAGTGTTGTTTGTCTTTTATGAGTCTACCCTACCAAGAAATGCATTTTTTTAGTTTTGCCATAGACCTGGAACAGAATCACATTTTTTCAGATATATTTTTTGTCAAGTAAAATACAAGGCAAACAAATGAAATGATTGTGTCTGTAATCCTCTTCTCATTCGTATTCCTCCCATTCCAGATCTGATGGGCATGTTCGAGAAGCGCAGATTCAGAAAGTTTTTGGTTTTCGTGGCAAACTTTGACGAGAACGACTCTAAAACGTTTGAGAGTGTGGACCCCAAAGCCACAACGATGCGGGATGTGTATAAGAAGTTTGACTTGGGACAAGACGTCATCGACTTCACCGGACACGCCCTCGCCCTCTACAGGACAGACGAGTAAGTGCATTTCTTCATTGTCTTTTAGAATCAGAATCAGAATTATTTTTATTTAAAAACTTAGAATTTTCTGCAAACAAGTTAAAAAAGTAAAAATAGACATAGCTTACATAAATAAAATCTACCATTGGTCAATAACAAAAATAATTTCATACATAACAGGAAAGGGCATTTCTAAAATGTTCCAGTCTGAAAGGGGTTAGACTGACACATACAAAATCTAACTCTGTTACCAAAAAGACATTCTATTAAAAATTGTTTCTGAACAGTTATACCAATAATTGTAACACGTATTTACACACATCTTCAATTATTCAATATTCATGTACATTCACCCACACATTCATAAGCTAAACATTTGTGCAATGTAGTGTTTGTACGTAAAAATAAATAAATGCACTTCTCCACTGTTTCTAAAGCTGCATGTGTCAGATTACATATCCAATGCAAAGTTTATGCAAAGTGTTTGTGCTCTCAACACAGTTGTAATAGTATTTCCTCTCTTTCAGTTACCTGGACCAGCCGTGTCTGGACACAATCAACCGCATCAAACTGTACAGTGAATCTCTGGCTCGATATGGAAAGAGCCCCTACCTCTACCCACTGTACGGCCTGGGGGAGCTGCCACAGGGGTTCGCCCGGTGAGGACAGTGGGGCTAATGTGACCCGTAAAACATTAATATGGACTCATGAAGGATGCATGTATTTTTAGAAATATGTCAAACTATTTAAAATGTTCATCTATTTGAACTATTACAAAATAAAGCTGGAGTATGAATGAATTATACTCTACATCTTGTTTCAGAACAGGAAAAGTGTTGAACAAATGAAGTGGTGAACAAATCAGACCACAACTTGCTGCCTTGATCTAAAACATGTTATCTATCTTTTGTTTATTGGAAAGAGCCCTGTGGGTCACTATCTGACGCTCTGGTCTGAGAGCTGATTGGAGTGAGGGTGGTCTTTTTCCAGACAGACCAAAACCCCACACATGTGAAGACTAGTGATTGAACCAAAGTGTTTTAGAGCCAGGACCTAGTTCCATGATTAAAACACACTGTTATTAGGCCAGTTATACTTACATTGTTGTGTTGTTGCAAGTATAGACAATTAAGTGTCATAAAGTTTCTTGTGTTTATTTTCTTGTTGTTTTTAGGTTGAGTGCGATCTACGGTGGGACGTACATGCTGAACAAACCGGTGGAGGACATCGTGATGGAGGACGGACATGTGGTTGGAGTCAAGTCTGAAGGAGAGGTACACAAAAACAAGAGACAGCGACTCATGGACTCCAGTTAATTTTCTATTAGTGTTTCATTCTGAGGACTTCACTACAAATATATCATAGATTCATTTGTCTAAGAACTGTTACTGGTTATAACATTGGTGCATTTTTTCATTATCAAGTATGAAGGGAACATAAACAGAATCAATCTTACAACAGTGTTCTGTGTTTAAAAACATGCACAGCTTTTCTCAGCTCCATTCACATTCATATTAGCATCAACAATGTTAGTTTTTGTTTGGGTGGATCTATAATGGGTCTGCTGTGAAATCATGATGTTAAACATCCACAGTGTTAATACAGCAGGATAGGGTTTCTGACCATTTTGACAGATCTTATTTATTTCACTGGGGTTGTTGAAAAACCAGCTCTCCAAACAGAATAGAGATCACACATATTCAAGAAATACCAAATTATGATTTGATTTGTGATTTTTGTTATGAAGCAAGAATCATGTTTAAATTGAGGGAAAGCTGAAACCTGAATTTCTTTCTGAAGTTGTTTGTAATCAAATGTGTTAAAAGCAAATTACACTCATGTCCTCACATACTGTACACACTGTTCTTAACTACTAAACTACAGTAGGATAAAACAGTCAAAATGTACTAAAATTATCATTTAATAATAGGAAATATCTCCTTATTTAAGCTCATTTTAGCCTTATTTTGATAGTGATACTTTTTTCCAAGTCTGTTTGAGAGCTCTAAACACAGGGATAAAGTTTTATAAAATGAAACAAGATCCTTTTCTGTCTGGAAAGAAATGAATTCAGTCTTTCCAATAGGCTCAATGCGGACACACAAGTAGCAATTTGGATTTGATTGTGATTAATCATGTAGCCTAATCACTTAAATGTATTTGCTCATAGTTTTTATCTGTAAGAAGTTTTTCACAAATAACTCTATGGAATACTCCGAGGGCTTTAAATCCATTTAGCCCGAGACGTTATAAAGAGTCACTGTATTCCCTTTCTTTAGCTCTGAAATGTTCTACTTCATGATAAACTATGGAATTATCTTTTGGTCAATAATCACACCACATGCTGACGTGTGTTGTGCAGGTGGCGCGTTGTAAGCAGCTGATCTGTGACCCCAGCTACATCCCGGGCCGTGTGCGCAAAGCAGGACAGGTCATCAGGGCCATCTGCATCCTCAGCCACCCCATCAAGAGCACCAACGACTGCAACTCCTGCCAGATCATCATCCCCCAGAACCAAGTCAACCGCAACTCAGGTAAATCCAGGACTCTTGTTTAAGTAACATTTTGTGAATAAATCAAACCACGACATATATTTATCTCATTAGAAAACATTTTAACTTTTACATACTGAGAGCTGGAAGTCTTGTTTTCACTGAGAAAGCAGATCTACAGATTTGATAGAAGCTAAAATGCATACATACAACAATAAATGTATTGTTCTGACCGGACATAGCTACAAGCTCATTTTTATCCGTAGTCCCTGGACAGAGGCAAAGTGACAGTAATACATAGAATGGCCTAGATTTTATTCCATAGTTATTTATTTGTGGTTTCTAATTGAGAGAGTCTAGCTTTAATGGGATAAAAAGGGACATTTACAAATACACTTTGATGGCTTTCTATTGGGAAGCACTTTCCTTTAAGGCAAGGCAAGTTTTTTTGCACAACACGATTTGTAAACAAACTGCTTTACGAATCAAGAAAACCAGTAATTTCAGTGATTTCTATTTACTTAAGGAGTCAAGAATATTTTAGGTGTTTTGTGTTTCTAATCATTATAAACACATTATATCAAAAAGGACACCAGTATTGTTGTAGTTCTAAATACATGCTAATGAGTTTATAGTCATAAATGTCATGAATAATTCTAGGTCACACAAGTAAATACATAAATACCTAAATAATAACCTGAATGATATGAAGTGTGCCTTCACTAGATATTAAAATAATATGATACTTTACTGTCAGACTGCAGATGCAAGTCCAATATGTCAGCTCACAAACACAACTACATTACATTCAGGACCTTTTACTAAACAAGGACCGTTGACTTTTCGACTTAACATCGCACCAGGACCTCAGTGAGTTCATGAGTTCAGTTTTGTTCAGTTATAGAATGGACTGATCTTACATGTTAGCAGTATTCCTATTGATTATAAAATCTGCCTCCTAACTCACAAATGCGTTCATGTGACGCTCCACAAAGGCCTCCTCACCATACGTGATACCATACATCACGATCCCTCCAGTCCACAAACTCTTAGTTTCATGGGGGACAGGACTTTGCAGCAGCGTCTCCACACATCTGGAACGCTCTGCCACACGACCTGCGGGTGCCACAGTCTGTAGAGAGCTTTAAACAGTGCCTTAAAACACAGCTGTTCAGGAGGGCCTACTGCTGATGTGCATCATCTGCCTTTTATGCATTATTCTTCTTCTTATTATCAACTTCCTTTGATCCTGATCTATTGTTTGCTCCTCAGACATCTACGTGTGCATGATCTCTTACGCTCATAACGTAGCAGCGCAGGGCAAATACATCGCCATCATCAGTACCACGGTGGAGACCGCGGAGCCAGAGGCCGAGATCCAACCAGCGCTGGAGCTGCTGGATCCCATCGACAAGAAGTGAGGCCTTCACAGCCCTGTTCAATGCATTGTTTCTATCTCACTATTATCATTACCCTCTGGATCGTATTAAACCTTTACACTTCATTCAGAAAAGATATTCTACCAACCGTGCGCTGCTGTCATTGGAAATGAAAATCCCCAATGCCAGCCATTTAAAACATGTTCAAACATGCACCAATGCAAGCTTGCAGATGTAATGACATCAGTCATGTGCAGAAAGCTCAGGCTTTCTTTCTTAAAACACACTCAAATCAAAAGATTTGTTGATTTGGTCTAAATTCATCCATCCATCCATCCATCCATCCATTTTCTACCCTTTAATCCATTTCTGGGTCAGGGGGGTGGCAGTCAGAGCTGCCACCCAAGTATCATAGCACCAGCCCCTCACTGACCCTCTGCAGGTGGTGAGTCCACAGGAGGACGGCTGCTCTCTGAGTGTGAGCATAGCCTTGATCTTTCAGTGGGGGCTTTGGGCAAAGTGGGGTTAAGTGTCTTGCCCAAGGACACAACTGAGCTACTGTCGCCCCCATTTAAATTAATATCTTTCTAACTAAATTTTGTAATGCTACTTTTTTCTGCTAGCCCTATCATACATATATATTAGAATACATTACCGCTACTTTATCTGTAGTAACATTTATCATATTTCAAAGTCAATTATTGTGCAATTACATACCTACGACTAATGAAACTGTCTATTTACAGGTTTGTGGCCATTAGTGACCTGTACGAGCCGACAGACGATGGATCCGAGAGTCAGGTGAAACATTATTACAACTATAATAAAAACAAATATCACCATAGTTGATATGTGCTGACAAAGAAGGTGTTTCAGGTGGATTTGCCCAGGAATTACATAATATGAGACTAGTTACCATAGTCACCAGGAAAGAATCTTCAACTGCCCTCCGCCACAATTTTTAAACTATGGCCTCTTTGATGTGTTGTGATGTCACACAAACACAACTTTTTAGTCCAAATACAACAATTTTAACAATTTGAAACCTGACCATCAAACATCATCAAACATTATAATACTCATATTTTAATTAGTTTACACTGTAAAAGCTCAAACTAAAGTTACGCTCCATGAGTATTCATTTGTTATGATAGTTCTGTTTTATATACCCTAACATCTTTTTTGTACCGCAGATATTTGCGTCGCGGTCCTACGATGCCACCACTCACTTTGAGACCACCTGCAACGACATCAAAGACATCTACAAGCGCATGACGGGCTCCGAGTTCGACTTTGAGAACATGAAACGCAAACAGAACGACGTGTTCGGGGAGGACGAGCAGTGAGCAGCAGGGGGCAGCGCTGAGGCCACACTGCAACAAAGCATCACCAGATACAAGGACTTGGATTTCAATAAACATAGATTTGAGTATATTTGATTAGTTCAGTTTCACTACATTCTCAACCTGCAAAACCTTTTTTCCTATTTTCAAATGAATATTAGCGGGTTGATTTCTTTAAAACCAAAGCAAGACATTTATTAAACAAGCATAAAACATAAAAATAAAAAGAAGTACTGATTTGGCTTAGAAGAAGGAACATTCCATATGATTTATTAAATATTGCATTTTGCAGTGTACATTTATTTATGGTCAACACCTAACAATTTAGTAAAAACTATTCAAATCAATGTTATATTTTGAATCCAAGTCTTTCTGTCTGTAGTAAATATTCTGTTTTTACAGTGTAGGTATCCCCTATCTGCCTCAACTCTCCTCTACTCACACACACACACAGACACACTGTTAAAAACTCACTTTGTCACTGAAAAGCAGGGTTGACACAGTTTTCCATTATCCACTGTAGATAATATATATGCATTCTCCTAGCTGTGAAATTACTACTTCTCAATGATTTTCAATGATTTTCAATGATTTCAGGCATTTCACATAATTCACATTGGGGAAAAAAAAACATCACTACTTACGTATGATAGAATTTTCAAACCGCATTTTGTGAATGCTATAGGCATGAGTGACCACTTCTTCAATTATAATAGATTTGGTGGGCTGTCTTGTAAGGATTAAAAATATAGTCTAAAAAAAAACAAATTGGACTTTTATTACTGCAAATAAAGCCTACAATAGTGAAGAAAATATACTAAATAAAGAAGAGTCTTGATGGTTTAGAAAGTTATTCAAGCTGATCCAAAGGCCTATACGGCACTCAAAAAAAAACCTGTTGAATTTCTTTCCCGGTTTATTCCAACTTTTCCTTCTTCCTCTTGAGGCGGTGACTCTACCTATGGCATTTCCACATGTATATTTCCCACTGTTGTACATAGCAGCTCCACTATTGAAGCCTAGACCATTCAGTGTCCCTCCCCTGTCAACCCTGCTTTGCAATATTTACAACTTTCTCTTCTGTTATTTCAATATACGCGACTCGTTTTTTGCGAAAATCAGGCAAACGTGGTGAAATCGCCTGTACAAACCCCACTTGTGCAGTGCTAACTCGGCATCGCTGTTGTGACCCTATGCTAATCTGTCCAGTGGCAAATACTAGGCTGACGTCACTCCTAACACACACCCCCCCTTTCCACATTTGTTATTTTTTATTTTGTGTTTTCAGAAATGTTGACAGTACTATGACGTATGAGGGCCAAAGTAAAGACGATGAACAAATGAAAACAAAAATCTGGATTGTTTTTACATGTTGCTTGTTTTACTTGTTTCAACGTTGGTTTTATCTGGCAAATATACCTGAGCCCAATCACACTCCTATTAGTGTCTTTGTCTTTAACGCGGCCCTAATACGCCATTGTTTAATAGTCTATGATTAAATATGTTCTAACAGTTTAAATTATTGAAGAGTTTTATTTCTATGTATTTGGTGCGGTTCACTGGCTGAAGTTATGACGTTTACAGAAATGTGGTTGAAACTGTGGTCTTCGAGGAGCATGTTGTTGCGGGCGCTTTGGAAATAAAAAAAAGTGAGTTATAATGACTTGATATTTGACTTTTCAGAATGACAGTGTTCTTACAGGTCCTTATGAAAACCTCTAACTGTCTACCCACAGAGGTAGAATGGCTAGAATTAAACTATACTAAAGTCGTAAATAAATGACTTGGGAATTTTAAGTCATTTTAACTTTTTTGCGAGTATGTGATTGATTGAGAAAACTGGTTTCAAAAAGGTTTTTCTTTTGTTTGAACTTGAGAAAGTGTTTTGAGGTTGAAGACTGAAATTTCAGCTCAAAGTGAATGCACCATTTTGTGTCTTGGTTGTTTGAATTGAACCTTTGTTTACGTCACTGGAAAAGTTACTCCCCCAGGAGCTAAATCCATTGGAAAACGCTATGGGCCTGTCCTGCAGAGTAAACCATGATCATCTACTTCAGTTTAAAGAGTTGGTTTGACTTACTGTGTCTGACTTCAGCTGAGTTTAAGCAAAGATACATTTATTGTAAGTTGGGGAACGATTAAATTGTTAAATTGACAAATCAGTGCGCTTATTATGCAAATGCTGTTGTGTATAGCCACTGCAGAAGAACATATTTACAACTCTCTTAATGTTTAGGTGATTCGGATTAAAATGGCATTCAACCCATTGCAAAAACCTCCAATCTGATAAAAATAAAGGTTTTCATAAAAATTGTCCTGAAACTAAAGCTTTGAACTCACGTGGATGTTCGCTGGTTGCCGTGTAAATAGCAGTAGCAAAGCAGGAGCACGAAGCCACCGTTTCCTTCCCCACGTGAATGAACCAATGTCATTTGATTTGGTCGTAGCCTTAATATTTGGACTTTCACTGCGAATGGCTTATCAGAGTCTTTTCGTGCTTTGGTCTCTCTTGTTTTGACTCATTCTTGTGCCAAAATGTGTCTGTAATTGGCAAAATATAACAACATGTTCTTTGTGGTCTTAGTTCTGGCTATTTTTTGCAATAAACCATTCAAAATACATGGAACTATTCAAAAAATACGTTTCTGAATGAAAAAAATGGTGAACAACTGTCATATTTTGAATGGTGCTATGCAATTATGCTGAAAATAGCGCTCAATAACACCACATGAAATCTCAAGAAACTACTTTATTTAATTTGTACATTCCATAAATCTCTGATAAAATTGTGAACAAACGGTTGCGTCTTTTGCTGAATATTCTATGCTTACCTTACTGCATTCAGAACAGCTGGTGGAAATTCTTTTTGAAAGTGATGCAAACTAACTTAATATTTTTGTTTTGTCTTAATGTTTGTTTTTGCCGTGTCACCTGTTTACCTGATTTAGTGGTCTTTCCTGTGTCCGTCATAGTTTTGCTATGATTAAAAGCATTCCAAAAACAGGTTTCAAAGCTCTCAAATGTACTGCTGCATAATTTAAAACATCATATTTTGTGTGTTCGCATTCTTCTGCGAATCAATGAATTTTTCCGTGCATTTTTAAAATAACTAGTTGTATAAATCTTGGTTTTTGAGTAGTTTTAACTGACATATAGAATGACATTTATGTTATTTAAAGTAATCAAAACAACTCAATTGATCAACGTTTCGAAGTAGTAAATGAATAAATGAAAAAACGACTCAAAAATGATTTATACAAGTTATTTTAATCCAACTGATTATTCATCTTTTGCAGTACATACGCATTAAGACTGGAAAACTGTTTACTGAATATTTATGTGTCGCCTCTCCTTCACTCATAAATGCATTGTCTTTATTTTAATTATGGGAAAAAGCCTTGTGTGGTCATTCTATTGCCACCAACATTCATTTTGGCATTTTGAAAATAATACTATCGAGCTAAAAATCCCTTGAAATGGACAAGTGAAGATAGTTCAGGCTGAGTAGTAACTTTCTGTCCTCGTTTGATCACTAGTATGTGAACAATGCCTATAATGTCTTGTGTAACAGATAAAATGATCTAAACTGAAATTGAAAATAAAAATAAAAAGCACATGGCGAACCTGTGAAAATCTGCGTCTGCATTGGAGTTTTTTTTAAATGTCTCCTAATCTATTGTGAATCTGCACACAACTCATTTACATACATTATTTTGCAACTTATACAAAATTATGCTCGGAGTTAATATTATTATTCCTATTATTAGTGATGTAAATTCTGACAACACCACCCATTTAGCTATATAATAATGTAATCTTTATTTATTTACATACATATAAATTAAGGCATAATCAATTTACAATTCATAAGTCAAAATCATTTGTCACAAAAGGATTTTTTAAAGTAACTTTCTATATAACCATATATAAAATAAACCTATGTAACTCGGCATCCATTGATACTACTGCGCAGAAAGGATTCTACTGTATTATTATGAATCATTTGAAATGTTTCTTATAATTGTAACACAAACTGATTATCTAGATTCTGTAGATTATGAAATACAACTTGAAATAATATTACAGAAAATACAGATGGAATAATATACTCTCATGGCAGAATGAAGTGAATATCATGTGTGGAGACAGAAGCAGCATCTCTAATGGACATTTTCTGGTTGAATAGAAGACGTAGTGTTTCACTCACATAAAGGGACAATGAAGTCTTTTGAATCTTCGAGCAAAAAGCAAAACCCCACCTTTAAACAGAGGTTGAACAGTTTTTAACTTTTGCCATGACTGTTCCCAGGAGTCAGATCTGCCACACTTTTCCTACATAAGCCATCTTTACTGCTGTCCCAATGTCCAGCAGGTGAAACAGTAGTGTCCAGCACTGGTCATGAAATTATCTTTATAGGGTGCTCCAGTTGTAGGGGAAACTGGAGCACCCGGAGGAACCCTACACAGACACAGGCAGAACATGCAAACTCCACAGAGAAAGGCGTGGAGGTGGAATCAAATCCAGGACCTTCTTGCTGTGAAGCACAAACGCTAATATATGGTGATCGATTGTTGACTACTGAGTTGATGGAACATTTGGATCCAGCACTGGTTCTTCTCTGCGTGGGTTCTGTGCTCACTGGTAAAGGACTTAAAGCCGGGACCTTTTAAACCACAACAAATGTCACAAAGACCAACAAACAATTTTTGTTTGGCATTTACTGCCTCTGTTCTATCTTTAGATCATCTTTTTCAGAAAGAAAAGCGAAAAAGAGAGGGCCAACCTCACTCAGGCAATTGTCTCATATCCCAAAGCGTCAAATAATGACTCCTAGGTTCTTTCTTACAAGTATGCAAAACACAACATGATTTCTAAAAAGAGGAAGACAGAATGTTCTGGTTCCATTTCCTTTTCTTTTTGTTGGGACCAAAAGCACATGTTCATATGTAAAAAAAGTTAGTCACCTCATCTTTAATTGACATTTTCTCTCGCTGAACTCTCTGAAACTGATAACTGCAACACAACATTGGCCCCCATTGGCTTGTGTGTTCAGATTACATGTGATCCACAACGTAGCTCTCATAAGAATGCCCCAGCAGTCTCTCTACCTCTGCTTTCGGGACCACCCAGCACTTTCCTGAATGTCGTTTTTGGAGCGAGTCTTTGAGGCTTTTGTCCTGCAGAGTGACCCTCATGTGCTGCTGTCCCCACCGCAGAAGTCCCCTGGACACGGAGGCTTCTCGACTGGTGATAGCGCGGTTACCCTCAGGGTGGTTCTTCAGTCTGGTAATGGTCATATCTGTGTGCTGAAATTGTCCTGAAAACAAATACATCAACATTAAAACTGATACAGCTGGTTTTCAACATAGTGGATGCGATCAGTCAATCACCTCTGAAAAAATGACTTGATCTTATACATGCAAAAATCAGAGTCAGATTGTCTTAATTTAAATCGGGGGAAAAACTAAAATAGCATACCATTTAAAACTAAAACAACTGTAATTATACATTAAAAAAGAACATGAAAATGTTGGAACTGCTTTTCACAAAAGCAATTGCCTATTCTTCGAAGCAAAACAATGAAATATGCAAATTCAGTACAAATATGGTACATGTGTAACATGGCGGAGTCAGAGGGAGTTTTATCACTAGCGCTAGCTGTGATTATGTGCAATGAAATTAAAAACAGAAAATGGGCACTGGCGTCAGTATCATCTTACCCAGCAGGCCTTGTGTGTTATGGGACAGCCCTTGCCCGTTGGTGATGTAGAAGCCCAGGTGCGCCATCTGCAGGTAACTGGGGTGTCTGTAATAGTGAAACAGAACCAGGAAGTGGATGTTTCTGCTCAGTTCAATCCAGCAGCTGTGATGGTTGTCAACGGTGACGGTCACTTCCTGACGCCTGATGGAGCCCTGCTGGTTGACAGGCAGCTTGTCCCAACCCTCGCCTTCCAGCACCACACTGTCCAATGAGACACTGATCAGGATGTCAGCGGATCTGCCCGTCGCCATGGAGATCACCAGACGGTCAAAGTAGGTCCGGGGGCGCTCCTCTGCTCCAGGTTTAGACGGTGCTCCGACCAGGTGACCGTCCACGATGATTCCTGTGACAGAATAAAGAAAAAACTGCATTTACAAAGCACTAGTCCATTTGGAGTAACTGGATCGAACTGATACTGTCATGTAACCACGTTAACTGGATCCTATTGAGACACGGCTCAAGTCATTTCTCAATAAATCTGCAAGAGCAGAAGGAAAAGCTATGCTTATATTATAATGGCAATTCACACATTTTGATCATTGTGATAAAACCTGCTTCATGTTTTGTTTTTGTACATTGACTCAAATGCCCAAAGAACAAATGTTGATAACATTTCCCAAAAGCTTGCTTAAAATAATAATATAAATTATCAATTTCAATTTACAATTACAGAGTAAAATGGCAAAGTTACGAGACAAGTGTACAAACTAAGAAATGGAAGTACATGGGAGGTCATTTAGTTTTAGGTGGTACATGTGAGAGGTGACTGATCTGGAGCTTACCTCTGTGTGGATCCTCCAGCAGCCGGAGAACATCTTTAGCTCGACCGTCCACAGTGAAGCACAGGCTCTCGTGGAGTTTGGGAATCTGCACCACAAAATGGGGGTCTCCGTCCACTGGATCACAATGTGAAGAAGAACAGTGTATTTACAGTCAATGTCGGAATACATTTTATTAAAACAAGTTTGTTATTATTGTTACTGCAAGTGCTGGGTTTACAGTGATGGAGATATGTGATACATGGCACAAAAGCACAAAATAAGAAAAATAAATGCAATCAAAACATTGTTTTTTTCTCCTCCAGTGAAAGGCTTTTCATATCGCCATCCAGTGAAAGGAAATTCATATCGCCATCTCTAATTTTGTATGATACATACAGTACATACAATCAGAGAACAATGACATTACAGATGTATACCAAATCTAAAGTACCTTTTGTAAGTTTACTATGGAAATCTTGAAAGATTTTATGAAATAATTACAAACCTGATGAAGAGAACACTCGGACTGTGCCGAGTCCAGGCTGAGCATCTAAAGACAAAACAATTTGTAAAACTCTGTCCTCTTAGGCCGATGCATGTCATGAAGTCATTATAAAGATTCAGAATCTCACCAAACGATGTGTCGGTATCAGTGTCATCCCCTAAAACATAAATGTATGAGTCCGACATCAACATATAAAAGGTGAACATCTATTCATGGTAAAACTCACAAGGATCATAGTTGAGGTTGTAGTCATAGTCGTAGTTGGCATCGTAGTCTAAAACATGAAAATGAGTTTTTAGGAAACATATTCACTTTGGGACAATCTTCCAGAACACTAAGAAATACCACCATTTACACATTCTTTTTGTCAAAGAAATGAACATTTCACATAATTTTTATGAGAATATAGTAATAGCAGGTTCACTTATCTTTGACCTAAAAGGTGATATTTATGTTTCTAGTTCAAATGTATAAACTATAGATCCTTCTTTTACTTTTTCCACTATATGTTTGCAACTAGATTAAGACCAAATATAGACAGTGGGATGTTCTGGCATTATTCTTACAGTAAGTCTCGTATGCACACATTTGTTCTGCAGGTGAGTTTCCATGTGGACTGGGACTCACCTTTATCAAGATCAATATCTGTAGAAACAAAGACAATGAAAGGCGTTGAGATGGCACACAATCCAAGTAATGGTATTGTAATTTGTGAAGTTCAAAGTGCACTAGCTAACATTTCCAGGAGAGAATGCTTTTTCTGGAATTCCAAATTATGAAAACAAACTCACTTTAAAGAAGCCAGATCAAAGAGTGTTAAAGTATTAAAATACCTGATGTGCGATACAAAGCTCACGATAACGATTATCTCACGATATGACGATGCAGCGATTATCGAAATATTGGTCAAAAATATACCTACAATAATATTTTTCTTATATTTATGGCATAAAATTAAGTGAAAAAATACACTTTATTTCAAGATAAATGGATAAAGTGTCATGTGTAACATTAAAGTGAACAGGAAAAAATGCCTTTTAACCTGCACATTTTAGTAAAAATCTTACTTAATCTGTCTCACATCCAATAAAATCAATATGAACATTTACAGAAATTGTAGAATGCGTAATGCTGCCATATATTAAGTATCAATACTTATTTTCTTTCAAGTAAATCTTAAATTAAAAAAATATTATTACTTTTAATTTAAAAAAATATTCTTAGCAAAAGCATATCGATAATTGATTGTGTGAGAAAGTATATTGTCACACTCCTAATCAAATCTATAAACGATCAAATATGATATCCTCCTTGGTACTTCTGTAATACATGGTCTCCATGGAGACCAGGTGACACTTCAGAAAAGTTACAGTGCACTTTTACTACATGTTACTGAGAAAGTGTCTGTTAGTTGTATGAGATACTATGAGATTATAAAATAGTGCAATACCTTTTCTCTGGACCTGAATAGAGGTAGAAACATCTAGAAAAGAAATGCAGAAACAACAGATTAGCATTATATACAGTATATAGCTACGTTTGGACAGAGCCATGGTGAAGATGGCTTCATTATTAATAGATTATTGTTTTATTATTTATTATTATTATTATTATTTTATTATGTTGGGATTAAATGTTATGTGATGTAAATTTAATATACATGGCTGATTCTTGAGAACATTATATCTCAGTATAGCATGCCATGGCAGCCATAGAAACATATTACCATCAAATCTGCAACATTATCATAACAATTGAAAGCCAGTTTTATGTCCCCTCGCAAGTGTAAATAAATATCTGGGACCTTTTAAATGATAATTTTTACTAGAGGATTTTGTATTTTCCCTCCACTTGGACTGTATAGCATGGTTGTCCTTGATCGAAAAAAGTGTTGACATTTATGGTTCACATTCATATTTTTACCAAAGCAAAACCTTAAAGAGTTCAAGTTCAAAAGTTGATCTTACCCAGAAGGTCTCCCGCTGCTGCCTCCCACGGTCTGGCCCCGTCTGTAACTCCAGGCATTGGGGCAAAAGTGCCCAAAAGCAGGGTAGCTATGGTTATTTCTTCATTTGAACTATCATTATTACTGTTCGATAAATCTAAAACAGATTTCAATGAAGGGGATGGGAGAGGAGAAACCAGCTGCGCCAAAGGAGTTGTGGTGACCAACTCCTGTGTGATTGTAAAATCTGTACTATTATTGTCTGTAATTCCCATGGGGAGAGCAGTAACTTTAGCAGGAGGTACAGTCGTCGTAGCTTGAGTTGTAGCCATTATGGAGTCCAGTTTGCTTGTAGAAATAGCTTGTGTTACTGTGTTAGCATGTGGCATAGACGTAGCAGCTATTTTAGTGTGGGCTGTGGTTGAAACTTTCCCTGGAGCTGGTGGTAAAGCTGTTTTAAGGGCAGTGAGAATAGATGTCGATATCTTCCCGGCAGGAGGAGAGGGAGGAGATACATTTCTGGATACATTTTGGTCTAAAACAGTGGTCTTTCTAGCTAATATTCCAGCTGGATTCGTTTTCAGCAGGCCCGGACTTGTGGTAGTGGTGGTTTTCTGGGAATGCTTTGAAATTACCATCCGTTTAAGAGGAACTGGAGGTGGTTTGGGCGGCTCAGGTTTAGCTTTGCTTGGCTTGACAGTATTCACCTGTTTGGATGTTTTTGAAGTCACTAAAGTGGTTGCGGTTGTAGTAATAGTAGCTGGAGTAGTGGTGGGCCTTTCTGTTGTTGGTATGACATCTTCATCTGGTTTGACAACAACTAAAGAAGTAAGTGGCGTCACAAAGTTGTATTTAATCGAGAGGTTGGTCGCTTTGTCCGTTAGTAACTTTTGCATAGATGGATCTGTGGCGTTAAGCTTTGCCAGAAGAAGTTCTTTAATTGTAGAGTATGCCCATAAACGGTTTACAAAAGTGGACATGCCTTCTAAATCACCAACACACCCATCATTGTCCGTGTCTTCTAAACTTGGCACTAAAACATCATTTTCAAACTTGACACGTTGCTTTGAATCAATGGCGCTCATTGCAACTTTAAAGTCCTTCACACCTGGTTTGACCCTACCAGCTACCACTAACTCCGATCCTTGAAAATAATTTGGAAATAGCGAGCAGGTTACGTCAAAAGCTTGTTCATCCAAGTAGGTTAGCTGGATATCTGATAGCAAAGGGCTAGCAACTTCATCATAGAATCCTTTTAGTTGCAATGCTGCATCTGCGTCTTCGTACACCATTCTAGCAACGCCGCGGTTATCAAGAGCCAGTCGTTTTAGCAAAAGGAAGTCAGCATCGTCCCCAAAAGCCAGTCCAAACAATGACGCAGAGCCAAGTGCTTTTCTAGCGTTGGTGAGGATGGTGTCGCTAGCGGTAACTCCTATTGTAGCTTCTCCGTCAGTGAGAAAAATGACCAACGGAACACGGCGGGAGGAGGGAGTGGTGAGAGGGCTGACGAGCTGAGCGGCAGATAGCAAAGCAGCGTTTATGTTTGTCCCTGGAAAAAAACACAAAAAACCTATCAACAACATCGTAAGGCTTTCTATATTCTACATTTTTTCTAAGGGCCTTTCAAGGTCTTTGGTTTCGATAAATGCACAAAACAACTTTTAAACATGTTTTCATCAAGCGAAAATTATGATAAAACCAAGAAACAAGAGAGTGTGTTCACAGTATTTGTTGGATTTTGAATATGAATCGTGGGCCAGATCAGATTGCTCGGGGGGCCTGATTTGGCCCCTGGACCACAAGTTGAATAGGTTTGATGTAAGGTACTATTTTGTGTAGCACTTGTAGCACTTCTCATGGTGGATTGGTCCACCGTCTGATATGCATTTCTTATTGTCATCTACCATTTATCAAAGATCACATTTTTACTTTATTTCTTACTTATATTGTTATTGTTTTTAAGTATTCATATAGAAAGTTACAATTACATAATTGTGCAGTCTATCCCCAGCTGAAAAAATATTTTATTGTTGGTACTGTAACTGCAACTGTAATTACAGTTCAGATGTTGCTAAATGGCACCATTCAAACTGTTCTTTTGAGTATCTTGAAACTAATACAATGCAACTTATTTTAGGTTTTAATTGTTATTAAGCTAATGTTGTTATTAAGCTAATGTACATTAGCTTGACATCCTTGGGATATGGTATTGGATACTATAAGATGGAGAAATAATAATCCTAACTAAGTAACTACAGTAAGAAAGTAACCATTATCGAGTCCTTTGTATTTAATTGAATTTCACTTACATCCTTCAGCACTGATCCTCTTGACAAATTCTCTGGCGTCTCGCACGTTTTGGCGCGTTGCCCGTACAGTCCGGCCTTTCCTCCAGGTTTGGACTCGGTCGGAAAATGTGATGATGTTAAAGTGGTCTCCTTCCCTCAGGTCGCCCAGAATCGTGCTCATAGCCTGTTTGGTCTAACGGGACGAGCCAAGACACTCAATTTAAAAAGTAATCGCTCTTAAACACTTCACATATGGTAATAAGTCATTATAATTATATATAACAGCACTTTTCTGGGACTAAGTTAGAGCTTAACAGTAAATGTGCCTTCAAAATGAGCTGGAGTTCCACCACCGTCCGAAGGCTCTGAAAGAAAAATCTTTATCTAAACTTGAAAAACATAGTTTGAGTATAGGAGAAAGGGAAAGACTCTAGAGCACCGCGATTTGTTCACCTGAGAATATCTAATGCAGACATTTATAAAGATCCACAGTGTGATTATAGTAGTCTAGCAACATTGGGTAAAACTGTGCTGGACAGTTGAGCTATTTCTGTCCTCCATTTGGCCTCACCATTTGGGAACTGTCAATACAAGCTTATGAATTTTGTTATTCTCCTTTGTCTCACCTGTTTTATCTTGGTGCCGATCATTGAACCACTGATGTCAATGACAAATATCACGTCCTTGGGGACCACAGGGAGACCTCTCGGAGCAAAGTAGTGCACAAAGTAGCCATTGAAAACCTAAGACAAATATATTCAATAGTTTTTGTATGTCTTCCTCACCACCCGATACTTTATTTTTCACACCAGACACACACAGACAAAATCAGATAAGACCTTCTAATCTGATTGTGTTTGATCAGTATACATGGCCAGTTTTCAGAGGGATTGTAATGAAAACAGTAATTTTCCATGTTTACTATGTCTGCATCTCTAATGGCATTATACATGTACACCCCTTCCTTTTTTGCATTCTCTCTTTTAATTCCACAACGCCTTCAATGGAGTTCCCCTGCAGCCAGCACCTGTATGTCGCCCATGATGTCACGCAGCTCCACGTCGTAATGCAGAATGAAGTCTGCGTTGATGCCTTGAGCAGAGACTGCGGTCTGCTGCTGAACACTGGGGCTGTAGTGGATCTGAGCACAGTGAGGACTCTTCTGTATCTGAGTGGAGGGCGGTGGGTCGCTGTCACCTGAAAGACATGGTCACTTCAGGGTTCCTAAAGTAATGGAAAACCTGGAAAGGTTACGGAAAATATAAATCAAAATTGGGGATATGTGTTGTCACTGATGTACTGTTTCAAGATTGAACTGAAGCAATTTTGGACATACAATATATGTATGGGACCTTCCAACAAGCATCCATTTCATATATACTGTACATACATAATGTATTGAGTGATTAGATGTGTGCATAGGGTTACCTTAAAAATATGTGTGAAAATTAATATTTGATTACTCTGGTGCGTTAGCAGGATGTACCATGTGCGTGGTTGAGCAGGCGGCTGGTCTTCAGGGGTAGGACTCTAATGAAGTTGATTCCAGTTTTCTCTGACAGAGTGATCTCCACTGTCATGTTGTCCACGGGCTGCCCTGGCCTCAGCCCCAGGCTCACCTCATATCTGCCCAGTCTGCGCATCAGCAACTCCTCATATGTTAAGAAGAAGGACAGCCGGACACCAGGGGGCGCACTGACTGCCACGCGAAACCTCTCGATCTCCCTCTCTCTAAACAAACACAAGTGACCTCCACAATGTGTCCAAATTAAAGCTCAATACAAGCTCTAAAATCTTAAGATCAGAAACATTCAGCCTAGGCTATAATGAAACAATATCAGTCCCTGTTACTATTTGATACAAAGGGGTCTGGGGTCTAATTTATAAAACTGTGTGGAACTCAAAATTATGTCTTGGGAAAAATCACTAGCAATAGTAGAGTACAGGGAAAAGAGGGAGAATTTCTCTGGGAGACAGATATAATCCAAGTAAGATAGATCTGTCAGAGGACTGGAACAAAAGAACTATAGAGGACCACTCTCTACTTTGGTATAAAGTAGCATCCTCTCCTTGGAGCCAGGTGGGTCACAAACTCTTTAGGATGAAAGTTCAAAGGCTGATAAGCTGTTGTTCTATGTCCCAATGTTATATTGGTACAAACGATAGCCAAACATTCATGCATGTGAGTACAACAACTATGGAACAAGTGGCGTAAGTATTTATTCAACCATATAAATTTTACCTGACCATCTATATTATATGTGTTTGGGTGGCATAGCAATATCGCTGTACCCAAACACAAAGCATTGAATATACACATTCACAATCCTGATCTAAAATTTGACAACCCAACAAAAGGAGACGGTACATACTTGGTGGCCACGAGCCCGGCGGTTCGGCCTTGCTTCTTTGCAGCATCATAGATTTTCCTGGCAGCCGCTCGCTCTTTGACCTGTGCCACATAAACTTTGCCGTTGGATGAACTGAAATCACAGTGGAAAAGGGATCAGAGTTACAGTGAGGCTTTATGTGAGTGACAGGATCCGATGATGTTACAGAGTTTGGCCTGTGCTCGGCTGCAGAGACCTGTATACGCCATAGACTGTAAATATTAAATATTATTATACGCTTATTTGTTTACAGTGGAATCCAGTCCCGAATGGAGCCTCTCCATCAATCTCACAGAGATACAGGAGCCTCTCCTGGTACAGATGGATGTTAATAATCAGTTATGTTTACATTAATGTTTGTCATGTCTGTCTTTTTTATAATCCCAATCAAATAAATAAATACAGATACAGATACACACAGCTTCAAAATTGAGTAGAGGCACTATTAGGAAGGACTTTTTTTAAGTCTATGTAGGCACTGGACTATTGTACAGACGTGAAACATGACTGAAATAACAGATAATTCTTGTATTATAGACTTATGACCCAGCATTTTCTCCTATTTATAAGACTCTACAATGGAGTGACTTGAATGCATTTTCTTAAACATTGAATGTTTGAATGAAATGTGTGCAGTTTCACATGTTAATGAAAAATGTCACATGACCAGAGCTGTTTACTTTGTATTTTGGCGTGGCCTTAGTAACTTTATTTTCATGACTTTAGTTGAGACACTTGTGTACAGAATTTTGTGGCTCTACGACAAACTGCACCGGGAGATTGTATTTTATGACAGTTACAATGAGTAATTACTCGTTGGGAAAGCAATAGGCCCTTACCCCAGTTGGGGCTCGGGCCTAATGAAACGATGAACATATTTTGGTGGTCTTGTCTTCAGACGTGTAAGGCCCACAGTCCTGATCACTCACTGCTCAATCATAGAACATTACCCATATTTAAAAAAAAATGCTTTAATCACATTTAGTACCTATAATAGACCAATGAATAAATTATCTATAAACATCATTATTGTTTCATAGGGTTACTATTGACTCATGTCAAAAAAGTAAGTTAGGTTGATATTTGTTATGTTATGTCAAAACGTTAAAAATTACAATAAATTTAATTTATTAACTAATAATTGCTAACGTTTTCACCCCCCTGAAACGGGAGGCCAAACCGATCCAACTAACCCTAACCCTAACCCAACTCTAACGTTTTAAAGACGCAGCGTCTCCGTATAAACGGGGCCTTAAAGAAGCAGTCAATTATATAAAAATGAGTTTTTATAATGCTGTGGGAAATATATCCCTAAACCCCAAAAGTAGTCAAGTTTTCATGTGTTTTCAAATAGGAATGGGCATGATCAGATGCATGTAGCCTCAAAAAATAAATCATAAATATTTTGGAGCGAACCGATATAGGAAGACGTTCATAAATGCTGCCGTTGGGTGTCAGCACAGATCTGACCAGGGACAGTGTTCGTGGAATGCACTGTATATGTTTTATTTCTGGCTCTATCACAGTGAAACCTTGTGCTTCAAAAACTCTTAAATGTATGTTTGTTTTGTTTACTAAGTTCATGCAATGTGATAAGTAGGTGTGGGGTCATAAAGACTAATTTCCTTTCACAAACAGCAGCAGTAAAGGAGTGACACAGGCTGCGGCTGATGACGGAGTGAGGGATCGCCAGTGGAGCGCCACACCCTCAAAGATCACATCTGCACCCACAGCACTGCCTGTCTGCTGCTGCTTCTAAATAACTTTGGTATTTCATGTTTCAATTCTGATTACCATGAGGCAGGCCTTTTCTGTCATTATGTTTCTTATATTACTAGGGCGCAGCAAATCTTAATTTGAAAACAATACTTACATTGGGTGCACAACACATTGGGTTGAGTGTCATACAAATGGATTCCAACCCTTTGCCCCAAAAAGGTAGATTCATATTTCATATTTGTGGTGATGTTGTGCCGCGCAATAATGGAATATGAAAATCAGTTTAAAGGCAGGAAAAGGGCCGACTATTGTGTCACACACATGACTGAGATGGTTGATTTTTCATTACACTGGAGCATGTTTTCACACCTGCGTCCTAAAAGTATCCTCCTTGCTGTTTTTTCTTTAAGAATTTTTAAAGATACGAGAGATCTGGTGAAAGCTACAAGCTATTTATCAAATTGTCTCTGTCTATCCTTTTTTCATGCATTGATCCCATTGGATTGAATGTCTAACCATTAGGGATGCACGATAATATCGGTGTCCGATAATTATCGGCAATTATCGGCAATTTTGACGTCCAACCGATAAGTTCGATAGTAAGAAATCAACCGATAAAATGCGCCGATAATAGCAAAGACAAATCATCTCCGTTTTGCCTCTGAGCAGTCTGTCGTGGCTCGCGCTCCATGCTCTCTCCTCAACCCCCTCCACTCCGTAAGGGAATGTCGCATATTTGTTGCGTCACCAAGCCGCGCTCTTGTTTACAAAGAAAAAGCATAATGGCGTGGCAGTCACCAGTGTGGGGATTTTTTTCCGTGTCTGACCAAGACAACTCTCTCGCAGTTTGCAAAACGTGCTCTGCAGAAGTTCCACGTGGATGAAAAAGGTCGACGGGCTTCAACACAACAAATCTGATAAGTCTCAGAGGCCACACTCCCCATGAAGACCCAGACTCTGACACCATTGGACTTTTGGGCAAAGAACAAAAGCCGTTTTCCAGACTTGGCCCAGCTTGCGCGGAAATACCTGTCTGCCCCTTGCACTAGCGTTGACAGCGAACGCTTATTTTCTGCTGCTGCAAATGTAATGGATGAAAAACGAAACAGGTTAGGATGTGAGAAGGCAGAGATGATACCCTTTGTTGAGAAAACTCTACCACTGATCCGATTTTTTGAAAAGTTATGTTACTTGTTGCTATTTTGCTAATGTTATACATTGAATATTATGGGCCTATTTCTATTGGCCTCATTGTTCTACTTAGTAGTAGTAGTAATAGTAAACTTACTTCATAAGTTCTACTTAATATATTGCACTGATAAAGCCTTTGAAGCAAGAATATAAATTAATAAATTCCAACTTTTTGCTCTACAAAGTGATTCATTGTTATATGTATGGGTCAAAAATAAAGCAGGAGATAGGTTTGTATTAAAACTAAAGTCAATTAGGCAAAGAATTATTGGCTGACATTATCGGTTATCGTTATCGGCAGACATACAATTATCGGTTATCGATATCGGTTCAAATTTGCATTATCGTGCATCCCTACTAACAATGATAAAAAATTTGCCTAAAGAAAAGAACTGCTCTAAAAGAGCACATCTTAGATAAAGATAGAGCTTAAACCAGCAGAGAATAGTTCAGTGCAAGTATCTTGAGATCATGACCCTTGATCAGAATGAGAAAAGCCATATCTAATATTCAATAAACATTTCTTTATAAAGAGTTTCACGTTCTTAAACATGAACACGTAAAAATAAAAGTAAGAACACAAAAAGTCATGCACATTAGATAATCTGTTTTTTTTTTTTGTGAATGCGGGAAAAAAAACAGATGTTTTTTGCTTCTTAAGATCACCAATTAGAGCAACATGATCATGTGTGAGAGTAAGGTCAGACCCTGGAAAAATCATGTCCAGAAAGAGAGGGAAAACAAACCACAGTGTGAGTGTGTGTGTATGTGCACGCGTGTATGTATGTGTGCGTGTACTAATGTGTGCATGCATGTGTATGTGTGCGTGTGGATGTGTGGGGAGGGGTCTGGCATTGAACAGAGAGAGCACAGTTTAAGCAGAACAACCAATGTGACACGCAGCCACCAAAGGGCTTTTCCTGCAGATGAAAGAATTCAGACTCAGACCCCCAGAGTCTGACTGAAGCAGACAGTGAACGTCAATAGATAATGAGCCAAGGTTGCATGGACAGGGAAGTCTGGGCTTCTTTGCTCAGACTGCTGCATCCACGACCGGCGATCCTAATAATGCGATCCTCAGCGTTAAAACAAAACAGGATAATAATAAGCTTCTCAGCCTGTGTCCCTGCCCTGGCCTTGGTCAACTGGCCAAGAGGAAAAATAGGCATCAGGTTAAAAACAGTCTATTAGCGTTTTGCTGGAAGTTCACAAAGCTCTGCATTCATGAGGCGCAGTCTGCCCCCTCCTGACCTGCGCTAACTGTACGGCCGTGCCACTGTTGACTTATCTTTGTTTATATTTAGAGTTTCTAAAAGCCCAGACGTTCCAAGTCGCCTCGTAATCAAACAGGTGCCGGATTTTGCTTTTCCCTGTAAAGCATGTGAAGTCTGATCTGATGCTTTTAAAGGGACATGTGGGACAACATCTCCAATGTATTTGACCAAAGACATTTGGTTCACTTATGTGATCGGAGGTTGATTGATATGCTCTATCTGTGGCCGATGCTCATTTGTTCAAATGCCCAAAGCCCAATTTGACCGATTTCAATGAGTCCCTCCTCTTTAAATCTTTGGAAAGGCAATTGGATTTGATTCAACATGACTGGGGTTTGGTACTAATGCCACTGCATCTGTGATTGTTTATTGTATACAATTGTTTTTACATCAGGGAGGTATTTTGAACAAATAATTACTTTCATTTAATATGGTGGTGGATTTCATTTCCTGGTAGGTATTGCATCCAGCACAATTGTGCAGATACATCTCTTTGGATTCTGCTCATCCAAGTGCATTTGTGGAGTTACTGATTTTTGAAATCCTGTGAAGTGTGATAATAAACACTGCTATGTCCTTTGGGGACGATCATAATATCAGAACCTTTAAACATGGTGCGTAATAAACATTGCATTATATTCAAGAACTGCAGTTTAATCACCATGAGCAGACGCAGACTCACATGGTGAAGTTGGAGATGAATGCAGCAGAAGGCAGGTCCACTTCGAAGGCGGCCTCTTTGGTCACAGAGAGCTGGTTCCACACAGAGCTCTGGATGGAGGTGACGGCGTAACGAGAAACCACAGAGCAGCGCACATGGTACTCTGTCACCTTCAGCTGCACAAATCACATGTTTGATTGAAGACTTGCAACTTAAAGTGTGCTACAATGGAATGGTACACTTCATGTAAAGATATTTTTTTTCTGAAAGACCCAAATCATTTATTTTATTTTCAAAAACAATTAGTAGTAATTCAGCAAAGATATGAATAGAAATATGTAATATGAATAAGTAGAACTGTAACAATTTTCTTCAGAAAAACCTAAAAAAAATAATCCAACCCATATTCAATACAAGCAATTATATAACAATACTTCTACAATGTAAATCCAGTATATACACATAATTAACCACAGATACATTGGTTTTTATTCACGTTTTCCTCTTCCTCCATTCTTTAAAATTCTCAATATCCATCCTGCATTTGGTAAGCATTTGAGTAGCAGTAGTAGTAGTGTGGATGCATTGGGCAATACGCAATATATCAACTGTCTTGATTTTCTCATAAATCATGATGTAGGATGAAGAACTTTTGGCTGAGCAGCTGTTGTTGTCATAATGGCAATCACAGCTCTTCTTGATTATCGCACTTCCTGTTCACATCATGGCAGAGCTCTAAAAAAAATGTATGTAATTTTTCTGTCAATTTTAGCCTGGCTGATCACACTAAAGAGGGACAGATTCTACCATCAGCTCTGAAACCCATATAAGCGTGCGCCACAATGCAAGTAATGCAAAGGAGTGGGTATTACTGTCTGGATTTGAACATATGCTGATCAAAAACACAAGGTTTAGTAAACATGTTAAGACACTTCTACTTTTGCTCTAGCTTCTGCTATAGGTGATGGTGAGGTGTTGTGTAACATTCAAACAGGTAGCAACAGAAACTATTCATAAAATGCAGATTTTTAGCATCAGGGGATGACTTACCACTGGTTTAGTTGGTTTACTTTGCCGTTTGACCCTCTGGAAACAATATATACAAATCAAACAACCACAAAACAATGTTGTCCTAGTTATGACACTGTTAATAATCCATCTATAGTCAGGTCCAAGATTATCCAAATACATCAGTCTTTACGCATGTCCTGAACTGCTCCCTTGAGTCCAATCAGTGTGATGGGACGATTGAGTTTAACACTTGTTGGTTCAACCCACCTTAAGCTTAAGTGCAAACAAATGACTTGGTCTGACCCTGTTAAATAAATTTCACATGGATTTATATATTCACAGTGCTGCACGATTCAGAATTTCATTTATCTCCTTTTTCACCAAATCTAACTGTATTGAGACATCTTCCTCAAAACATAGCTGCAGTAAATTATCTAAATCCTTAACTTGCTTTAGAGTACATGCGTCTGGCGTCCTCCTGGCACTAAACTAGTGTGTTTCTGCTCCAAAACAATCTTTATTCTCACTGCTATGTCTGTAAAACACTTGTGAGACTGGTGGATGCGCTGCAGTCTCCCTGTCTTCACTGAAGGCTCTCCTGAGATAATGGATACATTCTATGGGCACGGCACATTTTTTAAACACACAAACTGATTGTGAGTTTGAATCTCCACTAATGCTTCATATGTTTGTCTAGACAAACACATGTCACATACTTTTAATTAGTGCAATTGTTATTATGCATTTTCTGGTTTTTTACTAATACAACTTTAATTTCCTTGTGTTTCACTACATGTGGATACACTTTGAATCTTTGAACAGAGTCAGACTTTTTGAGGGTGCCTTGTCGATCAAAAAAGAGGCATTGCCTGAAGGCCTGGTTCTTGCATCAATCATTATATTAAACTACCCAAGTGACATCAACTTCATCATAGTAAAAACCCTGTAAAGGTAAAGGTAAAGGTGCACTTTATTAATCCCCGTAGGGCAATTCAATCCTCTGCATTTGACCCATCCTGATGCCGCAAAGGCTTACGTCAGGAGCAGTGGTCGCCGTTGTACAGCGCCCGGGAACCCATCTCCAGATGTTGATGCTTGGCTTGGTCAGGTCTACCAGAGCTGGAGGATTTATCCTATGAGCATGTTTTTAGTGGTAGGGGAAACCGGAGTACCCGGAGGAAACCGGGTACTGCGGTTTCCTATGAAAGGTTTCCTAAGGAACTGAGTTCCTTCCTATGGATGAAACAACTAAAAATGCATGAGGTCAGTTTTTGCTGGAGGAAAACAAGCATGGATAAAAGAATACTTCTGCGGAATATGTAAACTCTATAATAGTGTCATTTAGCATTGCACTGGGGACTTGCACCTCCTCCAGTATTGTTTTGTGCTGATTTTATTTCGGTAATCCTCACAGCAAGCATTCAGTGAGATTCGGTGTCAAAACAGAGTGAATCAAAGCCATTCATGAATGCGGAGGGGAAGTGTGGCTTTGGACATAAATGTGTTCACTGTATGTGCAGCCAAGCAGGCGGCACAGGCACAAGTCCGGCCTGTGTCAATATATTACACCATAACCTACACTTTATATCCAGAATGGACTCAAATACTGCAAACTCTCATTTCACATTTCTGCAGTTTCTTCAGACTTCTATAACTGTGTGAGCGACCTCTGAAAAGCAGCATACATCATATTACAAAGATACGTTCTTGATTTGAAATTGACTCATTCTCAACAGACATGTCGTCTTTTTCTTGAGGCATGTCACATAAGCGCCCTGTTTAACGCCATTCTATGCCAGAGTGGAAGCTTTAAGAAGTACGTTGTCATGGGAACGAGGAGAGGAGGCCCTACTATGGAACAAGTACAAGTTAGGTTTGTGGAGATGCAAGCACACTTACAGTTAGTAAGGACACATGTTTAATGGCCCAAGTTCAAGCAGTTTCTTAGTTTTAGCTTAACACAGTTAAGTGTTACTTGGTTTCCCTTAGTCAAGTAAAAATCTGTTGAATTTATGTAGCACCTGGAAAACCAGAAGATTAGCTACTATTTTCTTCTTTCATGTTTTAGGTCAGTTATTTTTACATCAATTATTCCCAGTGGCTTATTGGCTTATTATGTGTGTGGAATACTTCTACAAAATCAGACGTTTTAATTCAGATTATCTGAATATTTCAGGAAAATAAACAAATAGTATGGCTTTGCCCCGTGCGTAAACGTACACTTTCCATTGTCCTATCACATGGTTTATTAATATTACCTCCATTATTGTGTATAAGACAGTTTCACTTACTTTTCAAAGACTTAACACGTGTTTGTTTGTTTTGCTACAGATGTTTTGGTTGTTTTGTCTAAAAGATGGAAATAACCATATTTCTTGTATAGATACATTAAAAGTAGTTTACCTGTAGTAGTAGTGGGTCTTCCAGCCGCGCCATGTACTGGTGCGCAGACACAGCACTGATGCAGACAATCATCAAGAGTAAAGTGCAGTGAAACAAAGAGTCCATTAAGTCCATGATCGAGATTAAACAAAACTAGTGCAAAAGAAGCCGTGTGTGTGTCCAGCACCGTCACGTTGTCAACATGAAGAGAGCATTTCATTAGCACGGGTCATCTCCACAGGTAAATGACGGTAATCCTCCTCCTCCTCCTCTTCTTCCTCCTCCTCCTCGGGTTCAAGTCACTAACAAGGAAAAAGAGGTCAGAAAGTGAAGTTGTCCCAAGTTGAAATCCTGAGGTTAAATATAGCAGTGTGGAGGCTGCGTCCGTCAGAACCGCTGCAGAGGAGTTGTGTTTGCGCATAACTTCACATTTCACATCAGAGAAATGAGGATTTAACCCGTGACACACCAGAGCCCAGCCTCACCGCCCGCTCAGCCAGAGGTCCAGTCTCCCCGGAACCACGTTTTTATACACAACATACACGGAGTAGACAAGCAAGCACAGGCTTTAAAGGTTCTTTTAATAAGACAAAAAAGTTAAGAAAAGAAAGCTAGTACTGCGTAATTACCTGACATGTTTCTATTCTTTTCTTTGTCTTATCAAAAGAACCCTTAAAGCCCTAAACATAAGAAAAAATGAACGTTTTACATTTAAGCTAGCACAGGCCTGGTGAACTTGAACATCTCTCAATCAGGCCCTGCGGTTGGATCCTGGACATGGCTAATTCAGAATAATTTATACAGTTTTTTTTTTTGTTTAGTCTACTGGGTTATTAAGTACAAACTCAGAAAAACTGGTGCAAACCGTGGATCTATTATTTTACAAACTGCAAACATTATTTGGACTGGACTAGACCGGTTAAGGCTGGTTTGGACTGACCATAATACATCCATGGGACTGACTTTGAACTGGTTGTTCTGAGGTTGATTCTGAGCAGGTTACGGACATGTACCTGATTTGGCCACAGTTAAATACACATACATTTATTCTTATAAAATTACAAAGGCAAAGTATTAGTAAGTGAAAGTCACACCAGAGTGTCCAACTTATCAAATGTTCAAAACAATAACATTTGTGACATTTACATCTATTAAAAAATAATGTGTTCAGAGAGACAAAGATAAAGTAGTAAGTATTTAAGTCATAGATAAATACATTTAATACAATGAAACAACATATGTTTTAATAAAGTCACAGTGATGCATTCTGAACCCGTCGTCTGTGATCGAAGAGATGGCAGAATGGAAAAGTGAATCTGTAAATTGACAATGAATCAGAGCTGGAGCATCAGATAGATGTTTTGTAGCTTGCTTTGATAAATCATCTACAGTATAACCATCCTCATCTTTACACCGTCTTACAGTAAGAGAAAAAACTGCATAGGTGACAAAAGAACAGTTGACCATTGTTCTACATGAAGTAATTACAGTTCTATTCTCAGAATATATTTTTAGTTTCCCACATGGTCTCACTAAAAGCATTCAGGGTTTGAAATAGGTTGCTGCTCACACAAAGAGCTACTGTAGTCCACTGAGCACTGACTCGACATAAAGTATAATATTCTCAAAAGAGTAAAAATGCTTTGAAACGTGCTGTCGATAATAACTTTCACTTGAGTGCAATTTTGGCTGCAGTCCTTGTGCTGTTATATGTAGTATAACATATTCAAGTTCATGTTTAGGAAGGATGAAGCAATAATAATGAACACAGTCTGGTCTCAACACACTGAGTAAAATACTGGAGTCTACACATTATTTTGTACTTTTGTAACTTACTTTGGAATTACCCTGTATGAGTTGTGCTATATGGATAAAATCACCTTGCCCAAATCTCAATATTTGATGTAAAAAGCACAGCTATTGTCTCCCATTTTGATAATGACTTAGCAGCAGCATTCTGTCAAAATCCCTGTGGGGACATTTGTTTTCCTCTGCATTTGACCCATCCCTCCAATTTCACTAATGGCAATGGACAGAAAAACAGAATCTTGACCATTTAAAAACAAAACTTTTAATAAACAAACTGCAAACATCTCAACATAACCTTACAAACTGTAGAAGAACCACACACATTGGACAGTAAATTCACAGTCAGATTTTAGTGCAAATTTCCCCACCGTGACGAATAAAGGATCTGTTAATCTTAAGTGCATCATCAACATGTATCCTATTGGCAATGGCAAGGCTTTCCTATCATATATTTACATATTTTGTAAACAGTAGATTTAACTGTGTAAAATTAAGGTGCAAAAGAAAGGTTAGCTATAATATTTAAGAATTTAGCTAAAAACAATAATATACAACACATAAAATAACAAAATACAATTCCATGACTGTTTCCTTGCACATAAATTATCATTCGTCAATTTTAAAAAATGGGTGATTGGTATCATCCTTTATAAGTGTGTGTTTTGTATTTTTTTTCACAAACTGTGACATATGGGATTATATTGCTCTTGTAGCAAGAGCAAGAGGGATCATCTTAACCCTTGTGCTTATCCTCGGGTCAAATTGACACACCACAGTGATTAAAAAGTACCCTAAATAATTTTCTTGGGTCTTTTAGATCCTTATTTAGGGTATTTTTCTTCTACTTTTTATCACTCTGGCGGGTCATCTAGTAATTGGAAACATAAAATATTGCTGTAATCCATATTACATCAGTTTACTTTGTTCCACCTCTCATTACTCGATGACATTCTGGGACCAAACGAGTTGAAACAAAAGACACCAAACTCATAATGGTCCGAGTAACGACAAATTATTAAGACAAAACTTTCAAAACTGCAGCTTGCTTTAAATGTGGTATTATTCCAACAGATAAAGTCAAAATTGGACCATCATAAAATCCGGTCAAAGCAATAAACACATGAAGGACTCAAAGTAAACAGCAGGGGGGGCAGTGGAGTCTGCTGGGGCTTGTGTCTGTAGATCCAGACTCAGATGTGATCAGGGACCGTCTGAAGAGCATCCTCCGGGTTTCTGTTCACATTCACATTCTGTAAATGCACATTTGGACAGATAAGATTATACATAAGCTTTTCAGGAATGTGAAGTCCTGAAACTTCATAAGACATATGTCTAAAAACGCAAACATAAAAACATAACCTAAAAATATGTAAGAAAGGTGAAGAGAAGTGTTTGTGGTGCGCCTTGACCTTGGATAGAAAGAGGCACTTTGCTGTCCCGCTTGGTTTCTATTGAAAACTTTGGTTTTCTTAGCTTCAAATGATGTTGTGATTGGCTGATGCAGGGGTATTCCACTTGCATTCTTTTGCATGTAAATAATATGACAAAGGAATAAGTCACCCGTTAGATATTTAACTTCTACATCCTCCTTTCCCTCAGCAACAGTCCGTTATCCCAGTTATAGTGATGGTGATTTAAAATCAATTCAAAGTTCATGTAGTAATCTGAATTATCTCAGTAGTTGAGTAGTTACATAATCTAATGCAAATGTCCATCTTTTATGTGCCTAATACATCTTCCAAGCTTATCATGATGGTCAACTGAAGGTTGTGGAAACTCATTAATTATCAAAGCTATTGAGCGCCAGAGATGTATATTACAAAGGACCACAGGGGCGTGACGTTTTCATTACTTTTGAGCTGCAAATTATGTACTGATATTACAATCCATCTGACGAGTTCCTCAAATTCAAAACTGATTTGGTTCATAACTAGTTTTCATACGCATGTATTCTTGGCTTCTAAGTATACAGAAGATGTAGATAGCATGTTGCACTTTGTTCACAAGATTTAACTTTTACAAAAACTCAAGCCTTTAATAAAAAATGAAAAGCTAAAGTCTATCAATAATATAATCAGAGCCTTGTGGTCATTGCGGCTGAGTGAGTGTTGCTTGTGTAACTCACCCCTGGCTTTTCTCTGTGGGTGTTGACGGCTTCGATGTTGAGGTAAAAGGACTCCACTTTACATCCTGTGGTTGAACAACAGTCAGGATGTTCGTTCATTGTTTGTAATCCATGTAATACTCACCGTAGGCTATAGGGGTCAGCTTGAGCACTGTGTGAAGAGGGCATCGCAGGTACGGCAACTTATCTGCACAGGGACAGACAATACACACCTTATTCCCACGGCATAGTATATGTTTAGGTTGGTTTTCATTTGCAAAAAACAGGTGGCTTCCAAACACATTTTTTGTTGATGTTTTTATATTGTCTTGTGTTATGTGTTCACCAATAATGATAATAATTTATTGGCCAAATTTGCCAAAAGGCCAAAGCCTGTTAATAAATTAAGGTTTTGATATCCAAAGGTTTTACAATTTTTCTTGCAAATGGTTGGTCTTAAATAAATAATCCAGAACACAGATAACTTGTAGATTGCACTAAATACTTATACTACTCATGACTGAAAAAGTGTAAAATTGCACCAAAAAAGTTCCTTATCAACATTACATACGTTTTCTATCCGAGATCTGTTTTGGGACTGTACTTACATAATTATTCTATACAGTATAATTTCAAGCATCATTTCTCATATCATAGTGAGGTTAATTGAAGTGTACATGTTTGTTTTTCAGATTGTTGTGTCACCTGCAGGTTTGTCGAGGAAGTAGGCGAGCAGACACCTCATCACAGCCTGATGACACACAACCAGAACGTTCTCCTGCCGCTCCAGCTCCATGATCACAGGCTCCAGACGGTGGACCAGGTCTTCATACGACTACAGGGACCAGACAGGGTAATACACTCACACATATATTCATATAAAACACATACTCTTACACATGTGCATTCGCTCACCTCTCCTTTGGGATAGCGGTAGCGGTATTTGTCCTGGTCCCTCAGAGCAAATTCCTCTGTATGATGCTCCTGGATCTCCTCGTACGTCATCTCCTCACACACTCCCTACAACAAAGGCCAGTACACATGAAAAGACCATTAAAACCCAATCTTCAACGTCTTGTAATTAAGTCTGTGTGTAGAAAAGATATGTAATGAGTAATCAGCAGCAGTTTGATTTGAAAATAGGGCCGCCACCACCACCATCTCCTGGTGTCAGAAAACCCATATCCAATATGCAACTAGTGTAAGCATGCAGTTGTAATGAAAATAATTTGACTGCAAAAATGCTCAGAATAAATTTGGAGATAATACATGTGTTTCTAAAGGCAGAAAAGACCTCTGCTTGGGCCTCTTTTATAAAGGGTGCATACAGTACGTACTAAACAGTTACTTTTTGTGATCTAAAAAAAGACAACTTGACTTAGAAATGAGAGAACTGGTCTAAACAATCTGAATATTGCTATTTGTTTAATTTTTTATATGGACCTTAAGTTTTATAAATAGGACCCCAGCTCTGTCTGTGACATGACAAGATCTGACATGTTCAACACAGAGCATTATGAGGGAGAGGGAATGAGTTTGTGCAGGTCTGTTACTGATATTGAATTTGCATTGATTTCCTTGTGGCAGTAAATGAAGTGTACACTCACAGCGTCAATCTCGTTGAGGGCCTTCCACTGCTCGTAGGGGACCCCCAGGGTCTCCGCAGTCTGGATTGTCCTCTTCATGTGACTCGTCCAAACCTTCAGGTCTTTGATGTTCTGGTTTCTGATGAAAGTTGCCAGTGCAATGGCGTACTACACAGAAGAATCAGGGAATCACTTTACAGAGGAATGACAAGCAGAGGTGTTTAATGTAACTATACGCTGAGCTCAACACACATTGTTGGGGATATGAACTGTGTTAAGATCATTTGCATATTCGTACTCTCAAGGACACTTTCAACTTTCAAGGACACTGGGAATACAACAGTTTTTCCTTTTCCACGGATACTTTCATCACGATAAGAGTAAAGGGAAAAATAAAGCTTATTGGAAGCATGGCCTGGAATGATGAAAAGAGCATGGTTTATTAATGCCTTTTGACATATAAGGGCCATTTAATGAAGACTTGACATGAAAATCTTACATATGCTTATTGGAAGCATGGCCTGGAATGATGCAATCAGAATTAACCATCATAACCATATCCCATAATCTCAGCATCTGTCCTCAGCCTGGTACCTTCTCTCCTCGGGGGGACAGCCCAGAGTCTCCTCCGATGCGTCCCACCAGGTTGAGTTGGCTCTCCCCGTGTCGGCTGAGGTAGATGGAGCGCGGAGTCACGTGGATGTTCATCAGATAATACACAATTCTGCTCTGGAGGTGGTCCTGCACGCGGTTCACCAGGTAACGGACCCCCACGTCATAGATCTTTATGTACGACAGCTTTCTGAAACAAGAGACATTTTTGAGCATGTTTTCTTCTCATCCACTGAAGTTAAGAGTGATATAAGTATGTTGTGGTCATCTGTAGTCTACTGTTAATGTATGTACTGTATTACAGTCGAGAGTGCAACCTCGTCCGTAGAATCTACAATTAGAAATAATTGTAGTTGCGTATTAATGGAGTTGAAAGTGCTTATAATCTTGAATATTTTCTGTAAATCAGAGATGTTAAAAGTACTAGTCTTAGGTTCCTAAGTAAAAGTAATGATACCTGTATACAAGACAACAAAGTATATCCTTCCCTTTATTCAGTGTAAAGACTTTTGCCTGTACCTAAAGTTGTATGGTAAAATTCCTTTTTGTTTTATTTTGATTTATTGTCAGACCATACGTTTATGTAAACCAGTGGAAATATTTGATACTGGCAGAGAACATAGCAAACAAAATATATAGAACTTAGAAGCATGGCTAACCACAATTAATCAACTTAAAGAAATATAAATGCATAATAAAAATGGTTAACCATTTATATTATGTTAAATGCAAAGTAACAAAGTCATTTTAAATTGCAAGAGTAGAATGTAGGGATTTTTGCGTTTAAAAGTAAGGTCCAAAAGTGTAACGCTGTGGTCAGAGAAATTGAGGCGACATTTGTGTTTTGTGCTGATTGTGTTTGTGTGGTTTATATATTTTTGCTTGAAATTCACTCTTTTTTTAAGGTCTGATACTGATACCATGGGAAAAATACTGAAGTTCTGCTGTAAATACAATGTGAGTATTTAAGAAAGGACAAATAGCATGGCTAAGACCTCTTCTGTTAGGAGTCACCTGTCCTTTTCGTCGTCGATGGGCATGTAGCTGGCTCTGTAACAGTCTATCCTCTGAACAAAATCCTCCATCGCTTCATCAAATTCACAATCCGCGTAGTCTGGACTCCCAAACTTCACTTGCTGAAATGTGAAATCTAACATAAATTTTATCTTCAAATGCATTGCTGAAAGAAAGTAAAAGATTCATCTCATTGATTACCTTAATATTTTCTGCAATAATTTCAGGGTCTTCGCAGATAGATTCAACAAAAAACACCTAAAGCATGAACAGAATTATATTGAGTCTTGTAGCGATTGAAAATAAAAGCTATGAGTTATGAGTCTTGCCTTGTATCCTCGCTCTTTGGCAAAGTTCAAAATGAGGGTTCGTCGTTCTCTAGTCGTGTTAGTTGCGTCAAATACCTGAAGACACCAAAGAGCATCAACTTTAGCCTTTACACTTGTGCGTGTGTAAAAATCATTAAAATAGGATATTGATTTATTTCTAACTAACTCACGGCCACTTGTCCCTGTTCTTTTGAGAAAAACTCAGAGACGTCTTTCAGGGCAGCTGCTGCACAGGCCCTGGGGAAAATTGCACACTTGTAAATAGATTATTAGGACTTCATTTTTTATTCCCCTGTGAGATACGTTTTAAAATTGCAGTTATTATAATCCAATCCAAGCCACTTTATTTATATAGCACATTTTATAAAACAAGTTTCCAAAGTGCTGCACAGAGATAAAATCAACACATTTAAATATGTGCAAAGTAAAAACAATACAAATGTAATTAATAAAAACAATAAAATACCAGTAAACTATAAACATGTGATAAAAACAATAAAATACTAGTTATCCGATTTAAAAAGAATAAATAAATAAATAAAAACAATAAAACAAATAAAACAAAATAAAAATAGGACCACACAACTCACGCAGTGTTAAAAGCCAGAGAGTAAAAATGTGTCTTAAGACGAGACTTAAAACATTCCAACGAGGGAGCAGTTTTGACGTGGGGGGGCAGAGCGTTCCAGCTTTGGTCCAGCCACAGAGAAGGCCCTGTCCCCCCGAGTTTTAAGCCTCGTCTTAGGCACCACGAGCTGGAGCTGGCCCTCGGACCTCAGCGCGCGGGGTGGGTGATAAATTTGAATTAGGTCCGAGATGTAAGGAGGGGCCAGTCCGTTCAAAGCTTTAAAAACAAACAATAAAATCTTAAAATCAATTCTAAAATAAACAGGAAGCCAGTGCAAAGAAGCTATAAAACCGGTGAAATGTGTTCACGTTAAAAGCCGTGCCGCGGAGTTCTGGACTAACTGTAAGCGGTAAAGTGCCTTCTGTGAAATCCCAGTGTAAAGTGCATTACAGTAGTCCAGACGTGAAGAAATAAAAGCGTGCACGACTTGTTCAAAAAGTTTAAAGGATAAAAAAGGCTTTACCTTAGATAAAAGACGAAGGTAATAAAAGCCTGATTTCACGACTGTGCTGATCTGCCTGTCAAAGTTAAAATCACTGTCCATGGTGACGCCAAGGTTGGTGGTAAAGGGATGGACATTATCCCTGAGGGTGCCCAGGTCCAGTAGGGGATCCGTGGGCCCAAACAAAACAATATCCGTTTTCCCCTCATTCAGGCACAGACATTTTTTGGCCAACCAAGCCTTGACGTCACCAAGGCAGTCCAGCAGGGGTGTCAGGGGGCCCTTTTGTTTCTTGGAGATGGGCATATAGATCTGGCAGTCATCTACATAAAAGTGGTAAGCAATGCCATGCTTTCTAAAAATACCACCAAGTGGGAGGAGGTATATAGAGAAAAGGAGTGGGCCAAGAATAGAACCCTGGGGAACTCCACAGTGTAAAGGAACGGCAGAAGAGGAGGAGTCCCCTAGCCTGACAGTGCAGGACCTCCCAGACAGGTACGAACTGAACCAGTCCAATGCAGTCCCCCTGACACCCACACAGTCTTTCAGGGGGTTTAAAAAAGTTGTATGGTCCACTGTATCAAAAGCTGCAGTCAGGTCTAAAAGCACTAAAATGGCAGAATTACACAATCTGCCATTAAAAGAAGGTCTTTAAAAACCTTTAAAAGTGCAGACTCTGTACTGTGCAGGGCTTTGTAGTCTGACTGAAAACATTCTAAAATGCCATGTTCGTCCAAATAAGGCTGTAATTGCGATAAAACACACTTTTCTAATATTTTAGCTAAGAATGGCAGCTTTGAAATTGGCCGAAAATTAGCAACATTAGAGGAGTCTAAACTAGGTTTCTTGAGGATAGGCTCAATAACAGCCTGCTTACAAAAAGAGGGCACAATTACAGAAATAAAACTGCTTTTTACAATGTGACACACACATTGTCCAATTGTTCCCCACACCTCCTTAAAAAGCTTCGGAGGAACAGGGTCTATCGGGCTAGAAGAAGCTCGCATTTGATTCACCAATTTTGACAGTGACCCTAATGACAGACTCAAATTTCATAAAAACAGTTGCTGAGCAGCTCGTTCTCATTGAAGCATCGCAAGAAGGGATCACTAAATTTGCCCTAATTAAAGCAACTTTCTCAAAAAAGGTTAGAAATTGCGCGCATTTTTCAGACGAACGGATTTAAAACAGACCCAATCGTTTGAAATAAAAGACAAGAATTTTTGGTATTTGTTGTTACCAATTCTGTAAAATATTTGACCTGCTCTTCTTTCACTATCTTTTGGTACATTTTCCAGCTGTGATTTAAAATATCGTAAGACATATGTAGCTGGTCTTTCCTCCACTTTCTTTCCGCCTGTCTGCACCTGCGCCGAGCCTCACGTGTGGTGGTGTTTATCCACGGCACAGGTTTAACAGTAGGACGCATGGCTCTCTGTGGAGCAACCAAGTCAAGGACTGAGGAACACGTATCTATGAAGGAGTTCGTCAACTCCTCTGTGTTCTGAAGTGCCAAACCCCCCAAAACAGACTGTACATTTGTAATAAAAAGAGGAGAGAATGATGCTGCTGTATCTGGTTTAAGGGTGCGGCAGTAACACACAGGACCAGGCAGTTTCCCATGATCCAACACAACATTGAAGAAAACAGGACAGTGATCGGATAGAATAGCATCACCTATAAAAACGCCATCAATATGTAGATTACATGAAATCACCAAATCTAAAGTGTGACCATGCAACTGAGTGGGTCTATCAACATGTTGCACAAAGTTAAAACCATCTATAAGTTCAATAAAATCTTTAGCCATAGGCCTAGAGGGGCAACAGACATGAAGGTTAAAATCTCCAGCTATTAATATCTTATCATAGCTAGTCAGAATTGGGGCTATAAACTCAGACAAGTCGCTGATGAAGTCCTTGTTATACTTCGGTGGTCTGTAGATCACCGCGCAAAACACGGGATCATTTTGCCCCAGTTCAAAACAACTCATTTCAAATGAAGTAAATGAGTCTGTTGTTAGCGGCTGTTCTTAAAAACTGACACAATGCCACCTTCGCGTCCAGTGGATCTTGGCGCATCAATATAAGCACAGCCCGGCGGAATCATTTCAGAAAACGGGGCAGACTCACCCGCCCGAGTCCACGATTCCGTCAGGACAAGTACATCCAGTGCGTGCGTAATGAAGAAATCCTGGATGATAAATGTCTTATTCACCACGGATCTCGCGTTTAAAAGTGCACATTTAAGCGGTGCCTGGAGTGCGACAGCCCCAGGTATGGCCCGAACCACAGGACGAAGGTTTGTGGAGTCTGCGCCTCTCAATCCACGGTGACGACGGGACAGGCCACGGCGCGGGGGGTCTGGGGCAGGGCCGTTTCAAGATATTTGGGGGCCCTAGGCAAAAGAGTGAAGTGAGGCCCCATGTCTTTGCTCGGAATTTTTTTTTTTAAATCAGATGGAATTTCTTGTATTCTGGTGCATTTTAAGAGTCATGAATTACTCTGTAGTACGCTACACAAAGTGGCCACTAGAGTGTAGTAAAGGGCGCAGTGTCTTCAATGAGGCATTGTTGATGGGAATGACACAATTTGATGAATGTTTATTTGGTCAACAAGGCAAAAACAAGGTAACAAGGTATGATTATTCATATTATCATTCTTAAGAACTGTCTTCTCTTTATGCTGAGCATTGTTTTTTATCTAGAACTATACAAATGTTGAATTAAAAGAAAGGTATTAAAATGGTGTATAACACAAACTATTTTAACAATGTACAACCAGGATTTTTGTCATAGAATAACCATCCAAAATGAAGTTTAGCAACGCTTGCGGACTTTAGCTTGCACAAAAGCAGTGACCAAATTGTCCATGTTCAATGATCTCCTTGTGTTGCGTTCTATTGATATAAGTGCCAGTCCTCTCAGTCTTTCTTGGCTCATGGATGATCTGAGGTAAGACTTTATCAGTTTTAAAGCTGAAAAGCTTCTCTCTCCAGAAGCTACAGTGACAGGAAGTGTCAGAAGGAGACGTAGTGCTATGCTGAGATTGCAGTACAAATCCAGCATGTCCTCACTGTAAATGTAATTCAGCATGTCTTGTGGGCATGCAGAGACATCATCAGGAAAGGTATGGATGGCTGATCTGACCTCCAAAACTAAATCCTCTGCCTCAATGTCATGAAGCATCTTTTCTAAGGTTTTGCATTTCACTTGCAGTTTATTCTCTTTTACAGCTTGCCTCATATTGTCTTTGGAAAATAGAAAACTGTACAGTGCATACACATCTTCCATTTTTGAGAAGCGGTCATTGAGACTTCTAAGTGCAGTGTCTACTAAAGGAAGAAAGAATTCCCTTCTGAATGCCTGTTCTGGACTGTGTAGAGTTTCTTCTGCTGCTGAGTCACAGTCAAAATGCTTTGGTGTTCTTTTCTGTCTCTTTGCAGGAAGTATTTTTTCAATCTTCAGTTCCTCTGCAATGTCCATTGCAGAGGATTGACAGCAAGACAACCCACTTTCTCTAAATTGCAAAAGATAAACTCTCACACCTTTTGTTTCTTTTCTGAGTGTTTCCAGAGAAACATTTGGACTCTGCAGAAGTTTACTCATGTGGTTTATCTGGTACAAAATATTGTACCAGATAATGGTGCATAAAAGGAAACGCCATGTGTTCATTTCACTGTGCAGACTTTTGGCAGTGGACAATGTCTCAGCATCCCTCTTTTCAACAGCAAAAGTCTGAAGTGCAGACAGTGCTTCCAAAACCTCCGGTAGGTGGTAACGCAACACTTTAACACTGTCTATTCGAGCTTCCCACCTGGTTGCTGACAACATTTTTAAAGTCAACTGCGTGACATGTTGCTTGAGAACAGCCCACCGTTGCACTGAAGAGCTGAACAGATTGTAGAGTCGTTGGAGCAAACCAAAAAAGGACATAGACATAACAGATGATTTTGCTGCATCTGAAACAACAAGATTTAGTGTGTGACTGCTGCAGGGCACACACAGAGCTTTGCTGTTCATTTGCAAAATTCTGGCCTGCACACCTTGTTTGTGGCCCATCATATTACTACCATTGTCATATGATTGGCCGCGACAGTCAGAAATGTTGAGCCCATGTTGCTGAAGAAAGCCTACTAGAGTCTCTGTTAGCCCTCTGCCGGTTGTGT